TGGATATAGAGAAGCGCTTGTCCCTTTTCACCTGGTTTTGTCAGTGAGTTGGCTAACATAGCCCCTCCATGAACCCAGCACATTCTAACTCCACTGTCCTCAGCATTTTCTCGAAGGCTAATTGCTTCGATGTCACTCCGTTTCTCAGCTCCTTTGATACAGACTGTTGCTCTTTGCATTTTGTCAAATAAGTTCCTAGCATCTGTCACCAAAAGACCTGTAACTTGAGCTGCTGCCTTGTTTGGATTGCGTGGATCTAGAAAACCTCCAGTGAGTTCATGCCATAGGACTCTGAGATAAAGTAGGTCGTCTTCACCATCTAAACTTGCTATGGTTTCTGCACATGCCGGACTCCTACAAGTTCTCTCTATGCGCCCTGACCTCCAGTAGATAGGAGACACATCAGCTTCTTGTCCCTGCAGAAGTCGGTCGTTGGTCATCCCTATAAAGATGCCCTCTGTGCTGTCCTTGCCGTTTGGACGGTTGGCCCATGCTGCATCTGCCCAACAAACCATGTGTAGAGTGTCGCCTTTGTTGAAACTGTGAATCCTAAATTCTTGTTGTTTCCACTTTTTGACTGCTCTCACTAGGTTGTTGATCTTCACAATGTCAGAAACTTGACTGTTGGGAATAGTAGTAATAAGGAAGTTCACATCCACAGAGTACATGAAACATGTCTGTCCACACAACCATGACAAACTTCCTAAAACTCCTCTCATGCTGGACTTCTCTCGCTCGGTGGTCGGTTGTTCTCCCATGCGCGTTCTGTCTCTGCTAATTGGGATCTCTTCTAGCTCCTCAATGAAACGTTGTTGTGAAAGATAGATGCTGCCATCATCCTCTTGTCTAATAACAATTCCACATTGTTCAAAATGGTCATGCTCCCAGCTTCCCCATTTGTATTTCGATTGTAGCTGTTGCATCAAAGACTCATGAATGTGGCAACCCTTCTCCCCCGCAAAGACAAAGTCATCAACATGTGCATGAACCATAGAACGTACCGTGTTAGAGTCATCGATATATATCCAGCAACATGGTTCAGTGGTTAATTTGTGATATCCCAGTTCAGACATTGTAGCACAAACAGATTCATACCAGTATAAAGGTGCTTGGACTAAACCGTAAGCCGCTTTGGTAAGAAGTGTCGGTGTATTGTCGCTGATGCCCAAAGCTTCGCACATCTCTGGTAATGGCCTGCAGAAAAGCTCCTCCACTACCTCCATACCTTGTAAAAAGGCACCAGAAACATCTCCTTTGGATAAGCGAAACCGTCTGAGCGCGCATTGTTGTAGAAACAGTTGTCTCCCTGCCTTGCTAGGAGTTGGTGCTGAAGTCTTTCGGGTTTCATAGCTAGGATCCTGGTAGCCTAACACTACAGCCCTTGCCTTTGGTTTCCTACCGTCTGCCTCTTGAGGATCATATTTCCATGTAAGAAGCCATCTCATGCCCATGATTTTTGACTCGTCAACATGTTGATCTTCAAGAACCCGAAAACACTCCGCCGCGATAAAGTTCCGCACTTCCTTCTGTTTTGCCTCATGAAACCTCAAAGCCTCTTCTCTGGTCAAAGTTTTCTCTCTCACTTCAACTTGACGTCGTTTGAGCTGGCTAGTCATATAGGCCTGTGGGTTCTCTGAAAATTTCTTCCAACCTCGTTTACTGCCTGGTAGTTCAAGATCAATTTCGAAGGCCGCTCGAGACTCTTCAGTCATGAAAAGTGCTTCTTCCTCAATACCTGGTGTTTTCCTAGGGCGTGAACTACTGGTTGAAGACGATGGTTGAATACTGTCACCTGCGCGTTTCTCTCCTTTGTTGGGGTTCAGTTTAGCTATCTTCTCCCGGGAACTTGTTGTGACCGCGCCTCCCTTCCTCCGCATTCTCAACAATGGCACCTCGATCTCAGGACCAGGTAGTTCAGCAGGATGTTGCTGATCTTCGATCCATTGTTCCTCAGAAGGCAGGTCTTGGCTGACATCTACATATGTTCTCCTCTTAGGATCGCTTGCTAGGCTCATAATAGTCCATGGAAGCTCAATAGGTCCTTTCATTTCTTCTACTTGTTGTTCATATGGTGTGGCATGCCGAAGTTGTTCTGGTGCACTTCGAATCAACCTACCACCACGGTGAAGCCATACTACACTTGCTGGCCTGAGTTGGCCATCTTCCCTTCTTGTCTCTGTAGCTATCACCCGAGCAGGACCCAAAAACTTGCCAGTCTGAAAACTAGTTCTCTCATGAGGTGGTAGTTGCCGTCGCCAATAATAAACCAAGTCCCCAGGTAGATAAACTTGAGATTTCCTATGCCCCATCCGTGTAGCTCTCTCAATGCGCCGCTTGGCTTGCTCCTCCGCAAAAGCTTTCTCAGCTTGGCATCTCACCTGAGCATCCAGGGAAAAACCACCATCTTCCATGAGATCTGGCCTCACTGGAATAATGTCTTGTGACTCAAAAAGGCGTTGATGATCATCAGGACTTCTTCCTAGAACATGCTGTGTCGGAGAAAAACCCTTGTAAGTCTCTCTGTTGTTGCAAGTCCAGATTGTCCGTCCAAAAACCTCCGGGATTGACATGTCAACATAGTCAGTCGCCAGTGAGTCCATCACTCCCTTTACAGTTTTGATGCCCTGCTCAACTACATTGATTTGCCAGTGTGCTTCTGCGGGTATTGGGTCAAACATGATGTTTTGTTCAGCAAAATAGTCATCTGCGTCTTGGTTTCTCCATGCTCCAGCTGGATCAACTCGCACGGTTTTGGGTTTGCCGAACATTGGAAGCCACAACTCTTCATAGGCCTTCCTGAGGTCTTCCCAGCTAGCTGTCTTAGTAGGGTGTTGGTGTAGAACTTTTCCAACTTTGAACCTACTTCCCTCATCTACCATGAGAACAAAGTGTATCTTGGTCTTGTGTACAGGATGAGTCCATGTGCCCGCATCGATCTGTAAGACCTCCCACTTGTCTGCTATGGTTTGTAGAGTAGCCAGTCTCCTAGGATCTTGTTGTTTCTTTTCGGCACATGTCGGGCACTTCCATGCCTGCGCCACCCTCAAGACTTTGGGTGGCACTCCTCGCTTCTTCAGGCTGTCGATGAGATTCTTCATGCTCCCATGTCCTGTCGAGCGATGGATGTGTTGAACTTTCAACTCAATGGCATGTTTTTCCTCTGCTGTAATCTCTTCTTCTTGCTCTTCTCCTACTTCTGCTGCTAGGACTTCATGGTCTCTCTGTTCTTGTAATTCTTGAACAACATGTGACCACACCTCACAAACCTCCAGACTGTCCACCACCCTCCGTGCAAACACATGTGTGTAGCGCGCTGTATGTGCTGGTTGCCCTGCTTCACATTTTCCTTTGGGATGGTTTCGCTGGCATTGAAGGTGTAAACGTTGAAGAAGAATAGAGTGTTTTGAGGCCACTGTCCAGCCCTTGCAAAGCAGTTTCTGTTTGTCTATGGTTCTCAATCCAACTGCGCAACCGCTGCAAGTGACTTTTTGTAGCTGATGACGTTGGACAAAGCTCTCAATCTCTGGCAGGTGCCATGCCTCGCACCTTTCACTGAGCTCCCAATGCACTTGTGTACCCAAGGAAGCTGCGAAGTCGGCTACTTGAATAGCCCCTTGATACTGTTTCCTGGCCTTAGCCTGCTTTTCATCTAAACGTTGGATCTGTTCAGGATTTCTCCTGTTAATCCTTTGTAAGGGGCTAAATGGACCACACTCACAACTGATCCACAAGTGCACTGGTCGGTGCCGTTTCACCATAGTTTTGGTGAGCTGTACTCCTTCAGGTGTCTCTAGGTCTCCTCCATTCCAGTCGCTGATCCTTATACAAGACCCCTTACCATATCGCTTTTCTACTTCGCTTCCCAAAACACTATCAGGAAAACACGCAAGCTCCATGAGTAAAGGTCTTCCATGATGGGTCAAGGTGGACCACCCTTGACTGAGAGGATTCTTCCTAGGTTCCCACCCTTTGGCAAGAAAAACTGCTGTGTCTTCTGACAAGACTCTCACCTCTTCACTCAAGTCTCCTTCCTCGTCTTGCTGCGCATGTTCATGAGCTCGAGATCTGCTTTCTCCTTCTCGAGCTGTAAGATCTTCTCGCGCAGCTCCGTGTTCTCCTCCTCCTGGGTCTTGGACGGGGTGGACGAGATCAGGGAGAAGCTTGCTTCCGATGCCGGCTTCTTGCTGACATGGTTGCTGCCCGCGGTCTGTCCCACATGTGGCTTGGCATGCGATGCTCCATGCAGTGCCTGCATTGCCCATGTTGCAAACCTTTTGAGCCTCCATCCGCATTGAGTCTCCTCCCTCATGGTGGTGATGGCCCATGAGGCATAGCCCGGGAACTTGTCCAGGACATCTTGGAATGTCAAATCCGCATGTTCCCCGAAATTCATCTTCTCTCCTGCCACTGGTTCGAACATCTGGTAGATGTGCTTCTCCCCCAGGTTGTAAAGCTGGGCGATGGTGTGATTCGGCAAAAATCCAACCCCTTCCTTGGTCAGGAAGTCTTGGAGATCTCCCTTCTTGCGACTGGCTCGCTTGAGGGCCGCAATCTGTGCATCCATCTCCAAGGTTGCTGGCTGGTAATGCTCTGACTGAAGCTCTCCCCAGTGTGCTTTGATTTGGAGAAGGCTCCATGACGAAGGGATCTTGACCCCCTTGTCGGCCATGAATTCCACCCACTGTGATCGAGTGGTTGGCATGGGCATGGTGTGATGTGTGTGAAGAAGGGTAGGAGTTGTTGCTTGAGATGGAGAGGTGCTGAGTGTCAAGAGATTGGTCGCAGTTGTTTTCATCAACATTGTTTCCAAAAACAAAACTATTTTCAACACCCACACACTTGTCCTGGCAGAAATGGCAAAAATTGTTTCGCACCGAACACAGAAAACATTCAGGGCAGTTCTTCCATTCTTGAACTAACCCCTTCTGATTGGGATCCAAAAGCTCAGAGCTCCCTTGACAGGATTTTTTTCCTTCCATGCAGTCAAAAGAGCGACATCCCTAATGGTCCAAAAGTGATTCAAAAGCGGTGTCTCGCAACATGCTGTCACCCAACAGATTTCCTGTGAGTGGCATCAAAAGGTGACCATTGCTGGCCTCAGTCAGGCGGACGACCCTCTTGTTGTCCACATTCTTGTAGATGGCCAAGCCGTGCTCAAAGTCAATCACTGCCCCTAGCCCTTTGAGTGCCTTTCTGGAAATCAAAACAGGTTGCTGGGGCGAGTCATGAACATGAACTTCCATGATGCCCTTCCGATCTCCTGCGCCGATGCCCATCTTGATGGTCGAGAGGCACTCTTTCTTCTGGCCATTGCCGAACTTGAACACCGGCTTGTGCTCTGTGTCAATGGTCATCTTTGATTCTCCATGGGTAGCCAAATTGGCTCTCATGACCTCCTCTAAAGCATCTATTGACCCCAGTGACGACGTAGCTCCACTGTCTATGATTCCATAGCATGAACGAATCACCTCCCCAGCAGGCGTCGCCCCAAGCGCCTCTTCTCCCACGAACCCAAGATATTCGGGTTCAGACTTGCCCTCATGTTCTCCCTGGATCTTTGTCGCAGAGAAGACAATCTCTGCCTCCTCATCTGCAACCTTGGCATCATTTGGACTCTTGCCCTTTGGACAATCTCTGGCTCGATGGGGTCCTCCGCAACGAAAGCAACCATCTCCGGGAAGGGGGCTTGCTCCACTCTTCGCCTTCGGATTCGGATAAGGCTTTGGTGGGTAGAATCCTCTTCCCAGTTTCAGTTGCTTCTGTTTCCACCTTGCCTCTCTCAAGGTAGACTTTTGTGTCTTGATCACTGCCATGGCCTCTTCCACCTTAGCCTGTTCTGCTAGGTAGGCTTCTTTCTCAGATTCAGTCAGATTCTCCATCTCATGGTACTGGTCTTCGGCTATCATCGCCTCCCAGTTTTCCTCCTCCTGGTCTGCCATCAAAGCGCTGCCGTACTTGTTCCTGTCTCTCCTCAAAAGGTCTTCATCTGCCCACTGTTCTCGCAAAGCCCTTGCAACACTTTCTGGGCTGAATTCACCCCTAATCGCTGCGAGCACATTCGCTCTCTCATGAGTGTCCAGCCCACTGCGATGCAGCAGAAGGAATCCCACAAGGAACTCTGGTAGGAATACATCGGTTGATGCATCCCAGGATTCTGGTGGGTCATACTCCTTGGAATGCCAGGAACCTTGTGACCAGTCAGACCACCCATGATCCCACCAGCCTCGGTTGCTCCACCAGTCTCGTTGTTCTTCTTCAGGATCATCGTTCTCTGTCATGGTGCCATCCTCCCGGAATGGTCCTGTATCGGACTGCGCCCTGCTGTTTTGGGACCTTTGGGAACTCATTGACTTCAGGATGCTCACTGCCTCTTCACTGACTTTGTGACCATATTCTTTCTGAACTTTCCGTAAGGCTTGAGACGCTTCCCAAAGTGCTTCTGAGTGTCGTGTGATCCAGCTTGTCATCGTCTCTGACTTCTTTCTCTGCAACCCATAGAAGAACTTCATGATGAACCTTGAAGCCTCTACCAAGCTAGGCCTTGCCACTACTTCTTCTAGATGCTCAAGAAGGACGTAGACCCCCCTTGGATGCGAAAGCCATTGAGGATTCCTCAACGTCTTGTTCCTCACTGCCACCTTTGCCGTGCCCTCTAACTCCTGAAGAAGCCTAGGTCCAGCTAAGTAACGCTTTTTGTGCTCAAACGTCATCAGGTACTGAACAGCTTCCTCCTTGTAGAGAGGCAAAAGCTCAGGTGTCCCATCATATTTTGGAACTCCATCTTTTGTCCTCAAAATTGAGAGTGTCATCTTTTGCCTCTGGGCTCAGATGACTTGTTGGCTCTTCTCAAATTCTTTCTGTTTCTTCCCGCTGCCCGCCGCGACACACGCTCAGCTAGCAGCCCCAACCAGGCTCCGGCGCTACCATGCAAAATAGCCGCCAACCCTTTTACTGAAATTACTCCAAGGGGGATCTTGTGCCCAATTGGTTTCCGATGGATGGACATGCAATGCGTGAAATTGCACCCTTAACGTGCAATTAGACTAGTTACATGTATATATACAGTATATATATATATGGGACTGAGGTGACCAGCAGCTGCGACTTATATGCGCCCAGGTGCGCCACCCCAGTCCCGCAGGTACGTTTACACGGGTCCCGGGGAGGTGTCTTCATTGGTCACCGACCCCCCGGGACCCCGGTGACCCCCTGCTTAAAATATAATATTATATATAATATATATAGAAATGAATGGCCAGCGAAGTTTTACGTTTGTGCAGACGTGCCACACACACACTTTTAGACACAGAAACCTTTTCACACAAACGCCTTTACACACAGAAGCTTTCACCCACAGAAGCCTTCATACAGAGAAGTTTTTACGCAAAAAAGCCTTTATACACAGAAGCCTTGACACAGAGCGGGTTTTGCACTAACAGGCTTTTACACAGGAACCTTTCACAGACCAACAGCTGTTACACATCACGGAGCGGCTTTTACACACAAAGCCTTTACACACAGACGCTTTTCCCAAAAAAGCTTTTACACAGAGATGCTTTTATACAGAGAAGCCTTGCCACAGACAAGCCTTGTCACATTTTAGACGTCCGACACCCAAGACAATACACATTTCGCCACACGTTTGGGCGTCCGTCGCGCACGATCTTCGCAGAGGGTTGCTCGGCGACAAGCAAAACGGCACGTCACCACACGTTTAGGCGTCCGACAACTGCGATCTCAGCAAAGGGTCACGTTTCGATGGACATGGCATGGCTGCCCCTGCCACCATAACAGAGGAATAGAGAAACTTAAGATGTAGGAATTGCGTACGAGTTCAAACTCCTGTGTAGCAACTCCAGTGTATCCACTTCCGTGTCACAACTCCTTTGTATCAAGTCCTGTGTAACAACTCCTCTGCAACAACTCCTGTGCAAATGACATTGTAGGAGTTTTGTAGGAGTTGCCTCGAGGTTGATCCCTGTAGATGATGTAGATGATAGAGAAGATGGTGTAGAAAAAGTAGGTGATGTAATTAAAGGATATAGAATCCGTGAATGATGCATGTTACGTCGACGAAGTAAACATTTGTATTTGGCAGCAGTTCTTTGGGAAAAACCCTCCGCAGCAGCGTTCGGGAATTACAATAACAACATTGCAATTTCAGTTTAAAGAGGGAATGGGATTGAATAAACCTTTCTTACGGGGATATCATGGGGATGTAGTGGGATGTATCACCAACGAGAGGCATGACGGCATGTCCAGCCTTTTTTGGTAAACCCCAGGAGGTTTTAATAATGGTTTAAAGCATTTGCTTTTGGGGGAATCCCATTGTATAAGGGATTAGAATTCCTGGAGCCGCAGCTTGTGACCAAGGCTTAGAAAGACCGTGAAGTTACTAGGCGCAAGTTCGGCAGGAGGAGGAGGACGAAGGAAAAGAGGACACTTGTCTCCTAACACCTTGTCACCCCACAAAAGAAGCCAAAAAGATGAGGAGAACATCATCAAACTACCTCCATGGAAATAGTTGTCTATCTTTTTGGGGATACTGACGGAAACGCTTGGCCTGAATCTGACACGCTCACGTACAAGGCGGAGCCGGTCACCAAGAGCATCAGGCAAAGAGTCATCCACATGTCCATTAAGTTCAACAAAGGTACCTGTTTTCTGAAGCAGGTTAGCAGCAGTTGACAAGGCAAGCCATGTGCTGAGCAGGATGTAACCAGTAAACAGGATTTTGCTGGATTAAATTCAGGAATATGGATGGTTTTCTGTGGCATGTCTGGGTTTTGCTGGCTCTAACAGCAAGGGAAAGTCATGCTGATGAACAACATCACCAACCATTGGCTGTGGTGCGAGCCAAGCTCAAATCAAGGATGGTATTCCGGTATACCCCAACAAGTGCGATGATGATGAATCAAGGGATTTAGAGAACCGCAGTATTCATGCAGTGTCCACATTTTCACCTAGGACAAAACAGAAATGTTCCAGATGTTGTATTGGTTCCAAGGAACTTTCCAAGGCCAAGAAAGGGTCTCAACAATCAAAAAGATTGACAGGATCACGTTGATCATGATGGTCTGCACTGGCGGGTAGTCAGTAGCCAAGACGATGGGGAGAGAGAGCAAGGGACCGCGGACCAGCAACGGGACGCCATACCACCAACTATCCTGAACTGATCTTTGCTTAATGAAAAACTAGGTCCTAGATTTCCCAGATTTGCTGGTTTTACCAATGGAAAAATTACAAAAAACATGTCAAAATCCAAGTCAAGGCAGTTTCTCCATCCCGTGCTAAAAGTAATTCACTATTAACAATTAACATTTGGTGGGATATGTGGTAAACATTAATCTCCTCCAAAAAGAAATATATGTGGGTTTTGGTTTGCCCAAAAATGGAGATATCCCCATTTTTGGTCTGTTCTAAATGTGACAAATTCCAATCCTCTAGAATCCGGGCTGCTGCCAAGTTCAAACAAACCATAACCAACCTATCTCTGGTTCAGTCCAGTGTCGAGACGAAATCGGAAGACCAAGAAGCGGAAGCTTTGAACTAGCTGCCTGTTGTCACCTGATAGATGTGGGTGAGATGGGTGGGTTGAACTACCAATGGATTGGTTCACAAAACAAATGTGGACCATTTTGCCTTTTTTTACATGCTAAGCAAAATTATTGGAAACATAGGTCCTAAGATCTACAGTACTTAGTGGATATTTTTGTGAGACCCTTGAAGTACCAACTTTATCCAACTTTCCTACACTTCGGGATGATAACAGTGTTCCATACCCCAGGTCAGAGGGGAATCATTTATCAGTAAAGTATCGTAAAATAGTGATTCAACTCAACTTGAAGAATACGGGCTAGCAATGTGCAAATGGGGATTTATATAATCTGCACTAAGCATTTTGTTTTTCCTCTATTTCAAATCATGTTAAATAGAGGTCTCTGGCAGCAAACTCATGAACAATCCCTCATTTTGTAGCCAACCTCGTTCTCAAGTGTTGTGGCCACGGCTCACCCAAAAAAAGTTCTACGAACATAATGACTCATCTTATTTCTGGTCATGTTATCTCTTTATACTGGTTGATAGGGGTTCCCACAATGGAGCATGATAATTCCCAACGTATTGGGTAGCATAACCCATTGAAATAACACATCAACCAGGGTTCTGGTAACTGCTCAATGGAATGGCCCGGGATCGCACCTGCGCTCCATTTTGGCATCATGTAGGCTGCGTAGATGCAGAGACTGAGGAAACCAAAGACTCCAACCACCAAAAGGCTAAGGCCTGCTGCCATCATGGCCGTATGCCCATTGTCACCACCTCAGCATTTTGGGATGATCGAAAAAAACATGTCCACCATGGATGATCCATGGATGATGATCCACAAAAAAAATCACCATGGTCCACCGGTTTCGTCCACCCAATGGTCCACTGGTTCATCAGGTTTCGTCCATTCTTCCCCTGACTCAAGGTCCCAAGGTGGGGGCCGCAGAAAACCCGACCGACAAAACCGAGCCAAGTCTCCGCAAATGATGTTGGGATACTTCAGCAAACCTCAAGGCTTGTGGTCTCCCCCCCAACATATGCCGGTCATTGGGGATCAGGGTTGGAAAAAAAACTCTGGTCAACTAGTGACATAGCTATGGAAAATAAGACATTTACAGATGGTCTACCTGTTCGAAGGAAGTTTAGAAGTGAAACTTCCGACAATATGGACAGTTGAAAAGCAGAGGTGAGAAGAGTCAGAAGAGAAAAGATCAGAAGAAAGAAGATGAAGATGCGTGAAAAGGTAGGAAAGTCGCGAAACACCGTGTTTTTCCAATGATTTGTGGCTCCGGAGGGTCGAAAAGTAGGCTCGCTAAAGCGGCGGGTGCGGAGCCAGCTGGCCAGATGAGAGATGGAAAAGTGCACGCCGTTGTGGCGCAAAGCACATTTCCAAGTGAAAATGTACAAAACACTAGAGGAGCGGACCACTTTTGGAAGTTGCGATGTCGAAAAAGTGCACGCCGTTGTGGCGCGAAGCAGATTTCCAAGTCAAAATGTACAAAACACACCACGTTCGGACCACTTTTGGAAGTTGCGATGTTGGAAAAGTGCACGCCGTTGTGGCGCCAAGCACATTTCCAAGTCAAAATGGACAAAACACTAGAGGAGCGGACCACTTTTGGAAGTTGCGATGTCGAAAAAGTGCACGCCGTTGTGGCGCGAAGCAGATTTCCAAGTCAAAATGTACAAAACACACCACGTTCGGACCACTTTTGGAAGTTGCGATGTTGAAAAAGTGCACGCCGTTGTGGCGCCAAGCACATTTTGAAGTCAAAAGTGTTAAAAACGGACGGTCTCGGACCACTTTTGGAGGTTCAGATGTCGAAAAAGTGTCGAAAAAGTGCACGCCGTTGTGGCGCGAAGCACATTTCCAAGTCAAAAGTGTTAAAAACTGACGGTCTCGGACCACTTTTGGAGGTTCAGATGTCGAAAAAGTTTCGAAAAAGTGCACGCCGTTGTGGCGCGAAGCACATTTCGAAGTCAAAAGTGTAAAAAACTGAGGGTTTTGAGCCTTTTTTTGACGTGAAGATGTCGAAAAAGTAGACACTGATTAACTTAACTAACTTGACTAACTTAACTAACTTCACTAACTTAACTACCCTAACTTCGACGACAACAGCAACAGCAACAGCAACAGCAACAGCAACAACAACAACAACAACAGCAACAACACCAACAACACCAACCACAACAACTACAACTACAACAGCTACAACTACAACAACTACACAACAACTACAACTACAACTAGAACTACAACTACAACACCTACAACAACAACAACAACAACAGCAACAACAACAACAACAACACCAACAACACCAACAACACCAACACCAACACCAACACCAACAACAACAACAACAACAACAACAACAACAACAACAGCAACAGCAACAGCAACAGCAACAACAACAACAACAACAAGAACAACAACAACTACTACTACTACTACTACTACAACTACTACAACAACTACAACAACTACAACTACTACTACAACTACACTACACAACAACTACAACAACACAACAACTACAGCTACAACTACAACAACAACAACTACTACTACTACAACAACAACTACTACTACTACTACAACTACAACTACAGCTACAACTATATGACTGCAACTACACTACACTAATTACATTACACCACAGCTACAACTCCACTACGCTACAACTACAACTACAGTTGCAGTACATCACACTACATCCAGCAGTTGTGGGTGAGGTGACCACTGCCACCATTGCAACCACTCCAGCAAACACAACTCCAACCACCTTTCGGTCAATCAGTGGATTCGCTCTGCCATCCGTGATTCACAACAACCAACGTCTCCTATAGGTTTACTATTCTGAAACTTCCGCCACCGCCTTGTGCGGTACGACTGGTAAAGAATGGTGACTTTCCATAGCAAAGTCTTGGTTTACCAGGAGGCTAAATCCTACCATATCCCAGTATATGCCCTATGATATCCTTATAAATCCGAATTCTTGGTTAAATCTAACAAATCACCCGATTTGCTAGGCCGGCTAGGCTTCCTTTTTTTAGCACTGGCGCCAGGAAACTCTGCAGGCCGTTGGGATGGGTATAGCAGGTCAAAGGTGCCAATGACACAGTGCTCATGGTGCTGAAACCCACCTGCCAGAACTGACCCATGGTACCTTGGATACGATGGCATGAAGTGGATCCTGGGAGTTGTTCCGTGGAACTGTGGAAAACCCCCATGAGAAGTTCCAAGAAAATTAATAATCTACACATCTGGTTTGTTTTCCATATCTACAATATGATGAACTTACTGTATGTTTTTTGGTGTATGATGTGAAGTGATGGCCGGAATAGGCCCCAACTATATAGTCATTTACTAAGTTCCACGGCCATTCAAGTCGGAAGCAGGGGGTCAAGTGAGGCAGGTGATGGGCCATGAATTTTCAGGAGCACTCCATGGGGATCAACATTGGATTGTGGAAAACATAGGTGGTGACATGCCAAACATTACCAAGAATACAACGTCCCAGGTCAAACAAAATCATCGCGGATAAATAATGACAAACTAGCTGTAAAGGGCATCTGAGATCTGCTAATTTTGTAAATGCATGTGTGCATTCCAAAATATAATCATGTTGTGATTAGAAGCCGCACGCCTGCAAATGAAGGTTTGTCGCCCCAAGGTTTGATTGATTCATGGTCGAAAACATCAGTTCCCTAAGTTACCATGATAAATTAGGGCTGCTGGTTCTTCCCAATGTTGAGCCAAACACCCACATTAAAAACATACTGGGAAGTGTAGTTGGAAAAACACATTGTTCAACTAAGAACTATGAGCTATCCCATTGACATTCCAATATCCCATAATTGCATTCACTAGAGTTATTATCTCGAATCTAGGATTGACTTAGTTCTTCCCAAGTTGCAGCCAAACACCCAAATATCAGAAATAGTGTTGAATGTTCTGCAATTAACATGAATTCATTGTATTTGGGTTTATACATATATATATATATATATTGTGACATGCTAAACTGTATTATTAGTGCAAGATTCATTTATCTCCCAATGAATAGTCCATTGAAGATCAATGACTTGGGTTGAGTTGGCGCCAAGCTGCTGAAGGCTTTGGAGCCACCCCAGCGGTATCTTGCTGGAAGAAGCTTGGAGCCGAAGTAGTTCAGAACCAACCATGCTTGCCCCAAGAAAAAGAAGGACACACTCACCTGCCACTGCTGCACTGGCAGGTGGGAAAGGTGGGAAAGGTGGGAAAGGTGGGAAAGGTGGGAAAGGTGGGAAAGGTGGGAAAGGTGGGAAAGGTGGGAAAGGTGGGAAAGGTGGGAAAGGTGGGAAAGGTGGGAAAGGGTGGAAAAAGGCGAGTGAGGGTGGGATTTTCCGTGGATATTTGGTTGTTGTTCTCATGGCATTAATTTTAGTCTTACATATCATATATATATATACATGTCTATATATATAAATATGTGTCTGTATATATGTATATGTCTATATACATACACACACATATATATATAAGTCTATATATATATGTGTGTGTGTGTTTTATCAATTCCAAACTGAGGTGAGTTCTTCATGGCAGATTACTTTTCACGTTTTCATGGTTCGTGGGTATTCCCCTCTAGGACTGGTGTCAGGTCACAATTCGAACCGTAAAACATGCTCGTCAACTAGGGTTCCCATCATCTCAAGTAGTGATGCAAAAAGTGGTACATATCGTTATGTGCTAGTGATTTTGGATCTAGAACGCGAACCACCACAGAAAAATATAAAAAACAGGGGAACAAGGGGCATAGAAGATTGGGACTTTTGGGTGTGCCGGTGTCGGTGTTGATTAATTTCTCTTGGAATGGCGAAACGAAAGGCAGCAGAACAAACCAGAACCACCAAGCCCATGATCGTTGTTTGCTGATACAACAAGTAGGACCCTATGTATGTGGATTGGTCGTATCCACATTTCAGCAAGATTGTCCGCAGATATCCGCTCTCATTTATCGCAACATCCTGATATGGATTCCTACAGCCTATTAAGTCAAGCCCGCTAGATTGCCACTAGATCTACATTACATAGCATTAAGTAAGCAACAAGCACCCTGTGGCAATCAAACATGGCAATAGACAACGCACTATCTAATTATATGATCATCTATAATTAGTTACATAAATTCCATTTATAGATATTCCCATTCAGAAAAGAGAAGTGTCCATATCGCCATAGGGGTCCCAATCCCAATCCCAATGAAACTCGTTGCCAGCGAGGCACACTGTAGCGCAAAGATGAGTCCGCGCCCGCGAAGCAACTGAAGGAGTAGTTGTCGATGTCCAGGAGCAGTACCTGTGCCGAGGACGTGAGCGTAAGTGGATGATCAATGTGGGTAAAACAATGCCATAAACAACCCATTTGGGAATGGTAAACATACCACCCATTAAATTGGTGATTTGGGGATGGTTTTTGATTGTTTTACCCATATTACTGAAGTTCACTGAATACACCGTTTTCTTTTAGGATATATGGGTCAATCATGATCAATCTATAGTATGATTGGATGTGTAGTTGGGGTAAACCGCTGTAACCCCATGGTATCATACAAATCCCGGTTCCGATGTAGTTCGGAACTTGGGGGATACACCTTTCTCTGACGGGGGTGTGTAGGGTTCAAATCGGCCCCAATTGTCACTGTAGTCCTTTTCTCAATCCAAGTGCGTCCAAGTACTGTGCATTACATCTGCGATCATCTGTGCTTGTTTCTTTCTAGCTTCCAATCTCTATCCACAAATAGAAAATGCCCCACGGACGTTCATACCAGAATATGTTTACAATTTATGTGTATATATATATATATAGAGAGAGAGAGATTCCAGATGCCCATTTAGTTTCCACGTTTCCCATCCAGCCATGTTTGGTACCCATCACACCTATCATAAACCCCCAGATATTCCCATCTTGCCACCATGTTTCATGCCTAAATCACCATGAATCCCTGTTTCCCTCCAATTTTTGATGCCTGAATCACCATGAATCCCCCATGTTGCTTCAATCCCTATGTTTCACCATGTTTCATGCCTAAATCAAACTATCAAACTACCGCAGAAACGCCACGGCATCACCAAAACTCCGCACACCCAGCCTTGAAGGCGGCCAGGAATCCCTGAAGATGTTCGGGCCACTCCACCGTCATCATCCCCACGATGCCCACGGATTGCAACAAATTCACCGTCATCCCAAAAGACATCCCCGTGGTGGCCATCACCTATCGCTTCATCCAGAGGTTGATGATTTCAGGGCATCACCATTTTCTGAGGTAGTATAAATAGGATCCAATAGGGTTTAGAATTGCGTGGGATTAGTATGGGATTAGTAGTATGGAGTAAAAATGCATGGGATTAAAGGACCTGGCAGGATTCATTCGGCATAGCATCCCTTTTGTTGATGGGACATATCGAGTGGTCCCCCAATATATGGATGGGGAATCCAAGCTGCCAAATGGGCACCTTAAGGTGCAGAAACGGGACATTTGGTCATTTTGAGTCCCATCCTTAGGAGGCTGAACATATATGTCTACCTGCATTCGTACATAATTACGTCAAACATGTGCATGCATACATTACGCGTATGCAAATAAAAAGAATATAATATAGAAGTGGACAGACAATATTATACACAATGGGAGATAATACAGTACACCCAAAATAAAGAAACAACACAGTGAAACATGCGACGAGGGACGGAGGCTTTGGCGGTGACTTGGCTTGTGAGAAGGTAATACGCCAAGGTCAAGAAACCGAACAAGGCGCACGTACCTGGCATGCTGGGGGTATGTGGGGGGTATAATCAAGATGAATATATGTTTATAATATAATATGGTGTATGTGCATATGTACAAATAATTTGGCATATATATATATATGTATGTAAATGTATATAGAAGAGAATATATAAAGTGCCCTCACCAGAACCGACATTTACAAAATGAAGGGGGGCAGCTGGTTTATGTCATAGCAAACCATGTAGACACACATGCACGCACACATACTAATATACATTACATTACATTACATTACACTACGCTACATTACATTACATTACACTACATTACATTACATTACATTGCATATATATATATATATGCATTATATACCATGTATGACTCTGGCTTGTCACAGCAAACTTGAACTGGAAGTATGATCCATCCCCAACTTGGTTTCAATGGATTGAACAGGGAAGAGCAAATATTGGGATTTCAAAGGGCGCAAGTAGCAGCTTTGACATGTGACCAGCAAATTATGGGGATCCGACCCATAGTTTCCAAGCCTAGAATTGATGGATTGGATTGGGGGTATATTTGCAGGACAGGAAACGATCGGTTTTACCGCAAAATATAGAGTTTTCCTGATTTTTTTTTTACCATCGTCCAATTCTGGGATTTAAAGTAAACAACTTTTTGGCGAGGTTAAGCAATGAGGTCAGAAAGGGAGAAACCAATGCTGCCGTGGGAATAATCAAACTCTATCTCTATCTCTCTCTCTCTCTCTCTTTCTCTCGAAGTCCCTCGTGGTGAGGAGTGAAAAGGCGCGAAAAATAATAAGTATACACACGCGTTCCTCCCCATTCTACATGTACAGTATTTACATAAATGTATATACATATATACATACATATATATGTATATATATGTATATATGTATGTGTGTGTGATGGTGTAGATAAATAAGTGTACATGCGTGTATGATTGCTTGTGGATGTTTATGGGTTGTTTCATCCCAATACTCAAACATGTGGGTGCAGGTTGTTTTTGCTGCACTCCATATCACTCCATCAAAACAACTCAAACGCGAGCCGATCATAGTGCCAGTCGCACCCTGAAGTGAAACTGCTGGATGAAAACGCTACTCTTTGGTAACTAAAGTTCAGATCCTTCTGGGTAATTACCCGCATTGGTCCGATCATTCTGACCCATACCCAAGTGGGCGTCAGTCCAAACATGGGCCATCCCCAAGGTGATGTTTTTAAAGTATTCAAAAATATGAGAAACAAACATAGTCTTCCCCATATTTTAGTCTTATCTATTTGTTTGTGTCTTAAGTATTCATAAGTTAATTTTAGGTCTGTCTTGTTTTAAAGGTTGAATAACCCACGTAACCCACGTTTTGTAGGATCCCCAGCCATCCAACCGAGGTGCTGATGACCCAGAAGATCAGGCTCCAGGCGGTGCACTGATCACATGAGCTGCCGCTCCACGTTTGCCCCGCGGGGCATTCGGCACAGGGAACGACTTGAAGACCTCCTGCAGGATCATTGGACCAACGTAATCTGGAGAGTTTTGCGGGGAAACCTGCAATAAACACGGAATTGGTATAAATGGAAATATATAGATAATATATATATATATATGTATATATATATATAAATTCATATACATATACATATACATATGCATATGCATATACATATTTATCAAAGGAAGTTTGGTAGTCTAAACTCCGTGGTACGGACAATGAAAATGCCATGCGTGTGCCATTGTGTTTGGTGATCCTGCTTCCAACGCTTTGTCCGAGTGATGCCTGGGCGTTTGAAATCGCACGAAAAAGTGTGTTTTCTCGCATAAAGTGGCTCCCGGCGTCGATGGGGGGAACCTCGTCTGTGCGACGGGTGCGGATTGCATTCGTGCTGCGCTCGAGTGGTCCCCATTGTCAGCGCTGCGCGGAGGTGATCTTTGAAAGATTTCAGCTGCTGAGCTAGTGTGTTTGGTGATCCAGGCTTGCATTTTGCATTGACATGGCTGCTTCCAACGCTTTGTCCGGGTGATGCCTGGGTGATTGAAATCACATGAAAAAGTGCGTTTTCTCGCACAAAGTGGCTCCCGGCGTCGATGGGGGGAACCTCGTCTGTGCGACGGGTGCGGATTGAGTTCGTGCTGCGCTCGAGTAGTCCCCATTGTCAGCGCTGCGCGGAGGTGATCTTTGAAAAAAATCAGGCGCTGTGCCATTGTGTTTGGTGATCCTGCTTCCAAAGCATTGTCCGGGTGATGTCTGCGTGTGTGAAATCGAACAAGACCCTATGGTTTCTCGCATAAAGTGGCTCGATGGGGGGAACCTCGTCTGCGCGACGGGTGCGGATTGCGTTCGTGCTGCGCTCGACTGATCCCCATTGTCAGCGCTGCGCGGAGGTGATCTTTGAAAGATTTCGTTGTTCTTCGTATTGGAAACATCGACGCTTGATAACACACCTGGAAGATTACATGGCACGCAGAGTTGAAGGCCAAGATTTGCACAGGAGTTTCAGAAAAGAGCGCGCCGCCTTTTGGGCGTGGAGCACGCCATTCTGAGACCACAAATATTTTCGCTTCAGGCACTTAACAAGGATAATAAGTATCGTATAATTACTATTATCCTACTAATATCTTGTTCAAATTGTTTTTGTTTATTTATTCTGTGTTTAAGTTCCCTTATTTTTGATTTGAACTTACTACATTATATCTTCAATATAGTTGAATATTATTCAAAAATATCTGAAAATATTTGGAAATAAGTTCAATGTATTTTTCAAGTTTTTCAAGTTTTTTTCGATTGGGACCCTTATGTGTACTGCAATGATATGGTGACTTTTTGGCTCACACAAGGGGGCAAGAACAAGGTGCTCAAAACTTACAGGACCCAAACTATGAGAGATGAAAATGTTTGCTGGCAAGGAACAATTGTAAACATATACAGCTCCTGCAAAGCATAGTTCCTGCAAAGGATAGCTCCTGCAAAGGATAATTCAAGAACAGGATAGTTCAAGAACAGGATAGTTCCTGCAAAAGGTAATTTCTGCACAGAATAGTTTATGTTCAAAATAGCTCCTCAAGAGGAATGTTATTTGTTTTTCTGCATGTCAGATTTCTTTGGAAGATGTCTTTACTTGAAACAATTAGATTTCTTAATTGGTTTCTTTTGTATTTTTTGAATGTTCCAAAATTTCTGAATTTTCTAAATTTTCTGAATGTTCTGATTTTTTATTTTTTCTAAATTTCTTGGTATTCTGAATTTTCTAACTTGTTTTCCTTTTAATTTAAATTCTAATTCGGGTTTTTCTGAATTTTATGTTTTTTTTTGTATTTCTGAATTTTATGAATTTGCTGGATTGTCTGAATTTTCTGAATTGGTTCCCTTTTAATTTAAATTGGAGTTCTGAATTTTCTGAATTTTCTGTGTTTTCGGAATTTTCTGAATTGCTTTTCTTTCATTTAAATTAAAATTCTGAATTGTCTAGGTTTTCTGACTTTTTGGAGTTTTCTGAATTTTATGAATTTTCTGTGTTTTCTGAATTCTCTGAATTCTATAAGTTTCAGAATTTTCAAGGTTTTCTGAATTACCTGTGTTTTCTGAATTTTCTGATTTTCTGTGTTTTCTGAATTGCCTAAATGTTCTAAATGTTCTGGATTTTATGTTTTTTCTTGGTTTTAAGATTTTTATTATTTTTTGTTTTTTGAGATTTTCTCTGAATTTGTGTTGTTTTTTTCTTTAAATTTTACTTCCTTTTTAACCTATATCATTTTAATTTTACTTCCATAAAACAATAATGTATGTTTTATTCAATAACCATTACGAACAACTATAACACAATATATGTTATGATCTAAAGCTATCATCTCTATAGCTATCATCTCTTCTTGCCATGCTGCCGGAAGAAAAAACCCAAGAACCAAGTATTTTCTGACAAGAAATTTTCTTGAAAACATATTTCCTGAAAAGGGTACTTCCTGAAAAGGATAATTCCTGAAAAGGCTTGTTCTTGACCAGGAAACTATCCTGAAAAGGATAATATCTACTAAGAAAACTTGCCAAACGACAAAAACATTATCTATAGACAAAGAAACCCTGCCTATCTAAACTTAAAACGCTTTTTTCCGCAATTTTATTTCTTATATTATATATATATTCAATTGCTGTTGAAAAATGTGTACAAAAATTGAATCCTTCGCATTATAGGTTCTAAGCCTTTGGATGTTTCAAAAAATAAGTTAAAAGTTAAAATAAGTATTAACTTTCACGAGATCCACCCATTTGGCCGAGATAAGTGTGCATGGCTCCGTTTTCATCCCCCGCAAGACAGAAGTGCGCGCAAATTTCCTATGCCCTGGCTCACAAAAACAAAACGACAAATTGCTCACATCCAACAAAAATTTACGAAGGGCCGGATGGCTGCCAGGTTTCCAGGGATGTAAAGTGATACTTACCGGAAAGGAACCAACACGTGGCAAAGCTCCAACGGCTGTGTTTCTTATCAAAAACTGATGCCACAGTTGCAAGCCAAATTGGACACCATTTTTTGACACACGTAGTTAGTTAGTTGATTCTTGATAGTAAGTTTCGCACAGATCAACAGAATGTTGCAAGCAACGGCTGCAATGCTGCAGCAGCTCCACTCCAGCCCGATAGCCCGGTTGTGCTTTAAGAGATGTGTGAAAAAGAACCCATTCATCAAAAGTATCGAAAAAAAACATTGCAAGCACATGGGGTCGACATGCAACAGGATAAGTTTTGACAAAACTTCAATTGGGAAGGACCCACTTTGCAGAAGTATTTGCATGACCATTTTTCCAGAAAAATGTTCCGCACACCCAAAATTTCCTGGAGTGACAATATAATAAACATTAGTCGAGCAAGAGCCGCAGAACATGGTCCAAGAAATGGTCCTGGCCGCACGAATCCGCTGTGAAATGGTCCTGGCAGAACCATAATTGGTAATTATGGTCCTGGCAGAACCATAATTGGTAATTGTGGTCCTGGCAGGACCAACTCGCACAAAATAAGTTTGCACAGGTCCAAATCAAACCAAAATTAATTACCAGTTATGGTCCTGCCAGGGCCATAATTGCCAGGACCACGGTTGGGCCTGGCGCAAAATTGGTCCTGGCAGGAACAGATTTTCGGGCAAAATGGTCCGGCCAGAGCAATTTTTCGTCAATTGGTCCGGCATGATCATTTTCAGGCATTGGTCCAACCCAGGACATTTTTCATATGTTTGTTCTGCAATTGCCAAGGCCCCCAAGAAATGCCGTTTTGCTTTGTGGAAACTCGGTCTCAACAAGATCTTTTTCTGGAAAGTTCCTCGCACCAAGACGCTGTCAATTCCAAACTTGCAGAAATTTGTTTCTGGCAGGACAAATTCTCCCAGAGCTTCCTCCTTTTATTTTGACAAGAAAAACAACAATCGTAGATTAATCAAAGTTGCAATGGGTAAAGTTGGCAAACCAATTTTGTGGGCAATGTCTCGCTCATCCAAGAGGGGTCCTGCCAACGACCACTATACAATCATGTCGATCTATCAAAGCCACTGTTGAAAGTTGAAAACATGAGTTTAACAAGCTCCTGCCAAGAGCAAGTTTGAAAGACCGCTGTCGAACCAAGGCCGCTGCAACAGAAACACCCATGCATGTTGATTGTAAAATGTGTGACACCTTTGACAAACGAAAACGCATGTTTTTGCACGCGCGACTGCACAAAACGGCTCCAACTCCAGGAGACAAGGTTGTGCACACTTATTTTCTCATATTTTTTGGAACCTGCAAAAATCACAACTCACGAAAGTTAGCAAAAATAAGTTCAAATAAGTTTTAAATAAGTTATGATAAGTTCAAATAAGTACTAATATTTTCATTAAGTGCCTGAAGTGAAAATATCTGAAGAAATTAGTGGTATTTAGTGGTCTCAGTTACGTCTAGCAGGTGTTTCGCGTGCAGCAACGTACGATCGGCATCGGTGGCTGTGCAAGGAAGCCGGCACGAAGCTGGAACTGCGTGGAAAGCAGAGCAAAGGCTGATTGAGAAGGATCGAAAACGCTTTGTGTGAACGCGAACGCAATGTGAGCGCTTGTCTTCGAATGGCTTGTGGTTGCTGCAGGTGTACCTCAAGAGTTTTCCGAAAAATGTTTACTGCGATCAAATCCATTGGATAGATTTCCGCAAAAGTGTACTCCGCAGTGAGACGATGAGTGACATCTGGCAGTAATGCTGGTGGACTGCGAGCTGGTGCTTTGACAGCCCTCGTGTGTTCCGGTGGACCACGACCAGAATTTTGGTAGTACAGAATAGTTTCACATGTCTGTGCGTCCGTCAGAACAACATCCTGTGCATTTTCTTATTGGAAAAACACCAGCTGTTGTTTTGATCTCAATTTCTCAGACGTGTAGGAAACAACAGGGAGACACTAGGGTGTGTCAGGAACTGAAAAGAGTAGGGAACTGAAGAGAGCTCTCAACAAGAAAGACGCTGTCAAGATTCAAACATGACAAGTGCAAGCCATATCAAAAGACAGTGCCAGACAAGGAAGTCAAGAGATTGAAGTGTTGGGGAGAAAAACACGCCCAGACAAACAGAAGGCAACAGGAAAGATTGTCAAGATTCAAAGATATCGGTAATACTGAACTCTGTCAAGATTCAGACATGTCAGGAGCAAGCCGGTTCAAGAGACAGTGGCAGCATCAGACAAAGATGTCGAGAGCAAGAAACGTCAAGGACAAAGACTTCCAAGAGATCACGCAGTCGACGGCCGTGCCAGCCAGGCGGTCAGCTGCTGTTCCTAAAGGCCCTCCCTTGTCTTTATATGTCTTTATAGGTTCTTCCCTCTCTCGAACCTTCCGTCACCCGGCTTGCCCGGGCTCTAATTGTATAAAAATGGGATAACTTGACATAACCAAGTAATTAGGGACTTCTTGATCCAGGTTACTAGGGCCCCGAAGTCTCGGCTTGGGTTGGTATTTTGCTGGGCTTTAAGGCTTAAAGGCCTTTAAGAAGTCAGGATTTCACCAATTAATTCCTTCCCCCTAATACCAGTAGTACAGCACAAGGCGGTGGCTGAAGTTTCAACGATAGGAAACCTATAGGAGAGGTGAGTTGCTGTGATGCATGGATGGCAGAGAAGAGAGAATCCACTGGTGGACTGAAAGGTGGTTGAGGCTCTGAGTCTCTATCTCTCTCTCTCTCTTTATATATATATATATATCTATCTATCTCTCTCTCTCTATATATATATATATATATGTATCTCTCTCTCTCTCTCTATCCCTCTATCTCTATCTGTCTCCATTTTCATCTCGATCTCTATCTATTTCTATCTCTGCCTCTATCCATCCATCTATCTATCTATCCATCCCATCTATCTGAAAGGAAGCGATTATGTGAGACTTCCCTCGGACTGGAACAAAAACATTACATAATTATCCATATATATATACAGATAGACAGATAGAGATAACACATGTGCATGTGCAAATATATGCACTTATACATCGAGAGATTCAATATCGATGTAAATAATATACAGATTGATTGTGCAATCTAGTAACGTGGTAATAGTATGTAATAGTATGTAATAGTATGTAATAGTATGTAATAGTATGTCATAGTATGTCATAGTATGTAATAGTATGTAATAGTATGTAACAGTATGTAATAGTAATAGTATGTAATAGTATGTAACAGTATGTAATAGTATGTAACAGTATGTAATAGTATGTAACAGTATGTAACAGTATGTAATAGTATGTAATAGTACCTGCTCTGTCCTCCACATGTGTTTGGTCTTCCGCCGGGACATTGGATGCGATTGCGGCACTTGAAGACCTGCAGAGCCTTATCCTTGGTGCTGTAGTAGCCTTCAACAATGGCTGGAACGAAATCTGGACCATTTTTGGCGGTTCCATTCAACAAGTTGTGCTCGCTGGATGAGAAAGGACAGGTCATCCCTTCTGGGCATGCGTTGCAAATGGATTTGTTTCCACCTTCTCCGATGTCGATGCTGCCTCAAGGGGCGGTCATCGCAGCTCTTAGCGTCTTTAAGCCTCTAAACATGATACCTTTCAATAAACTAGCATAGCTATGGGAAATTGTCCATCTATAGATGACAAATCCCTTAAATACAAATGGTGATGTTCAATAGCAAACTGCGAGTTTACCAGAGGGTGTCCTATGAACCCATGGGGCACTAATAAATAAATAAATAATGTTAGTGTAGTTATAAATCTAAACAAATAAATAAATAAACAAATAATTAAATAATAAACAAATAAATAAATTACTTTACTGCGTGTGATCCCCACCATGACATTTATACATTTTCTTACTGGCAAATCTTCTGGCATTCTATCTGACATATCTTCTGACATTCTATTTGGCATTCTATCTGGCATATCTTAGGGCATATGTTCTGGCATATCTCCTGGCATTCTATCTGGCAAATCTTCTGGCATTCTATCTGGCATATCTTCTGGCATTCTATCTGACATATCTTCTGGCATTCCATCTGGCATTCTATCTGGCATATCTTCTGACATATCTTCTGGCATTCTATCTGGCATTCTATCTGGCATTCTATCTGGCATATCTTCTGGCATATCTTCTGGCATATCTTCTGGCATACCTATCTGGCATATCTTCTGGCATATTTTCTGGGTTTCTATCTGGCAAATCTTCTGGCATTCTATCTGACATTCTATCTGGCATATCTTCTGGCATATTATCTGGCAAATCTTCTGGGATTCTATCTGGCATATTTTGTGGCATTCTATCTGACATGTTATCTGGCATTCTATTTGGCATACCTTCTGGCATTCTATCTGGCATATCTTCTGGCATTCTATCTGGTATATCTTCTGGCATTCTATCTGGCATATCTTCTGGCATTCTATCTGGCATATGTTCTGGCATTCTATCTGACATTCTATCTGGCATATCTTCTGGCATATTATCTGGCATATCTTCTGACATTCTTTCTGACATTCTTTCTGGGATTCTATCTGGCATATCTTCTGACGTTCTATCTGACATCTTTTCTCACATTCTTCCCGTTGAGGTCCGGCAGTGCCCACTGCGATCTGGAAGTCGCGGTTGAGGTCCGGCAGTGCCCACTGCGATCTGGAAGTCGTGGTTGAGGTCCGGCAGTGCCCACTGCGACCTGGAAGTCGCGGTTGAGGTTGGGCAGTGCCCACTGCGATCTGCAACTCGCAGTTGAGGTCCGGCAGTGCCCACTGGGATCTGGAGCTCGCGGTGGAGGTCCCGCTGTGCCCACTGGGATCTGGACTGCGAGGAGGAGGCGGCGGGTGAGGAGGCGGAGGAGGCAGAGGAGGCGGAGGAGGAGGAGGAGGAGAGCAGCTCTGACAAAATTTTAAAAACCCTCACCTGGCAGGTGGTGAATAAATACATACTGTAAATAAATTAATAAACAAATGAAAAAATAATTACATATAATACATACCATCACCATCATAGCTCTTCCAAAAAGCCCGCGTCCCACATGGAACAACGGCACTTTGAGCCCGACCTGCGATGCAGCCACAGTCTTCCACGCTGGGTCTGCCATCTCCCAAAGTAGTGGTGCCAGCCACGCAGGGGATACACCGCGCTTGCCCTTTCTGATCTTGGTACTCCCCGATGATGCAGCGCTTGCAAGAGGTTTGGCCGCTCTTGTCCTGAGCGTTCCATCTACATGCCTATACAGTCAAAACACGGGGATTCATGGAGTATGGGCATTAAAAAAACACATGGGTGTACATCAGTTACGAGCCACTTAGCTAATTCTGGCAACGTCTACATGAAAGTGCAGTTCCAGGTTTAAGTATATAAAATTATATAAAGCCATAGTTATAGGGATGTCATAGGGCAACTCATGGTACTTGTAAGTTTAGTTGACCATGGCTCCAACTATAGCCTCTGGCCGGCACCCTGCGCCAAGGCGCCTGGAATTCACCAAACAGGCAGGGCTCGCATTGCAAAGCGGCTCCCGAGGGCTGAGATGTGCCAGGAGGGCAGAGAGTGCAAATGTAGGTGTCCCCGTCGTTGTCCTTTTGACCCAAAAAAGAACCGATGAAGAAATGGATGATTTATGAGGAATCAATGGACAGATCATACATGTTTCTAATGGAATCTTTGGGTAAACCACAAGTCAATGGATTGATTTAGGGCTTCAAGGAACATATTTACTGGAAAGCAAGGTGATCGAACTCCAACAACATGATTGGCCTGTAGATTCTTTCTGAAGCCAAGTCTGGTACAATACCAGTATATAAAAAGGCAGGAATGGAGACGCTTCAGAAAGTTTGATTCTCTATTGACACCCGCTGGGATGATGAGAATGGAGAATGGATCAGGCACCGGGAATGGATGGAGCTGAACTAACCACTTGATCCCATGATCAATTCCCCAACTACCTTTGGTCAATAGTTCGGCCCTGGTTCCAAGATTCACATCCCTTCCCTCCTATGGTAGCGAATGGAAGAAGGCAATTTCCAAACTTTTCCATGAAGCCGCAATAGTATAACATCAACAATGTGCGCTTTATGAACATTACTGAACAACACTAAACATTGGTGTATGCACCGCGGATCAATTGTACTTGCCCATCCCTAGTCATTCGGGTTGGCTACCCTTACCCCAGTGGAGTCGAGTGAAGAGCCACTATGTGGTTTTCGTAAGTCTGACTGATTCAGTATTTTTCTCATGGTTTACACAAATGGTTCCAGCCACGGCTCCCTTCACCACCACCGGGCCCTGTCCTTGAATTTTTCGGAGAAGCGACCGGACTCGCAAGCCCGGCATTCCAAAAAACTTTTGTCTTGCCGGTCTGCCACAAACTCCTGTCGTTGAACCATGCATCCAAAAATAGAAGAACGAGTCATCATCCAATCTGTGCAATGCCCAAGAAAACTAAATAGGAAAACATCAGAAACCATTATAAAACATTACTTGAACTAAATAGACCAGGTTGTGGTCCATAAGCAAATATGCCGGAAACTACAAGTGCATGGGTTTGTCTGAAAATGAGGCACCCTTAAAATCCATTAGGTAATCATTTTTCCTACCTGGAAAACCTGGTTCCCGTTGTTTTGGGCACTTTCCAAAGTGTGCCATTTTAGGAGTAGGAGTTCTACTGGTATTTATGGCATTTTACGGGTATTTACCGCACTTTTGCCACCCATGCTGCGCCAAAAGATTTAGTGCCTCTTTTGTGTGAGAGAATTGCAAAATATGGACTACTGGGCGAAATTATCCTGAAACAATAGGCAACTACAGTACGGCTTTCCATGTACATATACCAAACATTGCCACAATTAAGCTATACCGTATACCCATTCTCTCTACCGATTCTACCGCAGTTTGAGACACCAGCACGCGCAAAAAAAGAGGAACTGTTTGTCCTGAGTGTTGGTGTTCCAAAGGCCGAACTGGGGGAAGCATTTGGAGGTGTCCGGGAGCCACTCGGTCCAGATTTCCTGCGACTTATTGTCCTGCAACCAGCGGCAAGCCACTTGGTATGCATCCTCACCTGCAGCGACAAGTGAGAAAAGGATCGATAAATTGACCCAAATTTTGAGCCATGAAAGTTACAGCGTCCGTTGTTACCAAATGTAGCTACTGGTTGATTGAGAGGTCTCCCGTTCAGAAAACTTCCAAGAAACCGAGTAAGCCTTGGGCTATATAACGCCATCTATTTTAAGACGTGGAAATACAAAAATTGATTCCATTGCGATTGGTCTCGCACAAGTTTGTTTGATGTGTAAATGTACATGCATATATTGCACACGTAGATGCACTCAACATGCAATCTGAACTCAAAAGTGCTGCAACAAGTGCGGAACTCAGAGTGGAACCTGTATCAGAGGCCCATTGAGGGAACTCAGGCCAGCAAAGAGATCACTTAGCGAAGCAGAAAAAAGGTCACTCAGCACACCAGAATGTCAGAAGTGGCATGTTTTTCTTTGGGTCTAAATGACCCCCACAAGAGGTCACAAAGAACCTCCTGGAAATTGGCACGTCACGAACTCAACTGCAGTAAATGTCCAAAATGCTTGGCTTCACATCAACCACAGAAGAAACAGAAGGGCGACCGCTATGGCGGTACCAACAGGTTTTTATGCACATCTTACCGTCCATATTCGTCCATGCTCTTCCATCTCGGGAAGTATACAGACTTAGAAACACCCCGAATAGAGAGGATGAAATGAGATGAAATGAGAATTCCTGTTTCCGCCTTCTGGGTTGCGGCTTAGCCCAGTTGCCATTCAAAAACAAGTCGTGCAGGTACAAGAATTGGCGTCCCAATTCTTCTCCAACTGATTTCCGTAGCTTCGTTGGCACGGATAGGAAATCAGTATCCGTGCCCCCTGCTCTGCTGGTATACTGATTCGAAACGAACGATCAAAACTCATGTGCTGCCGGTCTGAAGCTGCACGAAGCGCCGGATTCAAACTCATGTGTAACATGTGTAACATACGTCAAATTGCATTGAACTGCTGTACCAGAAAACCCGCTGTGTTGGTATACTAATTCGAAACGAAGGATCAAAACTCATGCGGCGCACGTCTGAAGATGCACTATGGGTGGCTGTGTCTGGTTGCTAGGCAGATTCGGCTGTATGCTGCAGAGAACTTGTGCTGTGTGGAAGCTGCAGAGCCAAAAGATTGAAACTGCCAAGTGTTGTCTGGTTGAATGTAAGATAATGTATGTCTTTGTAGGTCAATGGTGCGTCCCACTGGCGCGTTTGCTGGCTGAATGTTTTGTGACTCAATAGAGGTATTATCAGTTTTCTGGGACTTGGCGGTAGCGGTAGTGCTCGAAATTGAATGGCTGATTGATCAAACTGCGCACTCTCGTTTTTGGTGGATCTGTTGTTGGAAAGTTTGTAGAGTGCAAATAGGTGGTCCGAGTGGGCGTTGCTGGAACGGAGAATTTTTTGCATGTCAAACGAACGTTGGCTTTGTTCTGCGAGAATGTGTGGTTGAAGCCAGGCTGTGGTATGTTTGGACAGGTTCTCGTTGTAAAAGTGGAATACTTGCTTGTAGATCATGCAGCGGCGGAGTTGTGCATACAGTTTCTGGCCATGTCCTAGGAAGGTGCTGGCTATTGCTTGTAAGTGTGGTGTTGAATGTTGTTTGGTGACTTTGCGTTGCATGATGAAAGGATAGATGAGTGGTGGGCACCAAAGCTGGATCATGTAGCTTTGCTGCATTTGTGTTTGTAGTTGTGAAGATGTTGTTATTAGTGGGAGTGGTACAAACTGATAGTAGTTGCCTTGGCTACAAAACCAATGCAATGCAAGTTCACGATACTGGTTGACCGTTTTGTAACTGCTTAAGCTTCCGGTGTCTGTTGTTCTGTCGAAAATGTAATGTGTGTATGATGCTGCCGATGCAATGCTCTGTAGGCGACAGGTGTATGTTGAGTTTTCCCGCGCCAGAGACATGCAACAAGATATATACAACATTGGATTGATGAAACAACTGGCGCATATCCTCAAAAGTGCGGACATCCTTCAAATGCGTCCGCTGAATCTTTGGCTCATTTGGCTCCATTTTCGACACGATTCTTGGTGATTATGATTTAATACAAAACACCGAAAGAAACAGAAACACGGAGAACCAACCGAATAGATATAGAGCAACAATCTTGATCAAGCGGAAAATGTTCAAGACAACCGAAGAAGACGATACATGCGGCAGCGAACAGTACATGTTTCGGGTCATCTCGATGTAGTCACTCAAGCTGCATCACTCCAAAGAGCAGCAGCTTGTAGAGCTCATCCATGGTGATGTGTAAGTTGTTGTAAGTATTGTGTTGCTTGTGGTGGTGTCTTAAGCGAGTTGGGCGTACACTGCTGGATCTCCCAAATGTTTTCTTGAGAACTGTCCGGTACAGATGCTAACTTTCGTAATTCGGGGGCACCCCTCGAATTTAAGGTTGAGGCCATGTCCCTAACCATGTTTTCAATGTGGAAAATTGTGTTTCTGTTTAAATCGCATTCCTTGCTATATAGAAAATTTGTGCATCGACAAAATAAGGACCATCATTTGAAGATATACAACAGGCGAGCTCAGTGAATGGATTGTTTTCCAAAGAAAAAATGATCCAAACATGCCAAACAAGTGGCGGCACGAAAGAATCTCATTGATTTGAATTTCTGTAACAGACTGTAACATGTTAAGCAGAATCCAAACAAACCATTGCTTTTGTTCAATGCCCAGTATGATCTCAAACAACTGCAAGACCTGGCAGCCTGTCAGTGCGTTTTTTTCCCTCCCCAGGCAGCAGTAGGATTGTGGATGATGATCATAATCAACATCATAATCACCATCAACTTCATCATTATCATCATCATCATCAGCGGCGGCGGCGGCAGCGGCAGCGGCATCATCATCGTCATCATCATCATAATCATCATCATCATAATCAACATCATAGTCATCATTAGCATCATCATCATCATCATCATCGTCATCATCACCATCATCATCATCATCATCGTCCTCATCCTGGGTTCCCTCCAACTCGATTATTCCAACTCAGGTTGGAAATGGATCGAACTGATGGCAGAAAGTACCATTCAATCATGCGCTGGCGGCGAGTATTGGATGTTGACATTTCCCTGAAAATTATTGAATATGGCATTGCTACCATTATTGGGTAACAAATAAAATCTATTACCATGAATATGCTGTTCAGCCCAACATAATTGGCAAATCGGTCTAGCAATCGCCACATTTAAGGTAAAATTGGCGGGTTGATTTGAAACACAAACCAACATTTCCACCCGCGGGATTTTAATGGGTCGTGGTTGGCTCTGACAGAGTCGGAGTTGACAAAAGTCTTGCTAGGAGATGATTAGATTGGCCTGCGCGTGAACCTGAAAGCACAGACATGAGAACCTACCAGAAACAATGGTCAGTCAGATTCTGTCAATGTGCTGCCGTGATTGGGTAACTGTTTTTTGCTGATGACTGCAACCAAAACTATTGTGTAGGGTGGTTGTTAAATCATTAGTTTGCCCTTCAAACGTGACAAGCACTTTGTTACAAGTCCTGATACAAAATCTTAAACTCACAGGGTCGATCCTTAAATTCCGAGGGCCAGTCCTTACATTCAGAGGATCAGACCTTAAATTCAGAGGTCCAGACCTTAAATTCAGAGGGTCAGACCTTAAATTCAGAGGGTCAGACCTTAAATTCAGAGGGTCAGACCTTAAATTCAGAGGGTCAGACCTTAAATTCAGAGGGTCAGACCTTAAATTCAGAGGGCCAGACCTTAAATTCAGAGGGCCAGACCTTAAATTCAGAGGGTCAGACCTTAAATTCAGAGGGTCAGACCTTAAATTCAGAGGGTCAGACCTTAAATTCAGACGGTCAGACCTTAAATTCAGAGGGTCAGACCTTAAATTTAGAGGGTCAGACCTTAAATTCAGAGGGTCAGACCTTAAATTCAGAGGGTCAGCCTTAAATTCAGAGGGTCCCTCTGTACTTAAGGAATTTTGGCATCACTTTTTGATAAAAAAACAATCAAAAATCAAAGTTTTTGGTGAAAAATATATGCCAAATTAGGCCAATGTGGCAATTTTGGCATCACTTTTGCATACAAATCATTTGTTTTTGGTCGTTTTTTACCCAAAAGTGATGCCAAAATTCCTTAAGTACAGAGGGACCCTTTGAATTTAAGGCTGACCCTCTGAACCTAAGGTCTGACCCTCTGAAGCTAAGGTCTGACCCTCTGAATTTAAGGTCTGACCCTCTGAATTTAAGGTCTGACCCTCTGAATTTAAGGTCCGACCCTCTGAATTTAAGGATTGGATCATAAGAGTCTAAAGGCCCTTTGAATTTAAGGATTGGGCCCTTTCAAGTTCAGGATAATTGGATTCTACGCATTGACCATCAAAATTTAAGGGTTGACCATCTGAATTTAAATTCTGGCCGTCGGAATTTAAGGATTGGGCATTTGTACTTAAGGATTGGCGGTCTGAATTTAAGGACTGGACCCTCTGAATTTAAGAACTGACCACTTGAATTTCAGGATTATATAACCATCTGAATTTAAGGGCTGATCCTCTAAATTTAAGGGTTTACCCTTTGTATTTAAGGACTGACCCTTTGAATTTAAGGGCTGGACCATCTGAATTTAAGGACTGACCCTCTGAATTTAAGGACTGGCCCTTTGAATTTAAGGATTTACCCTTTGTATTTAAGGACTGGCCCTTTGAATTTAAGGGCTGGACCCACTGAATAAGGATTGACCTTCTGAATTTAACAAGATTTCCTTTGAAAGGGGTCCTCAGAGTGAAAGGGGTCCTGGGTGCGCACGCGCCGCGCGCCAAATGGTCTCCTAAACAAGCCTTTTTGGCGCGCGCGCGCGCGCGGCGCGCAGCTCGGGACCCCATTTACCCCTAAGGACCCCTTTCAAAGGAAATTTTGTGATTCAAGGACTAACCTTCTGAATTTAAGGGTTTACCCTTTGTATTTAAGGACTGGCCCTTTGAATTTAAGGGCTGGACTGTTTGAATTTAAGGACTAACCCTATGAATTTAAGGACTGACCCTATGAATATAATGATTTACCCTTTGAATTTAAGGGCTGGACCCTCTAAATTTAAGGACTGACCCTTGAAAAAAATAAGGAAAAAAAGGCAATACAGTCAAAAAAATCGAAATATAGAAATAGAAAAAACACTAGAAACAAACAATAAAAATAATATTACAAAGTTTTTTAATAAACATAATAAGCGTTTTTGTTTTGAAAAAACACTGGAAATTGATCAAACTATTGAAAATGGTAACCAGCACGAGAAAAAATGAAAATCAAATTTAAAATATTTTTTGAGGATAACAATGAAAATTTAAAAACAATAGAAAAACACTAGAAACGTATTCAAAAAAACAATAAGAAAAAATGGTGCGTCAAGAAGTTTCCGTTTTGTTTGGTGGCACTGGCGTTTGGTGTCTAGTATGCCACCATGAAATTCAGTTTCAGAGTTGTCAGTGATCATAATGCTCACAGTGATTGATTTGCAGTTTTCTGCATGCAAATCATACTATTTTGTTGTTGTTGTTTGCGTTTTCAGCTGGTCACACCAAAGTTGCTGGGTCATCTTGAGCTATGCAGCTACACCCTCGCATGGTGGATGTATGCAATCCCAGTCTAATCTAGTTTTGACTTCCAAACACCTCTTTGCGCACACACCCGACCCTTGAGGACAGGGGGGGTCCTTAAGCACAGGGAATTATGAAAGTTAACAGGTACAGAAATGGACAATACACAAAAATGGCTGCGGCAGCATGGTCGCGACAGTGAACTCAATCTTTCTGAGGTATTGAACGTCGCTGTGCGCAATCCATTGTTTGGATTGCCTCAAGTGCTGTGGCCACTGTTGTTCGTCCAACTGTGCCAGTCTGCATAGGTGATTGTATTGATGTTGTAGTGTTGCAACCATCGTTGTAATTTGGGCCATGTTTGTTGGCAGTAGTGATGTTTTGTAGGATACACATGTGTGCCAGCATGCGTGGCTAAGAAATCACGGTCTGCTGTTGCTTCGCCACGACATGACTGTACAATGCAGGAACGACCTGTGCGGCGCTTGAGCACGAATTGGCTCAGTTTGAAGAAATTGGTTAGTTCTCAACGCGTTCCAATGACAACTACTCGGAGGCTGCAATGAACTTCTGCTGATTACAGCCGTAGGTTCTATTCTATTCAACGCTAGTCATGAACCCCTACATGGTAGTATGCTGTCAATGCTAGATGATGCTGTTCAATGGCTCAACTTTGTAAACAAGATCCACAACAAAACTCAGGTCAGCCTATTATCGAAAGCGGTGCAATAACCTGTTCCGCTCACGTGTGGTATGGACTATATCGAACAAGCTGATGAACATGTGTCGTAACAAGAGTTTGTAAACATTGTTGTTCTCTTTGAATATGGAGAATATTGTCGCTTTTTCACTTGGTGAAACTACAGGGCAAGAGCTGAGGACTAATAACCTCTCATTTCCACATCGGTTTGCAGAGTCAGCCGCGGAGCATCTTCGCGCATCACATCACTTTGCGGTGGCTCTGTTGTGTGTTTGTGTCGGCTCAAGAATCCAAATTGATTGTATTGTGGCTAAAGTGGCGTATATGCACCACCTTCTATCCTTTGCCCGGTGTACAATGCCATGCGTCTCAACTTCTTCCTGCTCAGTGTATGTGCCCCCGCTTGGTACGCATTTGTGGTTTGCCAAAGGGCCTCCAAGTACAAATAGGACATGTGCTTTTCCGCTGAGGTATCTCTACTACTTTTTGAACGATGACTGTAGTCTATCATCCGTTGATGCTGCGCAACAGAAGCCTTGAGTTTGCCTGCCTGACATTGTTTCAGAACATGTTGGTAGTACCATCCCATAAAGTAGAGTTCCCAAGAAGCCAGTTTCACTGGTGGCGTGGGCCCAGTGGGACTGGGAGTTGCCTGCTTGTGACATTTTTGTAGAAGTGCTGCGTGGCATGTTTCGCAGGTGTAATTGCCACACTTGGTACTTGTCATGCTGGTGGAATGTGATGCTGGCAAGCGTGGTTTGGATAGGCATCCCACTTGCAACAATGTATTTTGACAATGTATTGATGATGTGTTCTTGTGGTAGGTCAATCCCTGGTGGGAAAGCTGCTTCAAGCAAGGCAGCAATTTCGCGGACACTGTTGTCTCCGTCTTGTAAAAAACGGTAATACACCGATGGGGGGTGAGTTCCTGAGCACGTGCTGCTGCTGAGTGCAAGCGCTGCTGAAGTGCTTTCTAGTTGATTGACTGGTAATGGTTTCTGATTGGCGGCTGCAAAGGTGTGACTACGGATGTGTTGCTGTCGATATTGCGTTGGACAGCTGCTCCGACTGGGTCGTCGGAGTGGTGTTGTGTTGCCTGTGTTGTTTAAATTAGACGATGCTGCCATTGCTATGGTGGCAGGTATGTGCTTGGGTCTTGGCGCAGTACCGGCCTGTATGGCTGTTCGTGTGGCTACTCATAGAACTTGGGCTGACAATGTAAGTGGTGGTGCCCTTGTCGGTTGTGGAGCTGGTGGTGGTGGTGGTGGTGGTGGTGGTGGTGGTGGTGGTGGTGGTGGTGGTGTGTTGGTGCGTGGTGTTGCTGTCGTGGTGTTGCTGTCGTGGTGTGGATGAACGTCGGTGATGGTGATGCCTTGGCGCGTCCGGATCTGGATCTGGAAGATGTGCAGTCATTTCGTTCTGACCGTTTTGCTCTTGCTCTGCTGCATGGCTTGTGGTGATATTGTCGGCGATGTCGACGCCGCATGCTCCGACTTCTTCGGCTTCCACGCCTAGATCGTGGAGTAGTTGAGTGCCTGCGTCGCCGGCTGGCGTGATGTGGTGAATGTTGCTTTACTTGTTGAGGCTGAACGCATGTTGAATGACCAGGTGGCTGTGTGGCTAGTGATGGTGAGGTGGCGTCTGGGTGGCTGGGTTGTGCTGTGGGTTGATGTGATGGCGATGCTTGTTGTCCGTAGACAAAAGTGAGCCGGTCAGGAAGTCTCGATAATTTTGGCTTGTCGTTCCAGCCAATGTAGAAGGAGCTGGTGCTGGCGATGGTGGTTGGTAAGCTGGAAAAGGTGCTGGGCATGCTGCGGCCGGAACCATGTGGACATGTGCAGGGCTAGTAGGCGTTGGTGTGTGGAGCTGCTGCTGTGCTGGTGGAATTGAAATTGGACAAGTTGGGTTTATGGCAAATGGCGTTGCAGCTGATGTTGTTGTTGGTATGTTCACCTGAGAGGTTGCGGTGGGTGCTTGCTCAGCAGTTGGGTATGGATATGTTGGTGGTGGTTGTGTGTTTGGTGCCCAAGGTGGTGTCCAAAGCATGTGTCGATACATCCAGTCTGCTGAAGACGCCATATGCTCCATGAGAAAAGCGTAAGCGCCGCCACTTGCCCGCCGGTCAAACTCAACTGTCAAATCAAATAATTACTGTGGTTGAAGTTTGTTTGGGGGATGACACAAGGAATTCTGAAATGAAAACTCTGAGGAGGAATCTGATGGAAAATTCTGGCTTCAAATATCTGGTAGCAAATCTGGTTCTGAAGGGTGAATTGTGTGTAGTGGTTTGGCGCATGGTGCAAGATCTGCTTCTGCAGCACAATAAGGTGCGAACACCTTTGAACCGAATTCCGTATAATTCCGTTGTAACAGCCGGTCTGGTGAAACTCTTGAATCCCCGGCGGACGCACCGCCAAGCTTCCCTGGCACTTATCAGACTTCCAGGTGCATGAGAAGCACTACACAATTCGAAGCACTCGGAAGGGAGAGGATGAAATGAAATGAAATGAGAATTCGTGTTTCCGCCTGCGGGTTTCCAGTTGCCATTCAAAAACAATTCGTGCAGGTTCAAGAATTGGCGTCCCGATTCTCTCCCAATTGATTTCCGTAGCTTCGTTGGCACGGATAGGAAATCAGTATCCGTGCCCCTGCTCTGCTGGTATACTGATTCGAAACGAACGATCAAAACTCATGTGCTGCCCGTCTGAAGCTGCACGAAGCGCCGGATTCAAACTCATGTGTAACATGTGTAACATACGTCAAATTGCATGAGACTGCCATATCCAAGCTTATGCGTTGCATGCCTCAAAGTACATTGAACTGCTACTAATTCGAAACGAACGATCAAAACTCATGCAGTGCACGTCTGAAGATGCACTGAAGCGCCAGAGTCAAACTTATGTGTAACACACACTCACATAAAACAACCCCCAACAGAATGGATTTATCACTACGTAATTAATTATTTTAGTAGGGAACTACTTGTCCATCTCTGGGGAAAACTATGCGCATAGTATTATCAATCTGCTTATGTCTTTGTATGATTGTTTATATATATATATAATTAATAAATAAATCTACAGTACATCGCTGGGTGAGAGAGCAGCTATGGCAGTAGCAAGAAAAGGGCTCTCCACATCCAGGCGCAAATGTTACTGCACAACAGGAAGCGCGCATATTGATGCACATAGGGATGCATGAGCAAACAGAAACCTACGCTTATACACATATATGTGGATCACACACACATATGTATATTATATATATACAGCATATACGTGTAGAGATATATGTATGTATATATATATATGTATATAATACAGATGTAATGTATATAAATATATTATATATACATGTGTAGTCATGTGCATACATATACAGTATGTATCACAAATACGGTATATAATATTAATATATGTGCACAAAGTCAGCGGGGAAAGTGAGAGGATGGAAGGAGAAAACTCTGCCTGTGTTGATCTGGTCCATCATCATCTTGTTCACCTTGGATTTGCTCAGAACGGCTGCCCACACCCAGAAATATGTTGTACAACCGCAAACAGGTCATATGTCATAATCCAAGTCAGGTCATTGCCTGGGCTTGAAAATAGCATACCTCAAAATTCCATGATTCATCACCATGTTTCGCAACTGCAATCCTATGTCTATTGTCCTTAGCAACTCCAGGTTTATCTTCTACGACTGTCCCCACAAGAAAAACTGACAAAATACCAATACATTAATAGCCATTATCATTTAATGTTAAGTTCATATGAATAAGCAGCCCGAATCAATCAACACCCACAGTCCAAAAAAATGTTTGGCAATACTACTTTGGGTTGGTCCCTCCTTATTAAACCTACCAATAAACATGCCCACTACCCGTATGAAACAACACCGTGCTCAGAAATCCTAATTTTCTTGTGGTAGTCAAGTTTTTTTAAATAGTTTTAATTGTTTTTTCATGGTTGTAAAACTAATGTTTTGAAGGGATGTCCCATGCCCAATCTCACCATCTCACCCCATTGGGAGGGAGGTTGCCTCTGAAAAGAGAAATCTCGACCCATTGGCAGGCAGGTTGGTTGTTTTCTTATGTATGACAAGCTCTAAGCCTAGGTTTTTAATTCGAGGGGACTCTTACCTTCTAGGGGGGGTCTTAACAAGCGAACTTGGCATTATCATCCCTCAGCTGGATTCCCTTCATCCCAGGTTGTTCAAGGCATAAACCTCCATATATACATATATATATATATATATCAGGTTGGTGGTTTCAACCCCTCTGAAAAATATGAGTTCGTCAGTATTGGGATCATGATTCCCTATGGAAAATTGTTCCAAACCATCAACCATATATATATATATATATAGTTGCTTTACATAATTGCCATTAAGTCCTATTCTCATCTATTCTCCTGAGCTATTATCATCTAATCATACTCTTACCTATTGATGATCATCCTTGAACAAAAACCAAAAAAAACCTTCAAAACGGCCTTACATAACTTATGTTACTCCAGCAGCTCCAATTCCTTCCATCCCGGCACCTCGGCCATGGGAATCTCCCAATTTTCCAAAAAGTTCTGCACATTGGGCGCGAGGATATGCAGGTCCCGGCTGACGGCGATGTCCACGCTGGTGGTGGTGGCTTGCGTGCGCTTGTCGCCGATGTCCCAGGCTTGCTTGTCGTAGGGAGGAAAGATCACCTGGCGGAAAAAACACATGGTTTTCCAACAGGTATCTATAGATCTAAAGAGAAAATCTAGATACAATTGTACGCGTAGATGTATTAAAGATAGACATGATATAGATCATATACCTGGTTCTTCAGGTATATTTAATTATATATAGGCAATACGGCTAAGTTATAGTAATTCACTAATCTGCCCAATTGTATCTATTCATATTTATTCTAATCTGTCATTTTGTGCAAGTATATGCAATTTTGCGACAGTGACGTGACAGGGAGGTCGCTATAGTTTATCCATGTTTATCCAATTAACAAATACACTATGCGGCATGTACACACACATACACACACACATATATAAAATATTATTACAGTACAAATATTATAGATTTTTTGATATAAACATCTATCTATATACTGTATTACTGTATATATATAAATAATTACACAGTTCAACACACACACACACACACCCGCACACACACACACACACATCTCTCTTTCTTTCTCTCTCTCTCTCTCTTTCTCTCTCTCTCTCTCTCCCCCTCTCGCTCTCGATATACAACACACATTTTTTGTATTAACTTCAAATGTAGTTATTCGCGGGAGGAACATCACCAGGCCAGGATCCCAGACTTTCGCCCCCCCCCCACCTCCATGGGAGACAAAGTCAGAAAGGTAGGGTCAGGGACCCACCAGTAGAACCAACCTGGCAGCCACGAAAAAAGCGAAATGCAGTGGATTTATGATTTTGCTCATAGGAAACCACCCAAAATATGGGCTGTCCTTGGATTTTCTCTTCAACCCATTCTGGCAGAAACCTAGTACATTTAATAACATCAGGTAGCAAAGTCACGACTTGGGGATCCTCATTTAGGATCTTAGCGAAACCGAATCACAAGAATCACATGAAAAAAAACCTAGATGCTGGTTTTGATCTTCGGCAACTGAGTAAACAAAGTCCAGTTCTTCGCTGTTGCCGCAGCCATTGGGATGTGGTATGATGTCGTTTTCTGCATGGTTCCTTCCATGTCCCAACCGTTTCCAGCGGTGAGCCAAACGAAGCAAGCCGAGGCATTGCTACGACAAGCAGGCGGGTACCAGAAGTGGTCGTCAAAGCATTTGCCGTACACTTCCTGACGGGGTTGGATCCATAGCTATGGCAAAACCAGCATTTTTCATAGGGATTTTATCATTACAAATGGGTGATTGTCCATATATGCTAGATTAGCGGTAATGACAATTCCAGATGGCAATTAGATGCAAATAGCGTTTCAATTTTGGGTGTCAACGGCCAACGAACACAATAAGAGCGAATCTTTGACCATCTATATACGTATGATTGGCAGTTCCTTTTGGGGTAAAGCGGTACACTGCGGCCCTGCGATGAAGCAAGGTGTCTAACCCCGCCGCATGACGCCTCGCCAACAATCTCGACACCGTCCCAATCCCCAGTGAGTTCAGCGTAGAACTTCATGGCAGACGTGATCATCAAACGCGTCTCGTTGCATGGCCTGAGTGTGGCTCCGTCGAAGGCTTTTGGACTGTCGAAGTACTTGGCGGCATCCTTGGAAGTTTTGAAAGACCACCAAAACATCAGGATTTGCAACATGTCAACAATGCATGGAGAAACCGTGAGTATCCCAACCCAAAACAATCGACTAACAATCGTTGGAAAGGAACAGGTAACATGTACAGTGATACATTATACGTCATTATACGTCTAGATTCCCCAGTCCTAGTGGAGTTCCCACAACAAAAAAAAACTGTCAGCAATCCCAAGCATCATGCCACGAAATGTTGTAACCCCTGAAGAAATCGAGGTTGAGGCCCTCCGTCTCCCATGCTTCGTCACGGACCTTACTGGGAAAGAAGAATGAAGTCTTTCCGTTGTAGCCTTGGATGTGCTTCAGGAAACCCTAAACAAAAATAAACCGTATCCCCAGACTGTAGATTTCTCAAATTGATTTCCCATTGGGAAAATATGAGAAATAAAACATCATAAAACATCAGCAAATCCTGGTAGCCCATGTTGCCCAGGTTGATTGGAGCCATGTCCGGATAGGCGATCTGCAAAGCATCCCATTCCGGCTGGTAACCACCAGTCCATGCCTAACAACCCGTTCAACAAGTTGCGACCGGTATGACTTTAGTGCCTAAAAAAAAGCTGAACATCAAGATGATCTTCCCAAAAAAAATGTGGTGGGCATGTAAGACAGGCCTTGTATCCTTGTATGGCCTTGCTGGTTTTACTGTAAGTGAACCCGTTCAACAAAAAAAAGTGATTCTCAACCCAGGTTCCCACCCATTACATACTGGAACTCTTTTTTTTTCTGCCGGGGCTTCTGGAACTGGAACCCTATTTAAAAAATGTTTGAGTTTGGAAGGTGAGTTTCCCATTGGATATTCCGTTATGTCATGTTATATCCATCGTACTGGCTGGTTTAATATCTTTTTCTATTGTCAACATTTGGCAGCCATATTTGCGATGATGTTTTCCAAGTAACTGATAATCATCAGGGGGTTGAGTCACCAATTGGATTGAACGCCTCAATTTTGGAGAGGCCAAATGAATATAGAGATCTATTTGAGCGTTTCGAGCATTTCTTGGAAGACTAGATTTGTTCATTTTTGTCAGCCCCATGTGAAGTTTCATCTCGGGAAAGTACGGTGTACATGACTGAGGAGATTTTCAAGAACTTCCAGAGCCTCCACGTTGACGTGAGTGTATGTGACTGAAACGCCGTCACATCCTCTGTCTCCGATGGTTTCGGGAGTGGCACAACCCGTTAGGGCATAGAAACCATCCACGGTGGCATAGCCGATTCCCATGTCTCGGACATTGAAACCTGCAGGATTTCAAAGCTGGCGCCATTTTCAACCCCAACACCCCAACTATTGAGCTTTTTTGCAGCTTTCGGCTCCATAGGTGAAGGAAAACCTCATGTTTGCTCATTGGTAACTGGGTCGTTCCACGTCCCGGGATGTGGGGAGCCAACTATCCAGTGAAAACCTGCTGCCCAGGTTGGTTCCCTTCAACAACAAATTAATCATGGAACTTCTGTCTGCCCCCCTGACTTGCACCAGTTCAGACTGCTTGGTGGTCCCTCCAAATTCAAGCCATTCAACCCTTCATGGATATTAATTCATAATTGAATTTATCAATTTTGACCCCTGGTGGATGCTACTATGCAGCTAACTATCCTCAGGATACCCCATGGATGCTAATGCGCAGCTAATTTCAACAATACGAACTCCTCGCGGAAGTTACTATCAAGCTAATTTCATACAAATTTAGCCCTCTTGGACTCTTGGATGCTGAAACAAACCCCTCATGGATGCTGATGTCCAGCTATTCTGGTCAAAATTGATGCTGTTTAACCCTGTAGGTACGCTAATCCCAAGCTGTTTCCATTAAAACTGATGCCTTATTGATGGTCATTTCCAACTAATTCCCTGCAAATTCAAGCCATTCAACCCTTCATGGAACTAATTCATAACTGACTTTGTCAAATTTGACCCCTCATGGATGCTACGAGCCAATTCCCATAGAATTGATGCTCCATCGATGCTTATTTGCAAGCTGATTCCAGCAACATTGGTTCATGGATGAATGACAAGCACATTATTTCGGGGGTTGGGTTTTTTGACTCTCTACCTGGACCTTGTTTACCTTGTTGACCTATACGGGGGGGGTTATTAATCCAGGGCTGACATTATTTAAATTGATTAACAACCCACAACATGCAACACTGTCAGGTTGGTGAAATCCACTGGCGCCCAGTCTGCCCAGTCACCTATTTTCTCTTGGAGAATGATGCGGGCCACTTCACTGTTTATAAAGGAGGAAGCCCAACCTGCAGAACTTGGCTGCGACAGAAGTTCGGCTGAACCGAAACATGGGAAATTTGCTATGTGATATCCTCAAAGCCTCCTGTGCGCAAGGTCAAGGCAATGTATTTTAGGTACAGTATGAATTTCTAAAGGGACTTGCAACCAACATCCAACAACTGTCCGACCGCCAGGATCGACAACTGACATCAAAGGCCAACCTACAATCACCTATCTGCAAAAACTCAGTTGCCACAAAATGAGAATGTCCAAAAGACAGCCCAGCAGCCACCGATCCACATTCCGAGCGGATAGGATTGACCGGTCGCTGGATTCGTGAGGTTCTTTCGGTTTTCTGCGGGAATGGCATCGGGCAAGCAGGTCGCGCCAGCCACGGCCACCAGCTGCAAGCACAGCAGCCATGCAATCATGGTGCGGCGCTGAGGTGGCTCAAGGCCAACCAAAGGCTGGTCAGACTGAGAACCGAAATGCTGCGGTGATGGGCTAATCTCAGACTTTCATGGTTCAAAGATTGAATTCCGGAAGGTGTTCATAAATATATATATATATAATATTTATTCATTTAGGACGGTATATAACATAATTCCGATTGCCAGTTTTGCAAAAATTACACTCCGGTAATAAGGTAATCAAACAGGCGTGTATATGTGATCCTGTTTTTTTGCCAAGAAAATCATCAACAATGGACAAATAACAACTTTTGGAACTTTAATCATCCTCAACAAATCCTAGTCCATGTATATTTTCCAATAACACTACCTTCAATGGTCGCGCCAAACGTATCAATCAAATGTGGAGAAAATCTGGATGATATTCATTGATCTTGCAGTAATGGCCCGGAAAACAGTTATGGCCTCTGGATAAACTAACTCCATCAACTAAGCATATCTATATGTATACATGTACACCATTTAAATGAGGTTATGAACAATGATAACTGTTACTTCCTGCTTATTCAACATAGCTATGCAAACGAATTATTTGGATATGATAAACACGATGATTTACCTATTACAAATTGTGATTTTCCAGTACGTGTCCCCAATCTTGTCTGTAAAATCCTGAGCTGGCAGCTTTCAGGCACCGATCGCAGGGGATGATCCGGGGCCAGTTCCTCACCTTCGAGGCCCTGGCGTTGGGGAAAGCCACAGAAAAATGGAGATTTACCGAAGAGAAATTGGATTTCAAGATGATTTTATAGTATCATATGGTATAGCTATAGGCTATAGCTGATATTATAAGTTGGTTTACAACTAGTTTAACTCGGCTGTTTGGTCTACAGTTGGACGGTTGGCACCGAAAATAAACTATAACATCTTATAACTGCAGGGGACACCACATTGTGCCACTGGCCAGACCATGCTCAATAATTGGATAGCCCGTATTGAACCATCCACCCTGGTAATTATGATACATCTGAGTCACCAGTTGTCTGAAGGTATTCCGCTCACAAGAATCGGATAGACCGGGGCAATCGAGGATGCATTTGGGATTCCTTTAGATCATCGTTTGCACTTTGCCCCAGCAAAAAAGGGCGGAAGTACGACCAAACATCGAACTTACACAGAATTTCCATGCCATTCTGGCTGTATTTGCTCGGTGATCGGCAACCAAACGCCGTCAAGGGGCTATAAAGCCGGGCCTAGCTGCTATCCCAGGATCTCAGTGATCCAATAGGAACCAATGAATGAAAGTAAGGAATAATAATATTGGCAGCAATGATTGTCCAGAATGGTGATGATGATGATGATGATGATGATGATGATGATGATTCGATGATGATGATGATGATTCGATGATTCGATGATTCGATGATGATGATGATGATGATGATGATGATGATGATGCTTCCCATATCACAACAGAAATTTGCAGGAGCATGACGAATTGATATCAGTGGCGGATCATCTTGCCAGCAGAACGACATGTTTTAAAACATACATTCCCTCCATTGACTTTGATCGGGTAACGAGTATGTGTGTGTATATATATATATAGATGCAACTTGTCTTTTTTGTGCCCAGGCTTCCAATGGTTTGCCCTACAGCTGGAAATTCACAGCATGCACCTAGAAAACCACCAATTGGCCCAGAAACATAACTCCATAGCCGCTCCACATGGCTAAGAAGGTGGCTGCCAAAAAAAAGTGATGCCTTGCAAAATCCCATCAAGCGTGCTTTCTTTTCAAGCGTGCATATGCTGAAATCGCCTCAATGTTTATGTACCCTCTGGTAAACATACAAAAAATAATGGAAAATCACCATTTTTCATGGGTAAATCCACTATTTCAATGGCCATTTTCAATAGCTATTTTGACATAACCAGAGGGTAAATCACTGTGCAATTCTGCCCATCTCAAATCTCCAACTTCGCCTCGTAGACATCCAAGCCCGCACGGAAGCGGCCGTCCATCAACATCTGGGTCATCGTGACCTGGTCGATGATGGCACCTGAGCATCTTGCTGTGACTCTTTATGAATATATATATATATATATATATATGCATGCATGTATATACAATATGTATATATAATATATATTATTATAAACTATTACAATATATTATATTATATATTTTACTATATTAAATAATATTGATTTATTTTATATTAAACTATATCATATTATATTTTACTATATTAAATAACATTGATTTATTTATATTAAACTATGGCATATTATATTTTACTATATTAAATAAAATTGATTTACTTTATATTAAACTAAATCATATTATATGTTATTACCTTATCTTATTTGATATGTTTATTTCATTTTAAATTATAATAATATATATATATATTATACTATATTTTAAGTAGTATTTCTTTATTATATCATTTTAGATGATATTATATTATATTTTATGATACTAAATTAAGTTAAACTATATTATATGTTATTGTATTGTATATAATGTATTCTATTATGCTATATTAAATTTAATTAAATTATATTATATTATATTAAATTATGTTATATGATCTTACCTTTTATTTTATTATATTATATTATGCTATATTATATATATATATTTATCTTATATTATATTATACTATATTATATTATAATAAAACATGTTATACTATATTAAATTATACTACAGACAGTATATTGTATTATATATACTAATAACATTACATATTATACACATTGTATACATCTGTATGAGTCTTTATGTTTTGGGGGTTCAAGAAGCAATCATAATCCGAATGGCGAATCTTAACCATCAACGATTGATCCCGTTGCTTCCCTGTGAATGTCTGTGGATCGTGGATAGCACGGGTCCAGGAACATGATATCCCACAGATATGATGCATGTGATTTTCGAAGAATTACGTATGCACAAATTCAATCAAATTCATAGTTTGAAACCCAAACTTGGCAACTTAACTTTTTTTTCCCCCTGAAATTGCTGAAGTCCAACAGGCAGAAAGAATTTCCAGTTGCATCCCCTTGCCTCACTCAAATTATGACACAGTCTTCACCCTGGCCCATGACCAGCCATACACAGACTGAGCACACGCTCCTTATAAGCTACTTCTACATGCATATGACTTTTAGGTACTTTAGTGTCTTTAAATGTACACCACAACTCACCTAATTGATCCTAATTGTATACTTGCATGTGGCAGCAGCATGGAACACAATGGCCCATGATCAGCAACCAGCACGCCTCGAGCACAGTTGATCAGAATGGAGTCGGGCCGAAGCAGCTTCAACATCCTGTCGAGGTGTCTGACAGGTCGGGAATCCACATCTAAACTTAAAGAGCAAGGGATGCCAAGTAAAACATAGTAAAACATTAGAAATCATTCGAAACATGACACTGTCCTGAGAAACAAACAGCTACAGCATGACCTGAGCAAGGGCTTTTCTTGCATGCAGGATCATTGCACCCGAGTTGTAGTGCAATACGTTGCGCAGCATGCTTGTCATTCACAGCACATCTGTGGGGAGGTTCAACTTGCCAGGGGCATGCTGCATGCTGAAAGTTCCCGAATCCTAGGTTGGCTCACGAACATTTTATGCCTAGGCCAACGATTGGGTTCATGGTAGATACTGTACTCTGTAGTTAGATGGGTTTGCAAGTTTATAAACCAACAAACATCAACAAACATTTCATTGGGGGGCGCCCGCCCGCCAGTCATGAAACAGCGCGGCACCTTCGGTTCACCATGCCCTTTGTGGCAGGCGTCAAGTTGCAGCAAATGATGATGATGTCCTGGTGATCTCCAAGATCTCAACGGAGTTTCAAAAAGCTGTTGCTGAGTATGAAAAAACATCACTATCAATCATTCAAAACATGGTGATTCATGATCATATATATATATACTGTGTATATATATATATCAAAAATAAAACCAAGGCATTGCCGCCCATATCTAACTACATTTGCCGCCCATGATTGAATCTCTATTTCTCTCGCTCTCTTGTATGTAGTATTATTTGTGTCCGGGATATTCTCCAACCATGTAAAGTCGACACTTGTAATGAAAATGCCTTGTCCAAGTGCATATGTAATTAAACTTGTTACACTTCTCGATCCGTGTGTGTGTGTGTGCGTCATCCTGTTGCAAAGGCCATGCTAATCCACTCTGCATTATCGTCCCAAATGCGTGTGTATAAAATAATATATTATGTAGACGTTATATATATATATATATGTGTGTGTACTGTGTATATATATATATTTGCTATATGTATATATATATATATGCTATATATATATATGCTATATAATTATATATATACAATGATGCATGTAGAATGTAGATCATTATGTCTCTCAATCGCACAGGTGAGACCGAGATGTGGTGTCGCCCTTGAGATGCCCCCGATGCCCCCACCGAGTGCAGAAAGATGGTCGCCAGCGACTGCACGTACTCACCGCCTGCGGTCTGTGCAGGTCCCCAAAAAAAACATTGGAATTGGTGGGATTTGGTCGCGGGGCATCCATTCTGAAAGGGAATTTACATCAATTTTGCAAATCCTTCTGGTATGATCAGAACTCTCTACAGTAGCAGTGCTCCTATGCAGGCTGAAAATACTGGTTTGATGGTGAAGGGTTTAGAAATGTAAAGTCTCCACCTTTAGCCTTTAACTTAACCATGTTCCATCATTTTCCCATTTCTAACCCATTTCTTCACCTCTGGATAGGTCCACATCTCCCGAAGTTTGGTAATGCGCCCGCCCTGCCTATGGCAACGAACTTCTCATTCTTGATTGGGTCCTGAGCTGGAAAGGATATCGGTATACTGCATACCCTCCGGTAAACTAACATAACTATGGAAAATCATCATTTTCAATGGGAATATCCACTATAAATGGTCATTTTCAATAGCTATGTTAGTTTACCAGAGGGTAGATCTTCAAGTTGCCTGTTTGATTCCTTTTTGTGGGACCCGTTTGGTTTCTCCAACCAAGGTCTACGAATTCGATGCTGAGTCTGGATCGAAACCAATGATCTTGGAGACGCGAAAAGCCTGGCTTTTTGAGGGAACGTGGCGAACGAAGGGAAATCCCCGAACGAAATGGAGGTTTTAATGGGAAGATCATCTGAAAACAGGCAACTGTTCATGAAAAAGAGATGTAAAATCTGGTTCAAAGACCATGTCGAATGTCTTCAAACACATACTATGTAACTAGTGTCACTGTGGATGCCGGATGTCTTTTTCAAACATATGGAAAAAATGTGGAACATCCTCCAGTTTGGCATGATTTGTGGGGCGACTCTCCCAAAACTCCAACCCACTTTCCATTTCCAGGTTGATGCGGCAAATCTGCTATCTAAATTCCACCTCCATCTTGCATATGAAACATTATCCTAGGGTCCTAGAGTAAACGAACGTAGAGGTGGAACAATTCAACAACAAGCATGTGTAGTTCATTTTCCTTGGATTTCCCTATGGTTTTTCCACATCTATGTCAGTGCACTGGTACTCAGCGACCTTGCTGATCTCGGCGACACGCAAACCAATCTCCCCCGTGCCAATGATCCTCACAGGCCAGGGGTCCGCTTGAAAACAATAGAGCACGAGTAGAGCCAACAAACCTGCCATGGTTAAAGCATGGTATCTTATATGCATTGTGATCCATCAATAATTTGTCCATTCTCATTCCCTATTCATGGGTTGATGACCTTCCTGAAATAGGGGTACTGTATTCAATGCAACTTTGGAAAAAGGATAGCAAAACGTAATCCAGCCGAAGGTAGTCCGTGTTACTTTGGTTCTGATACGACAGAACGCCCCCCCCCCAAAAAAAAATATATATATAAAGTTCTTGGTGGGGCTCGCACCCCTAGCCATTTACAACACTGATTTTGGGGGGGGGGGGGGTAGGAGAGGAGGGCAATCGGACGGGGCCTCAACCCCTTGGAAGCAAGCACTTGGGGTTGCATTCCACTAAGCAAGTGGCTAGTAGCCATACAATAATCAAAGTTATCTGGTTTATCAGTGATAGGTTATATACCATAGCAAAATTATATAGTATAGTATAAATTATTGAACCCAATTACATAAAGATATACATATTATTATCATGGTTTCTCATGGTTTCAATATAACTCTATATATATATATAATTCTATGTAATCTATGAATATACATAAATAAATATATATATATAATATATAATATATTATCCTCATGGTTTCTCCCGGCACCAGGCTGCACATCCGCTTCCCGGATCTTCAGCGGCTGCCCGGTCCCAAAGCGGCGGCCGCAGAGTTCGTTTCCCGGGGGCCAATTCCACTTGCCAGCTCGCACGTGCCTCGCTAGACTTGCTTAACTGTTGGGTTTATGGATGTTGATGATTATGGATGTTTATGGGGAATATAACTATAGTTTTTTAAATGCATGTTAATAGGTGTTGATAGATGTTAATAGATGTTGATAGATGTTAACAGATGTTAATAGATGTTAATAAAATTTAAAAGAATTTAGATGAATTTATATAATGGGTTTATAAATATATAAACCAACTTGTAACTGTGGGACCTCACGTGCTGGAGAACATCTCGAAAATCGCCCTATCCTGTGGTTGTTTGAGCATTCAAAACTGGACCCACCACTTTCTTGGTTGCGCGTTGAACGTGAACAACAGTTGCCTGAGCTGCAAACATTTTACAACCCCCAAATGCCCACTGATGGTTGATCAATACTGTTCTGAAGTGCTCTGAAACTTTTGAGTAACCACTGCTGAACAGAAATGAACAACTTGCCACCCTTTCCATGCGAAAGGCATCAAACATGTTCATGATGATGCCCAACTTAGCTTTATCCCAAACACTCCATGTGTATATTTACCTGAAGGTTGTCATTTAGGGAATATAGTAAGTCTTGGCAGTGTGATTTTGTATGCATATATGTAAATAAATAAACCCATAAATAAACACATGTATACATATATACAAAAAGGTCACACACACACATATATTACACATATAAGACATTTATGTTATACATATTTAATATCATATAGGTATAATTTATATGTGTATATATATATATAACTTCATGCGTAAGCCTATCCTCTATATAATGTAATGACATGGGTTCTATTGAAAGCCCCGCATTTCTCAATGGGATGCCGCTGAGGTGCTGATGAGCCATTGGAATGTGTCGCAAGAGGGAGAAGATCAAGCCAAAACAAAGCTCAGCCGCCTGGGTTCAGAACTCGACCGTGCGCGGTGCCAAGTGCCAACCTTCCCCCGTTGGCTCAATTGGTTTACAACTAGAAAACTTATGCTTTATAGTGATTAATTAAAACTATGTCAATACTATATCTATATAATTATAGTTGAATGGGTGGTTAAACCAACTTATCCAACTTGTGACTGGGAAGCACCTTGGGATGGCCGGGAAGGCCGCAAGATCCCAAAAAATATCGACGGGATCTGTTCCACTGAGGCCGAGCGACACCATCTGTGGAATAGCCCGGCACATTGGCGACGGCCACCTGTTTGATACATTGGGTGCCTATGACTTGACAGTCATTTAAGAATGGCATACATCCGAAAAGTAGTGAACATTGATTTCTTAATGATGTTTACAAGATTACTTAATACCATACATGTATGTATATATGTACACATACATACATACATTACATTACATTACATTGCATTGCATTACATTACATTACATTACATTACATACATATATATATATATTCAATGTATAATGTACCCATTAATGATAAATATCTATACTTCGCAGAGTTCTGGTGCTTCGAGTGTCCAACGCAGCAACCTAAGATCACCTGAGCAAACCAATAGCCAGTGGCTTGGTTTCAAAAGACCGTTGATCGGAAACCAGGTGTTTTCCCTTCAATCTTTAGCAGAACATATTCCCACACATAATTCACATAATAATATAGAGGACTGCAACTTCTCACTTCCTCCAATTCTGGGATTCAGGTTGAAAGTGGTGGCAACATGTGGCTATTAGCAGCTCGGCCCTGAAAATACTATTTTTTTCAATGGAAACTAATCTCCCAAGCCCGAACTCAATCGCAAGGTCTTCACACACTAAACATATGGAAAATTCACCATGTTAGGCTAGGGATAAATCATCGAACTAAATGGTTCATCTATGTATGCCATAACAGCTATAGCTAACTGCCTTGGGTGTCATCAACCGTGGCTGGCTGGAAAACCCCTGAACTCAGTGGAGGTTTATAGTTCATAGCTGGGAAAGTGATCAGTCATCGGCCACTAAATGCTGGAAAGTGCTCCGCGGCTTTGCTTTCAGGGTCTGAGGGGCTCACTCCTCTTTTCTTGCAGGCCTCTAGGTCCACATGATCATAACCTGGGGTGAGTCTGGGGTCAGGGCCACCTTGGCAGAAGAAACAGAAGAAACATCTGGGTCTAAAATGAGAAGATACCATCCACATGGCTTAAACAAAACGGGAACATGATGTAATCAATGGGATCTTACGATACTTACATCATGTCCAAACAAAACCATATATAATCCTATATGATAAAGCACTTGGGGATAACCTAACCAACATTTGGAACATCTTCAGTGTGTGATTAAAAAAGATCACTGACAACGACTATTGCCAATAACACCGATTCAAAAGGAAAATAAACTGCTTGACATATGTCATTTCATGGAACATGCATATAATGACTTATAAACCACATGGTTGTTCAGTTGTTGCTTAAATGCCATCTTAGATCTTAGATTCCCTGGTAAATTGTAACGGCCCAATGCCTCTTGCTCAAACCCCTGCTTCAAAATCCCAAAGGATTGGTTGCATAATCAAAACACCACCATTTCTCATATGTTTTGGTACACAAACAGCACGTTGCTATGGCTCAATTTCTATAAGACTCCATGTTTGAAGGCATAAATGTACTAAAATGGTCGTGGTTTAAAGTTATCCAATTTGCTGCCTTTTTGCACATGTTTGAGCCCCAAATTTCATCTTCCAATCCCATCACCGCGCCTGTGAAAGCTACAGCCACCAAGCGTAGCCGAGGTAAGGTAGCAAGCAAGGCATCATCCACGCGCCTCCCAGGCGGAGGATCATCGATCAGAAGTCCCCGAAGAAGGTTATCCCACCTAAAAATGGATGAACTAAGCATGGCTATTAACCACTTACTAACATCCTCCACGCAATTATTTTGGATTGTGTATATATATATATATACATATATATTTCTTGGCTCCACAACACACAGGTCCTCTTATTGCTGGTGAACCTGCAAATTCCCATGTCTTATTGATATATATATATAGATATAGATATAGATATAGATAAAATTAATGATTCATGGTCGATTACAATGATTGTTGATCATTATCTTGGGGCTTAATCAATAAGTGTTATATAATAATGGTTAAATATGGTTAATATGCATCCATAATGGCAACAATGGGGATCTAAATCCAACCAGGTTGCATGGAGTGTTCCTGGTAGATAGAACCAGCCGCAATGGATAGACCCTCTGGTAATTCAACATAGCCATGGAAAATGATGGAAAATGGCCATGTGTACTGGCGATTGATCATCTATCAATGGGCCATGTTCCGTAGCAAACTCTTGAATTATCGGACGGCAATTTACAAGCTAATCCTAGGGATGGTTTTAGCGTGTTTTCCCATTGGGTTTACCATGGTCTACCACACAAACTTCTTAAGTCACCACTCTATGCATGGAGTGGTAGGGGGCTTGGTACATGGCCTTGCTGTTTTACAGTGTATATATATAATATTATATATATAGTTGTATTGTCGCAAGATCGCAGTATGCCCCGAACATTAGCATTTAAATGCATTTAAATGCATTTAACTCATGTGTTAAACAGTTATTACACTATAGTCAACTTTAGCATAAAGATGGGACATGGAGACTTACAGTACACACCCATCAACACATGGCTTTCAAAAGTCAAACATGTACATGACCACTTCCACACCGTTTGGCGATTCCACTTCCTTGCTTTCGCGAAGGCCAACAACAATCATCAGTTTTAGATCATTTCCTCGTTTTATATGGGGTAAATCCTTCAATATCCTTAATGATGCAACTGCAAACTGACAAAAAAACACAAAAAAAAGGGCTGTCTTGACAAAGAGTCTTGACGTGTTAGTCCATAGGCTCCACAAATGGAAGTTGATTCCTGGGCGCCACATCTTATTTTGCGCCCTGGGCCCTTCTTTGGAAGCATAGAGTGAGGACAAAAACATACAAAAACCACAGGGCCATTTTCAAAAAAAAATGTGTCGCCATGAAAAATCACACCTTTTCCACCGTATGTTTCATCCATGTCCCTTTCCAGCGTGAAAATTCCATCATCAAAACCGGTCTTGGATGGTCTTGGCGGCCGTGTGTCACTGGCAGAAACTTCGGTTTTAGTTGGCCTCTTGACGGTGACCAAGACCGTGGCGTGTTGGAAGTCGTTCCAACTGTGATCTTCGTTGGCCCACACCACCTGTGGCGCCAACGAAGTCGAAGCCCTGTTTGACTTGTTACAACCTTTGGCATAAACATGTCATCAGAATCTTTACTTGTTTTTTTCACAAACATTTGACCTAAGAAATTTCATGAAAGTTTCATCAGGTTTCCTGGCTTGGCCCTTCCTTGGCCCGGGTCATGGTTGGCCACGTGGGTCTGCTAAGGCGGAACAAAGCAATGACAGATGAAACCCACAGGAGGTGCAAACTGGCATGGCTACAGGAAACGGGTGATATATATATATATATATGTGCACATATGTGTGTATGTATAAACAACAAAAAATAGTTGTATAAATGATATTACATGTAAAAATAAAAAACACATATATATATATATTATAATAAATGTATATATGATGTATATGTACATGTATGTGTATATATATATACATATGTGTGTGTGTATTCACATATATATTTAAATAAATCATAATAAATCTATGGTCACCGACAGAATTATGGGAAAAAAAAAACGTTCAACTTAGACAGGCGGCGCCTGCGTCCGATTTTTCCATAATTGGATTTTTCCCCATAATGGTTCAAAATATCCCGGAAGTGATCCGAACCTTTTTTTTCCATAATTCCTGGAGGTGGCCATTATTTCCATAATTGATTTTTCCTGTGAAATCAGGTGGCTAGGGCAGATTGACCGGTTTTTCCATATTTTTTTTTCCATAATTAATGTTTGGGGCTCCACCTGTTGGACATGTCATGGATCCACAATTCAAACCCGTTTTTTTTTGGGGTTATGGAAATATATATGCAAATGCAAGTATGTAGTATCAACCCAATTGGTGGCTTGGCAAAAGGAACCATCCAGATATTATTATGTATATCAATGGCAGGCTTTAGGGGCATATACCAGATCTTTAGACAAATATTTTCTATAATTCAATATTCCCCCTTAAAATGCATTCAAATTGCGAACATCACATGATATTATGTATATCAATGGAAGACTTAGGGGCATATACCAGATCTTTAGACACATATTTTCTATAATTCAATATTCCCCCTTAAAATGCATTCAAATTGCGAATCGATGGACATACAGTCACCGACAGAATTATGGAAAAAAAGTAATTATGGAAACAACAATTATGGAAACAATAATTATGGAAAAAAAAGGTTCGTAACTTTTCTATCATAGACAGGCGGCGCCTGTAAATTGAAACGTTTATTTTTTTTTCATAATTCTGTCGGTGACTGTATGTACATACATTATATATATATTACATTATACAGTATATGACTGCAGAGGCAAGGTGTGTGACTCGCAAACACATAGCCGCCATGCCCCCCCTCAATGGAGACCTCCCCTGCTCTCATTTCGACATGGGTCATGGGTACCCTCAACATATCTCAAAATGCAATGGTTACGGACTAAGCATGACATAGTCAAACAGTCAAACAACTAATGTGGTTAAAACAATTTCATAAACCATCCCCCAGTCATCACCATTTTTATGTGGTATACATATATATAACACCATTCCCAGTCATGAGTGGTTTATGGCATTGTTTTAACCACATGTTATAACATCCTGCTAGCGTTGCCACCGGTCGCACCTTCAACTCATGACTGTTGAACATCTCCTCCACAGCCTTCCGAGGCCTTGGTGAAAACAACTTCAATCCGTGGCTCCAATTGGAATTCGCCTGGACAATGGCTCCCGAAAAGAGATGCTGTGATATCATATGATATGATATGATATTAGATATTAGATATTAGAGGTGCCGAATCTCGCCGGGGAATTTTTTTCTCCTGCCCCGGGGAATTTTTTTCCTGATCTGTTCTGTTTTCCGTCCCGTGCATTTATCCTGCCACTTCCCTTCCATGCTGCATGCTATTTGCAGCATTTTGGAGCTGGAACCTTTCATTTTGCGTGTTATTTGCAGCATTTTGGAGCTGAACCTTCCATGCTGCATGCTATTTGCAGCATTGTGGCGCTGGATTTTTTTATTTTGTATGCTATTTGCCGCATTTGGGCGCAGGAACCTTCTATTTATCATGCTGTTTGCCGCATTTGCGCGCAGGAACCTTTCAGTTTGCGTGCTATTTGTAGAATTTGGGAGCTGGAACCTTCTATGTTGTTGTATTTGTTGTTACGTTTGTTGCTGTTATGTGTGTTGTTGTGCTGTGTGTTGTTGTAATGTTTGTTGTTGTTTCTTTGTTATGTTTGTTGTTGCGATGTTTGTTCTTGTGATGTTTGCTGTTGCGATGGTTGTTGTTGTGATGGTTGTTGTTGTGATGCTTGCTCTTGTGAACGTTGTTGTTATTGTGTTTATTGTCGTTATGGTTGTTGTTGCTGTTGTTGGAAATGCGCAAATAAATAGCCACAAAATATGTATCTAAATGACGACCTGTACATATGTATATATACATACCTGGATCGCCAAAGTTGCAGGTTTTTTTCCCCCCCAACTCTTGAATTTCACTGGCTGGCTGGCTTGCTGGCTTGCTGGCTGGCTTGCTGGCTGGCTGGCTGGCTTGCTTGCTTGCTGCCTTGCTTCCTTGCTTCCTTGCTTGCTTGCTGGCTTGCTGGCTTGCTGGCTTGCTGGCTTGCTGGCTTGCTGGCTTGCTGGCTTGCTGGCTTGCTGGCTTGCTTGCTTGCTTGCTGGCTGGCTGGCTGGCTTGCTTGCTTGCTTGCTTGCTTTTTTGCTGGCTGGCCCCCTTGCTTCCTTGCTTCCTTGCTTCCTTGCTTCCTTGCTTGCTTGCTTGCTTGCTTGCGTGCTTGCGTGCGTGCTTGCGTGCGTGCATGCGTGCGTGCGTGCGTGCTTGCGTGGGTGCATGGGTGCGTGGGTGCGTGGGTGCGTGGGTGCCTGCGTGCCTGCGTGCCTGCGTGCCTGCGTGCCTGCCTTGCCTGCCTTGCCTTGCGTGCGTGCTTGCTTGCTTGCTTGCTTGCTTGCTTGCTTGCTTGCTTGCTTGCTTGCTTGCTTGCTTGCTTGCTTGCTTGCTTGCTTGCTTGCTTGCTTGCTTGCTTGCTTGCTTGATTGCTTGCTTGCTTGCTTGCTTGCTTGCTTGCTTGCTTGCTTGCTTGCTTGCTTGCTTGCTTGCTTGCTTGCTTGCTTGCTTGCTTGCTTGCTTGCTTGCTTGCTTGCTTGCTTGCTTGCTTGCTTGCTTGCTTGCTTGCTTCCTTGCTGCCTTGCTGCCTTGCTTGCTTGCTTGCTGCCTTGCTTCCCTGAGACACCAGTCTGCGGGAACTTAGCCGGGAAAAAAAATCCCCGGGGAGGAAGAAAAAAAATCCCCGTAAAAATGGGGTACCGATATTAGATATTAGATATTAGATATTGATATGATATTGATATTGCATGTTCATGTGTTATCTGTGTCAAATGTTATATGATTTATATGTATTTATATGTGCGTTTATTATCATATTATCTGTGTTATAAGTTGTTGATTTACATGTATTGATGTGTTGATTGTAGTTGTTGATTGTTTTAACAAAATGAATCAACTTCTGGCTGCTGCAACTGCCCAGGGCCCAAACATAGCATCTTCGGAGGGTGACTCCAACATAGCGATGATGGAGCACCCCATCTCTTCGACCTCTCCTGGACCAGTCTGACTCGGACAGGTCGGAGTCTGACTCGGAGAAAACATCCGTTAAACCATGGCAATTGTCTATTCTGATTGCGGTATATTCTGATTTTGACATATTTTTACGATGTTGTCCTTTTTGAAGCGAAAAACGACCGATCACCACTCTCTCTGGGTTGCTTTCATAGCCTCGCCTTTCTCAGGCACGGTCTCTTGCTTTGGGGCCTGGGGCGTCATCTAGCGATCATCTAGACTCACATGAAAATGGGATCATGAATATTGGGCTAAATCTTGGGACATGATTTCTCCGATGGAGCCAAAAAAGGGGTAGCCTGGGGATTTTCAGGATTTTCCGTCATGGGGGGGACTGCAAGTGATCATCCAATTGATATGGGTCATTGTGGCATATTGTATCAGATTGTGGCCATGGAGAAACTTAGGAAACCTGCAGAGTCCAACCGAACCTGCCAGTTGACGGAAGACTGCTCTGTTCCATCCCATGCTTAGCATGGTTTAGTGCACATTCAGCCAATGTTGCTAGGTCTGTGATGCCCTCACAGCTCTGGAAAAAAGGCAATTCTCTTGCTATGACTGAGATCTGTCTACAGCTCCAAGTCGGATTTCTTGGGGCTCCTTCGGCTGGGCTGGCGCTGTGGGCGCTGCGACCTGCGCCAGGGAGAACAGCACATGTTGGAAAGGGGAAAAATCATGCAACCTGTTGAACTGGATGAATTTTCCTCAGTGCCCCAGGTTTGATCATGCTTGTTGAACGGCCGACATTATTGAGGTGTTTGCTCTCGACCCCACACGGATACCAGTTCAGGTCCTTGGACTTTTCCATAGCGGCTATGGGAACTTCAGTCATCTAATGCCATGATTCACCATGATCTAAGATTAGTTGTAACCAGGCCATGGATGGGCCCAACCAAATTTCCACCTAGTTCATGTTGCTTTGCCATAAAACATCATAAAACTTGCCGCGAACAAGTGTTTAACCAACAGCCAGTGGGTTGAACCTTCCCAACAAGCCAGATTTCACATCCACAAAAATGGTCACATGCGGGGATTTAGAATGCTTTAGATTCGATATTGATTCCATGAAGTCTCTTCTAAATGGATGATTCATGATGATTCCTATAAGTCACATCATTGGTGTACATATGTGTACATAAATTCTATGTCAGGATTCCTCATTTCGGTCAAAGCTTGAAGCAACGCCACTTGGTGGTTCACCCCAGTTAGTAAGGAGATGTAAGTGGATGTTTCCCAGTTATGACTGGACTAACCCTACTTGCCCTACTTTTAAGCGGCTTCATGCGGCTTCACAACCCATGAGTCCCGGGGGCCATCTGCCACTTTTTTGCTTACCCTTAGCGATTCCATTTCTTGCGGCACACGGCCTTGCAGCAGATTTTGTTTCAAGATATTGAAACGTCATTGAGGCAAACGGCCAAAAGCACCAGGTGTCCAGTTTAGACACCAAACATCGGAAATAGTATGTTTCTTGTTACTCCAGGTTGGTCCAAGTTGGCCATGGATCACGGGAAATCACCCATATGTCCATCCCTTGATGAATCTCCTTGCTGTGTTGCCATGAAGGCTATCCAAATTGCCAAGTGCTGGGTCTCAACTGCTCAGCGACTTGACTTGAGCTCCGGATGCCGTTCCAAGGTGGAAAGGAAGACTTCCGCCAGCACCGATGCAGGGCAGAAGGAGTACCTTGGATCAAAAATCCTCAGATTGTTGGGCTGTCGTGGGGTTGGATCCCAGATTGTCCAGATTTGTTTTCGGCAGTTGGGGACCGTGAAGGGGACACAGGCGCTTAATCCACTGGTCTAGTCCCCATATTTCCCACTGGTCATCGCTGGTGGCCCTGTTATCTTTAGCCAAATACTTCATTCCTTGGCTGGAACCATCTGGAACCCAAAAGCAAGCATGTGGGCGTATGAAGTATAACTAACGAACCAACGAACCAATCAGCCAATCAAACAACCAACCAACTAACCAACTAACCAACTAACTAGGGTATAGATAGCTAATTAAATAATTAATTCGGAAACACAACAGCAAAAAATCTTTGGCAACTCTGTCCTCGCCAGCTGAATCGTAAGCCTTTGCATTTTCACCTCAGGGCTGGTGGCTCCCAACTCTGCGCAATTGCCGTTGGTGGGGTACTCATTGTCTGTCACAGAAATGGGTGTTTCTTGAAATGGGGGATCCCAAGTCACCCTGGGTTTCAAGTTTCAAAAAGTAAAGTGGTCTAATTTAAGGATGAATTCGGGGTATTTTGACTTAGGAACGATGAATTACCTCAGGGGACTTCCAAGGTGGGTCGCGGAAGTCACCGTTTCTTATAACGATAATTTGTGGTTGGGAGACTCAATGCGTAGCTCCCCGGGGCTCCCCATAGTTCCTAACAGCTAACTCCTAACCGGATGGTTAGCTGTAAGTGTCTATGACGGAAGTGGTGTCGTTATCTCAAATATCAGCTGTACAGGCTCTACAGTGTACACCTCAAGCTTTGATTTAGTACTATATCTCTCCATCCATCGCCTTCTCAAGGAGTTCGGCTGCTATAATATGCACATATATCTCTGCACATATACATATACATATAATTATTTGTTATATATTATATATGCCTATATGTGGTATATACAGTATAATTTATATAAAATATACATATATAAATATACGCACATACGCAAAAGCACTAGAGAAGATGCTAAAAAACTTGAACGCAGCTGCCTGTCTCAGTTCTTCGATGACGGGAAATGATACCTGACAAAACCCAAGATCTGGCTTATATAATCGTGCAAAAAAAACAAAAAAACTTTGTTGGGCCCACTTCCACCAAGAATGACAAACTCTCCAGGATGATTTAACTAGCAATTAATAATTAGTACCTTCCATGTTTAACCAAAATACAGTACATGCGGAAAAGCCAGGAATTTCAAGTAGATCACTTTCCAAACGGGAAACCAATGGCTTTTCCGCATCTATGTCGGCCCTAGGCTATGTATGGCTATTTGCTATATCAAAGTTCATCAAGCTGGGCAAATCATACCCGTCCCAGGTGCCCAAGTCGTGTAAGGAATCCGTGCCAGCAATTGATCGAGCACTGGCATTGAGCGAGGATGGATCAGCAATGTAGGAAAGCTGCCTGTATTTTCCCAGGCCTCAGGCGGGCAACAGTCACAGCCTTGATCTGGGTAAACCATGAAATATATTCAAATATATGGCTTTGGCTTTAACTCACTATATGGCTATAATATATTATAAAATGATAGATTCATGAGATAAAATGGGGACGTATGATGATACTTTGGGCTTTAAGAAGACGGAGTATACCCATAACGGCACTCTTACATAGTGAGAAAAAGAACGATCAAACCACAGGAACTATGTAGTCCAACATTTGCAGATTTGAAATGGCAATCCTAAACATCTTCAAATCTAATTAATTGTTTAGTTCCATGTCAAATGTTTTGATGTGAATTCTTCCAAGTCCATTCTGATCGTCTGCTTTCAGACCAATGTCTGCTTCTACAAGTGTGCGGTGCTCTCACATGTTTTTCAGCAAGATACCAGCAGGCGATGCAAAGGAGGGTGCCATGATTCAGAAACCACCGCAGGCACACAGCCATGTTGGAGCACGTCCAAATAACGAATGGTCCAAGGATAATGGCCATCCAAGACCTTAAAAACTCAGCCAGGAACTTTTGCCAATCCACATGGTCAGCATATGGCATTGTGTGGCTTTGTTTACGGGGAAACTCTAAAACCGCAAACCCATGGTATTTCTTACCACCAGTTGTAAGGGTTTGCCGCAGGTTTTCCCTTAAACCATCTTTTTTAGCAACTGCGGGATACCCGAGTCGTATCGACTACAGCTGGAAAGAACCCATTGCCTGGAAAAAAAACAGGGATGCACTGATGGTTATTCTCAAGGCCATCCCAAAGATGTGATGCTTCATCATTTCCCCCATTAGAATTACCATGAATTGAGGGCATACCATTGTATACCCCATCTTGAGAGAAAATAGTTGGTTGCATGCCCATTACATGTATATAGATATAGCCATTGAACTCACATTTTTGTTGGTTGAACCTCCGTTATATTTTAAATTATATACACACACCCAGGCCGGGGGGTGCCGCCGGGAGGTTTATGATATCACCAACTCTTTAGGGTTTGTTTATGGTTTGTTTGGGGGTTGTTTAGGGTCTGTTTAGGGTTTATCTAGGGTTTCATTTAGGGTTTTTAGATGTTTTTAGGGTTTCGACCACGGTTTTAAAGAGATTTTACTTTCAAGGCTTACTTAGGGTTTCATGTCAGATTTAGGTTTTAGGGTTTAGGATTTGTTTTTTAATAGGGTTTAGGGGTTTGTGTTTTGGAAACAAATCTCGTCAGCCGTTCGGCCATTCCGCCGACATCCCAAAATGCAGAAAACGCTGGCCCTGCGAAGTCAAAACGCACTTCCGCGGGCAGCACCCTCGTCCTGGCCGTATGACTATAGATATAGATATAGGCAGAGATATTGTTTCGCGCATTAATAATTATGACATCTTGTCATGCTAGCAGCTGTGTCTGAACCTGCAAGGCAGCAGTTTGACTTCGAGAAGCCAGGCAAAAGCGGCTCTGCTGCAAAATGGAGCTGTAGAGTCCCTTCTCCTCTGGTGGGGACAAATCATCCTAGAATGGATTCTGAACAAAAAATAAGGTCAGCCAAATTTACAAGGCTACTTCCCAACACCCCAGATGTAAGGAGGGAAAACTGCTAGATAAAGGTAGAATCATGTGAACTTACCATTGTCTCCTGTGGCGGCTTACTTTACCTACAATCACCAGGAAGGATTTGTAGTTTGGAATCATTGTTGAATTCCAAGATATTATGGGTTGAAAACCTGTGGGCTGGGGACTATCAATTGTTAATTTTTTACCCAGTGCCAGTTTGAGGCTAGCATCCAGTCAACCAACAGAGATGTGGAACATCATGAAAATCCATCATTTGTAGATCATACACCCAAAAAGTGGTGGTCTTTTCCGCAGCTTAGAGAATCCCAAAAACCAGTCCTGCACGGTTTCCATGACTTTCAATCCCGTACGATTTCTGCCGCGCCAAAGCTGGAGAAGGTCTTGCCTCCGGCGAGATCGGTTTCGATCTGGCCAGGATCAAAGCGATCTGGACGTGCTGTGATTTGTGTATAGCAACCGCCAACAAAGATAGAAACGTAATTCATACACATTAAATTATCACTATTTTACATGATTTTGTTTCTATATATTTTGGTGGTGGATTTCTAATGATTTCTATGTGTTTATCTATTCATCGGCTGATTCCCCCTATATAATCAATTTACAACACGCAAGTCTATTGAGATGCGTGTGCATAAAAATAACCTACATTCATAAAAAATATATATATATGTATTATATTATATATTATTACATATATGTGTGTGTAATACCGACACGTTGAACGGTGGTCAACGAAGCAATTCTTTCTCAAGGAGGCAAGCCTTTGCCTTCAAGGATCAAAACGCCGCAAACAACCAATAGCCGTACACCCAGCCGGGGCAATTTTAGCGTCCGCAGCCCCCAATCCTTGAGCAATGCGTGGGCGTTCCAATGAAAGAAGCCAGAATGTGTCGTTCAGCGGGACCACGCCAATATTTTTTGGTGTCGAAGGGAGATGGGTACTGCATGGTCACATCCTGAGAATCTCGCAGCTCGGCTCCTCAAAGTAGCTATCAAAACAGGCCAAATACCACCAGGAAAAGCATGAACAACTTGGTGTCCATTTAAATGTTTAAATCATTTTATTGGCCCTGGTAGCCCTGGCGGACCCCACGGCATAGTAGGTTTTTCGATCCATCCCCGGGAATGCTTCCAACACACCAAGCCATTGGGATTTGGAGAAATTGAATATAATGTAAATTCCATGAGTAATTCGAATAATTCCAACAAATGACCGATAATTTGCTTATTCATGGTTATTCGAGGTTATTCGGAAATGGAATTTATTGGCATCCATCGGATTGATCATAATAAATACCAACAGAAATGCCACACTCCCAAGCCATTTCTGCCCTTGGCCAAGGCGGACCAGGTACGTGGGGCCAAGCATTGGGATAATGATAATTGGCCTTGAGCCGGGAGAATTTTTCAGGATGGTTGCTATGGGAAATGGATGAAAATGGCCCAGTTATGGATGAATGTTCTGAATCACCTACTAACTTTGTGAAGTGTTTTGGGTTTATATCCCATTATATCTGATTCAGATATAGCCCCATATAGCCCCAATGGCTGAATCACCCATACATTTATATATATATACATATATATAGATAGATAGATAGATAGATAGATAGATAGATAGATAGATAGATAGATAGATCGCCCCACGCTTTTGGCTTTACCAGGGGCTAAATCCCATCATACCATATCTGATTATATCCCAACAAGGTGGGTCCCTCTAGTTATCTGGGCCCGACCTTGTGCCCTCAAATCCATAAGCCGATATAGAAATACCATGGGTTGGTGTAGGAAAGTCACCTACACATGGAAAACAACATAAAAACTCTATGGTTGTGTGTAGGCAAATGAGCTACACGTGGATACAGGATAAATATGGTGGATTTTCATGGATTTTCCGTGTCACATGTCTATCTTACGTTACTGGAGGGCGACTCGGTGGATGAACACTTCACTGGCGTCCCAGCTCAGTCTCTTCTCTGAAGACGCATCGATTAGTTTAGTTCCAGATATGCACAGTACATGGAATCATGGACATGTCCCCTTTCTTCCAGCTAAAGGTGAACCACGAGAACAAACTGTCATCGACTGACCTACTGTATCCGTGCATCTGTAAACGGTGCGCTAGGAAACCAAAGATGCGCTAGGGGCAATGCGTCTGGTCTATGGTTGCAACTGGCACCCCGTCTGAATTGTTTGCACAATTTTGATCACGAAAACCACTAGTTCCCATGATTCAAAGCTGATGTGGCCAACGAACTGGTTGCTGTTGCCAACACATGACCCTCAAATGGTAAATCATTCGCTACGGTTTTGGAATCTTTTGGACTTGCCACCAAAAATCATAGAATTTGAATAATTTCAAAAGTCACCATAAGTCTCTCCCGGTCAACAACTACTATGGCTTAAGTGACTTAGATATCTGAGACCCTTGGTTTCTCCATCAACGTGGCCCATTTGGTTCGATGATACATTCCCATTAAACATGGGGATCTACTATAGCTATGTGGGTTATTACCAAAGGGATATCAGAGGGTAGCTGGATAGTAACTATGCCTTAATGTATGGTTTACATACCAATCTAGGCAGCTCAACCAAGATGATCCAGTGTTTGTGCCATCGAAAAAAAAATTCACCAGGGCGAAAACACATCTAAAGAAACCCGAGACATAGCCGTTAATTCGCCATGCAATCCAATTTTCAGTTAAAAGGCAATACTATCAAGAAAATCTAGCAACAATACTAAATCCAGTTTTAATTTTGAAAACAATCAACAATCCAATAAGAACAAATCTCAATTTGATCTCCAAAAAAAAGTAATGGGTAAAACAATGCCATAAACCACCTTAATTTGGGAATGGTGGGAATATAACCTATAAACAGGGTGAAATTTCTGGATGGTTGATGATTGTTTTACCGACATTATTCATTATAAACATCTAGTATATAAACATAATACTAAGCTTTAGTGGTGTTTAATGATAAACCATTAATTATGTTTAGTGGTGTTCATAATCACTAGTATTAAACCACTAAACATCATTTCTCCGTTTTTTGTCATGATACGAAGCTCGGTGTATCATGGTTCATCAACAACCCATTTGAGAATGGTGAGAGTATAATCTATAAACATGGTGAGAAATTGGTTCATTATTCTCTTACCAATCATCATAAACATCCCAACTTGATCTCCCCCCAAAAAAAGTCTATAAACATTCAATGGATTGGTTTAAGGGAAAATCTACAGGAAACCATGGTTTTTACCATCAAATATAGGGCTTTCCTGTAAATTTTCCCATCATCCAATTCTATGAAACATTCTAAAAATCTCAACTTGACGATGGTTTTTTCTGCGTTTTTTGCCATGATGCGAAGCCACTGGCTTGGCTACTCCTGGAGCTACCGCAGCTGGACTGCCAGGTGGCATGGGCACGAGGACGGCTTGGAGCCAGGCGGTCCTGGCACGGCCAGGAGATTTCACTCGGGGACCAACACTAACGGTGATTTGAGGGGATTTCATGGTGATTTAAGGGAATTAGTGGTGATTTAAGAGATTTCATGGTGGTTGAATGGGGATTTCATGGTGATTTAAGGGAATTAGTGGTGATTTAAGAGATTTCATGGTGGTTGAATGGGGATTTCATGGTGATTTAAGGGAATTTGTGGTGATTTAAGAGATTTCATGGTGGTTGAATGGGGATTTCATGGTGATTTAAGGGAATTAGTGGTGATTTAAGAGATTTCATGGTGGTTGAATGGGGATTTCATGGTGATTTAAGGGAATTAGTGGTGATTTAAGAGATTTCATGGTGGTTGAATGGGGATTTCATGGGGATTTAAGGGAATTAGTGGTGATTTAAGAGATTTCAATGGTGGTGAATTGGGGAATTTCATGTGGTTTAAGGGAATTAGTGGTGACTTAAGAGATTTCATGGTGGTTGAATGGGGATTTCATGGTGGTTTAAGGGAATTAGTGGTGACTTAAGAGATTTCATGGTGGTTGAATGGTGATTTCATGGTGGTTTAAGGGAATTAGTGGTGATTTAAGAGATTTCATGGTGGTTGAATGGGGATTTCATGGTGGTTTAAGGGAATTAGTGGTGATTTAAGAGATTTCATGGTGGTTGAATGGGGGTTTCATGGCGGTTTAAGGGAATTAGTGGTGATTTAAGAGATTTCATGGTGGTTGAATGGGGATGTCATGGTGGTTTAAGGGAATTAGTGGTGATTTAAGAGATTTGGTGGGTTGATGGGGGGGTTCATGGTGGTTTAAGGGAATTAATTGGTGAATTTAAGAGATTTCATGGTGGTTTGAATGTGATTTCATGGTGATTTTAAGGTGGGACACAAAAAAAAAAAAAAAAAAAAAAACAAATTGTGGTGCTTTAGGATTTCATGGTGGTTGAAATGTGGATTTTCATGGTGATTTCGTTGGAATTAGTGGTGATTTAAGAGATTTCCATGGTGGTTGAATGGGGATTTCATGGTGATTTAAGGGAATTAGTGGTGATTTAAGAGATTTCCATGGTGGTTGAATGGGGATTTCATGGTGATTTAAGGGAATTAGTGGTGACTTAAGAGATTTCCATGGTGGTTGAATGGGGATTTCATGGTGATTTAAGGGAATTAGTGGTGACTTAAGAGATTTCCATGGTGGTTGAATGGGGATTTCATGGTGATTTAAGGGAATTAGTGGTGATTTAAGAGATTTCCATGGTGGTTGAATGGGGGTGTCATGGTGATTTAAGGGAATTAGTGGTGATTTAAGAGATTTCCATGGTGGTTGAATGGGGGTGTCATGGTGGTTTAAGGGAATTAGTGGTGATTTAAGAGATTTCCATGGTGGTTGAATGGGGATTTCATGGTGGTTTAAGGGAATTAGTGGTGATTTAAGAGATTTCCATGGTGGTTGAATGGGGATTTCATGGTGGTTTAAGGGAATTAGTGGTGACTTAAGAGATTTCATGGTGGTTGAATGGGGATTTCATGGTGGTTTAAGGGAATTAGTGGTGATTTAAGAGATTTCATGGTGGTTGAATGGGGATGTCATGGTGGTTTAAGGGAATTAGTGGTGATTTAAGAGATTTCATGGTGGTTGAATGGGGATGTCATGGTGGTTTAAGGGAATTAGTGGTGATTTAAGAGATTTCATGGTGGTTGAATGGGGATGTCATGGTGATTTAAGGGAATTAGTGGTGATTTAAGAGATTTCATGGTGGTTGAATGGGGATTTCATGATGGTTTACTGGTGATTTAATGGGGAGCTCATGGGACTTCATGGGATTTCATCGGGGATTGAATGGGGATACAATGGGATTTTTTTTACTAACCATCTGGCAATCAACCGTCACTGGAAAGTAAACATCATAAAGTATGTTCATGGAGGTTTATAGCTGGGAAAATCAACTATAAATGGATACAAATGGTTCCATTGCCATGTTTGATTATCAGAGGGTATCTGGATACATGGAACTATATGTGGGTTTATATGTGGGTTTATATATCCATGGAACTTGGTGAGTCAAGCGTGGAACATGGTGGATGAATGGTATGTTAATGGAATATTCGTAGGATATTTTCTGGGATACAAAACAATGTTATGGAGACAATGGGGGAGTAATGGAACATAATTTGGTTTCTATGTATATATGCATATGTTTATACAACCAACGGCCTGAAATTTCCCAAGAGGGCCAAATGCGCATAGGCATCATCACCAAGAATTATTTCCAACTACACCAGATCCATCTGAGGGGGGCACGTCTTGACATTCAGTTTATTGTCAAGTGGATGATTATTGAGCAGGAAAAACAAGAGCAGCCAGTTGACCACCTAGACCTAGAGTACACATTCACATGCTTTCTGCAAGCACAGAATTCTGCCCGTGTCAACTCAGTTGAGATGTCATGAATTGTCCACTTCTACACCACGCACTGATGCCCCAAAGGCCCTTCACCATGTCCGTGAATGCGTAGGCATTGTGTTTTTCAAGCCAGTCCGTCGCACCGGCATATGTGACCAATATCCTGAGCCACAATCATCCATGAAAATCCATCAAACCCAACTGATTTTGCTGCTCAATCCTACATTTGGTGAGGGAAACGACTGTTGGATTCAAGGCCTTCTTCATGGATTATGATTACTCTAACCCCATGGGGACACCACCAGCTTGAACAGTGCAATACCGCAACACCTCAATTGCTCCATAGGTTATCCTCATCAATTACTCGTTAGACATTGAGCTTTGATAGCTTTGCATAGATTGCCTTAGTTAGCCTTTGATCCTTTGATGCCTTTGGTATTGAGATGTACAGTATTTTTGAAAAATGCACCTTGGGCACCCCCTACCGTCTAGAAATTCAATGGGATTCCGACTGCCCATGCCCCGCCAGGCTTGTCCCATCAGTGCATCAGTATAGGAACTGGTGATTGGGGTTTAGGCAACCCAGTGGGATTGTCAGTCCAGCAACCAGCAGGGTCGTAACCAACTCCTCGCCAAGTAGGATTATCATTACCATGATATCACAATCACCGTCATCATTGCTGCATGAATTGCAGCAATTCACTAACCGGTCACTAGTTGGAATTAAGGCTATTGTGGGGATTGGTACTGTACCCTTATAGATAATCCTAACCATTATTCCCATGACGTCGCGACGTGAGGTCGTTATATGTATCCGAATATTGCCATGTCCCATTCAATACCCTCATATTGATGGTTATATGGCTATAAAACCCAAGTTTCATCCATCATCATCCTCATCCATCCTCCTCATCATCCTCCTCATCATCATCATCACCATCATCATTAACAACATGATTAGCCCAGGACCCGCCAAGGAACGCGTTCTCAGCTCTTCTGGACATCAGTCCTCTGGTTAGACCACCAGTGCCCAACTAAATTATCCACTGCACCTATAGAATCGTTCACTGGTTGGTGGTTGAGCCTACCGTGCAGTCACAACAGTCAGTTTCGTCACAACAAAAGCAAAGTCAAACTCAACAATGGTGATATGGAGCTTGACCATGACTTACGATGATCAACCAATATGTCTGATGCAAATGCACAAACGCACACACACATGTGTATATTGTCTGGCCTATCTCTACATGTACTAAAACAGTTTAATGTGTGTGTGTATAAGTGTAGTTTTGTGTGTAGAGAGGGGGAGAGGGAGAGAGAGAGAGATCCCCACATAAATGTATAGATAGATTTGTGTATTTATGTGTATTTATGTGTATATATAAATTTATATTTATACATATATATATATATTATATAATTATGCGTGTGTGTGTGTGCGTAGGTGTTTGTTTATTATCATTATTGTTGTTCTTATCATGTCTCATTTTTATACAGCATTGAGCCAACCGTAAACCAATCCCCAACACTCATCGACAGAAACCTTTAAATCCAGCATGGAGAAACCTTTTTCACGCTTTCTCATGCTTCAAGCAGAGAGTCTCAAGTGTGACAGATGGATCTGCAGCGCAAACTGCCTCTAACAACTGACCATCAGGCAAGACAACAGGGAGCTGTTGCTCGTCAGCCAACGCAAGTTTGTGGGAAATCTTGAAGCCAAGTCAATCGGAAACGTAAGAAAGGCTTGGAACCCAAAAAGGAAACCAGTTACGCAAATACTTCAAAGAAAGAATTTCACATTGTCCAAAATTATTCCATCCGCAAGCAACAGCAGAGCCATCACTTCGGAGAAGCATCATATGATCATAACTTGCAGAAACCTGCGTGTATGTCACACCCTCGTCCAATGGTGGAAGGCTGCTCTCAACTGCACAGCCATCACTTCGGACAAGCACTGTATGATAATCACCTGCAGAAACCTGGGTGTATTTCACACCCTCATGCAAAGGTGGAATTCTGCATTGTCCTTCGATGTACCGTCCGCAAGCAACGGCAAGGCCATCACTTTGGAGCAGCACGGTATAAAAACGGCCTGCAGAAACCATTCGAGAAGTCCTTCCAGGAGCCCTTGACAGGGGTTTTGCACTGTGAGATTCAAGCCACACCACGGTTTCTTTGACCAGGGTGGATGATGACGTCTCTAACTAACTAACTAACTGTTACTAACTAGATGCCGATGACTTGACTTCGCAGTTTTCTTCATCTCTCTTGAGCCTTGAATGCCAAAACGCGCTTTGCTTCTTCAAACCTGTCAAAAGTCTGAAAAAGGATCATCTCCTTGAAATCACATAAGTAGCAGCGAAAAACAATGATGATTTATGTGTAGGGGCGTTTTCGTAAGCATTCATAGGGTGAGCAGTGTGGCCGTGGAAACTGCCCCGCTGCCCACTGGATCCCCTTGGAATCCATGGAATCCTCCCAATTGGTTGCATACTGCCACCTTACTGGTGCTGACCTGCTGCGGAAATCTGCAATTATTCTCCTTAAACAAGTTTGTACAACCCCAGCTCTCACCATCAAAATTAATATCTGGTGTATAGTTATCAATATTATAGTAAGGCAATAATGATCCATCCATATTTTCATAGTTGAAACCACTCATTTATGGTAGATTTGGGGATAGTTGATTCCCATCTTTTGTTTCCTGCTGTCGCTGTCATCCATCGTCCATCAGGGATGATGGGCGCACCATTTGGGCGGCTTTAAACACGAGCGAGAAGGGATTGATATCCATTATATCAATATTGTAGTAATATATTATATATATATATATATTAACATATTATCGTTGAACCTGATTCATTAATCACCTGAATTCCAAACAATCTAGCAATATGTAGTCGTAACGATACAGTAACATGAATATTCAATACAGTAAATATGCAGTGTATATATATATACAGAGCAATTCAATTACAGCATAATTTTGAACGATAATTCGATAATTTAGTATCGGAAAAAACACAAAAAAAAAACAAACAAAACACAAGTGCCTTTAGGGGAGGGTCCTCCAGAATGTCTACATTCTTGACATCCCCATCTTAAGCATGCCGGTCCTGGGTGCAACTGTCGGCCCTGCCCACTGCTGATCACCACCAAGGTTTCATTAGGCCAGGCGGAGACCCAGCCTTTGAAAAAGCGTCTCTTTGGATGTTATCATGCGAATGTCATGGGAATACCATGGAAATGTCATGAGAATATCATGGGAATATTCATGTTATGTGTATATATATAATCATCCTGACGTAGCTGGAACTATGGGATTAACAAAAATTATGCAACCTCCACCACAAAAAAAGAACACGATGCAGAACAAACAAGTGTTGACAATTCCTACCTAGAAACTGTGGTAAATTGAAGCGTCTCTGCATCTTTTTGGGGCTTACTATGTAGCCAACAGCTTTAAGCTTTCGGTGCAGATCTGTTTATGGTATGATGCCACAGTGTGGTTCTGCAGTTTTTGGCGGGTTTTCCCAGTTTCATTGAAGGTCTTGTGTGGGCAATGTGTAGGCTATTATCCAGCTATAGACGCCCTCGAAAAGATAGAACAAAAAATGAAACAAAACGTATCTAAATTACTACATGATAATTGAAATTGTTTAGGAATCACTGTTGAATCTTTTTGTATCTTCTGGACAATATGAGCGGACAATCCATAACAGGATCGGGATTCCCTACTTTACCAGGGACACTCACCATGGTTGTTCAATGTCATGGGTCACTGACTCCACTCCTATGCTGTGATGCACATCGCAAAGTCGTCAACCAACAAATGGCTTGGCTAGTAAAAATAAACCATTCTATTCTAGTATAAATCTGTGGTGTGACGCAGTGCAGCCACGGCTACATGATAAAGCTGGAACACATCGGAACATCGATGGAGACGGTCACTTTGAAATCTTTGTGTAGGAGCCGTTGCATGATACAACTGATATAACACACAAAACTGATATTGATGGGGATGGATCAACACCCTTGCACCCTTGTCAACATCTAAAAAACGGACAACAACAAGCACACATATTATATATATATACATAGATATATATATATAGATATATAGATATATAGATATATATATATAGATATATACAAATATATATATATAATATAAATATATAGAGATATATATATAGAGAGATATAGATATATAGATTTATAGATATATAGATATATAGATGTATAATTAGATATATAGATATATAGATATATAGGTATATAGATATATAGAATATAGATATATGCCCTTTGGATTCCTTTCGTATTTACTTTAACTATAGCTATCAAACATGATCCGTTGATGCCCTATGACAACGCGGCTCTCGCCCAGTCGCTGCGAATGGGACCCCCCAGGGAGGCCACGATGGAGTTCCAGGTGCCTTCGTACTTGCCATCGCGCGCGAAGTTCAGCAGGATCTCCAGGTCATGGCCCAAGCAGTTGAGAGCCGAGAGGTGGATGCCGAACCTGGTAGGCCATCGACCATGGACCACCGTTCAAAAACCATTGAAAACTGTGGAAAATGATTGGAAAATGATAGTTTGGAACAGGAGTGATCTTATAACTGGGCCATGTACTTTCATTTACCACAGCTTTTGGGTATAAATTACCAGGAAATATCCAGAATTCAGCAGTTGTTCCAGGTCTTTCCCTTGTGAAAGTGCGAAATCCAAGAAGATTGTCCGGCTTCAGAATGGCCCCACCCCCAATGCCAAACCCCTCTGCTAAAACCCTATGGTTCATGAAACCGCTTCAAATGGCAGATCTTAGGGTATTCCCAATTTCGAACAGATTCAATTCTCATTGCCAGTCTTAGATACCCTGCTGGTTGGTCAATGTTCCCATTTATAGCAAACGATTAAAGCACTGAACTATCCATCCAAGATTTCCCCAAACATCATATTGTTGGTTACTGAAAACCCAGTATGCTCGTTATATTATATATCTATTATATTGTATCCCATTCGGATAGCAATAACTTCTCATTTAGCATAACAAACCATGAGCCCATTAATCCAGTTAACCTAGCACTAGATCCCATTCACCTACCATTAACATCCATTTACCTAGCATTAACCCACCATTTCAGCCTTCGGCCTGCGACACTTCTTCCGGCGCGGCCCGGAGAGGCGGCCCATCTTCTGCCAAACGTGTGGATAAAAGACCGCCACAAAGTCCAGATAGCCGGTTCCTGAAAATCCGCCACGACAATGCACCACTATGATATGTGATGATATATTTAAAGCACCATAGATATACATAAATGGCCCATAAATCGTGAAGCTAAACACAGAAGATGGTCTTTAAATGCTACGCCCCATTATGATTTGTTTGTATGAAGCACTAGTTCACTATGCTGTAAATTTTGAAATAATGAAACGCGGAAGATGGGGGCCTTTAATGCATAAATCACATTTGCACGTCGAATTAAATGTATCTATGATCCATGATATATACATATATACACACATATATATATACATACATATATACACATACATGTACGTACACACACACATCATATATATACATATATATATATATACGTATATATATGTGTGCAATTATATGATACCACATGTGAAAATCATTGAAAACCCAAAAACGTCCTCACCCACAAGCCAATGCATAGCGACAAAGCGTGTTCCAACATATTTAATACGTCGAAGCCACTGTTTGTGCACCTGTTAAGTGAAAAGGGCTTCAAGTTCAGATTTGAAGGCAGCACCAGCGGTGGAAAGCATTGCCAGAGTCCCTGGAAAGCTTTCACCGCATCTGGCTGGAACAGCTCAGAATAGTGCACAAAGAGTTGCTTCAAGATTGAAGTCGCCTGGTTGCCAGCCGGCCATGCCCACACGCTGCTGGTGAATTTTGACGATATTCAATGATATTCATCTATATGCCATTTTTATATTTTTTCATGGAATATGTAAGAGAAGAAATTCATTTACAGCCACCAAAACATTGAACAAGTTGCATTGAAGAAACCCTTTGCGACATGTCGGGTGTCAATTGGATCCATGGCCAGCGACTGCAAGTTGCACTCGACCTGTGGGCTTCCGATTGGATTCCCTCATGTGGATCCCAAGACTCTGGACATGGCTCCTCTGTCCTTCTTGTCCAGAACAGCTACAGTCACAGTATCTGATAGACACTTCTTGCCCTGTCACTGATCAATGTCATGTGTTTTCCAGTTTATGGGGCTGGTGACCCTGAAAGCTTGATTATCCTTGAGCCGTCAAGGCCAATGAAGTATCAAAGGCATCTGTAACCCTCAACCTCACATCAGCCATGCTCGATGGGTGGCCCCATCCTTTTGAGGGTGGATCCATACGCTCACCGCTGAACTTTCACGCACCGTATTCAAGTGACATGACTGCAAAAGAACGGGGCATATATACCGCGTTCTCATTGGTTTCCTGAACATACGGAGGTTGCCACCAAAAACGGTCAAAGTATCATCAAGCAACGTTGCGATATATGTAAATAGATACTTATCTGGTTGGTGGTTTTAAGCCCTCCCAAAATATGCCCGTCATCGCAACCAATCATACCATGTATGCTTGAAAAAAAACGATAAACATTCGAAACTATAGAGAATTTGGCAACCTCCACATCCAATTCTCTTCTAAAATCGCTTCGTTTTTCGCCAGTTCCATCAACGTCCGAAACTCGGGCCATTAATTACTACCATGACCCTAAATCCAGTGGTGAATGGTGAATCATGAGTTTTCCCTATGTTTTCCTATGAAAATGGCCATCACCAGGGGAAGACCTATGACCCACGTGACTTTTCAGCCTTGTCCGGGTCGCCTCACCTGTTTGGCCAGCCGTGCCAGCCGCCTCTCGGCCAAGGACAGGGGCCTTGGGGCGGTGAAGCCAGGAATGTCACCATGGAAAATGGTAAATTTCAATGGATTGGGATTGGTATTAATTATATCATATGGTTGACGATTCATTATATGATATCGTATCATATGTAACATATATGTGGGTTTCCATAAATGGAGGGATTGGTTTGAAGGGAAATGACCATGTTCAATGGGAAATATATATGGTTTCATGTAGAATCAAGATATGTGGGTTTCCATAAATGGAGGTACCCCAATAGCTGGCTGGCTTATATATATATAGTGGAAATAAAAATTGACATATGGATGATTTGGCGGTAGCCCGGTAGCCTTATTTTACGAAACTTCCATATGCGAGATAGATGGGGTCGATGTAAATGGGATATGATTTATCAAATGTTCTACTTGGTGGTTAAGTTAACCCCCTCGAAAAATAGATAAGTGTTAGTCATGTAGGGTCATCTTCCCATTTGTTGGATGGAATTTTAAAAACAGTTCAAACCGCTAACCAGTAGTCAAGTTAAGTTTAAAAACAAAAAAAAAAACATCACATTTAAGTTTAGAGGAAACAAAACCGACATCACCAAATGAGCAACCATACTGTGGATGGAAGAATCCACCAGGTGGTATGGGATTCCTATGAAACACTGTAAATATTGGGATTGTAAGAGGATACATAATCTAACAACTGGTGTAGGATTTCTTCCACGGTATTTGTAACAAAATGATCGCTGAACACGCGCATCTTTTTGCTTCATGTAGCACTTTTGAAGTACCTAAAGTCTACTGGTGTCAAAGGCCGCAAGGTCTGCTGAAATCACTGTCAACGTTGCAAGTTAAGTCGTGAGTGCTGCTGCTGGACTGAGGCAATATTGCAATTTTGTAAAACAATCACCCCACACAGACATGGTTTCCGCAAGTTAGGTCTGATATATATATAATATATATATATATATCTGATCGAAAAATGCAATCCCATGAGCCAGAAACACATTCCAACCATTCAAAAAAAACAAGTCCTCTTTCCAAATCTGCAAATATCTCAGTGTCTTGCCTTGGGATCTTGAAACCAGCATGCCCCGGCCCATCTTGGACCTTGACGTTCCTTCCTCTTCTTAGAAGATCGGAGTTAGCTGAAATGAATTGACTAGTGAAAATACTTCTGGAGCGCCACACCATGAGGCTTAAGAGAAGGTCTCTTAATAGAAAAGGGGCAGCCCAACCATTTAGACCTAGATCTTTATAGACATCAATAGGGAATACACCTATTTGCAAGCCTGGATGCCCTGGGTACTTGGTAAAGTGCCTGACCAAGTGCGGTCACTTCTGTAGCTAGAGCAACCTGATCACAACTCTACGGATGCATGTTTGGCACTTTCAAAGCGGTATATCAATGGTTTGGCAGGCTCCAATCGCACCGGCGTGAGACTTTCTGCAACATACCGCGAACATCTGCTGATGTAGCAAGCTGCGTGCTGCGCTGCTAGCTATGCCAGTTCCAAATCAAGTCATTGCATCCTAATCCACTGGAGAACATCATAGCTTTCTGATCGCTCGTAAAATTCTTGACGCCAAATGTTCAACTCAGAATCCAGCCTTTCTTTGCCAACCAATACATGATGAAATGGAGGTTTCCTACAGTAGGGGTACCCCCAGTCATCATCCATTTTAATGGATTTTTTTTATTGTAAACCAACCATTTTGGGGATCCCCCATCTATGGAAACCCCCATTTAATGGGATTACAAACCATCAACACAAAGAGATGCCATTTGTCCCATGGGACGTGCCTATGGTGCCCCTATTGTGGCAGATCGTCCCCACGGAGGGAACTCTCCAAGTCCACGTCGTTGTCCAGTTCATCGTCATCCGGGCTCCAATCAAAGACACCCTCCTGGGAAGTGCTGGTGAAATGGCTCCCAATCGAGTAGATTAGAGTGATATACCATAAAACAGATGACTCATGCTGATATATTGTGATATACTAATGGTGATATGCTAATCATTGTATTTTATGGTGCTAGCACTATATAGTGTATTACAATGACTAATGATATCACCATACAAATCCAGAAAATACAATGATTGGAAAAACACGCAAGCAAAGTATTGTGCCCCCGAGGTTTCCCAAAGCGGTCAGTTCATGGAGAGGATAAGAGATGGTCATGGCCCAAAGTTGGAGACACACTGGTGGCATAGCTGATCATTTTTGATAACCCGAATATGGGTCTGTCGGAAAAATGGGGAAATGGTGGATACCCCCCCATAACAAGTTTAATAATGGGGAAAATGATTAATAAACCACTAGATTTTAGGGTACCCTATTTTCACACAAACCCATATGAAGCAACTGCACGCAATTGTAAATCAGATTGTCTCTTGGAAAGTGACTTGAGGGCAATTGATTTCTGATCGATGGTTTCAACCCACCTAACCATAAACTGCTCGGTCCCAGCCTCTAAAAAATACTGGTCGTTTTGGATCTTCATGCGAAATAACAAGGAACATAAAGTGCAGTTCAAAGCCCAAGCTGCTGATTCATTTTATGTGTAGCAATATATATATATATGCACATATACATATATATATATATATATGGATGTATATATTATATGTAATTATATAGATACGCCCATCAAATCATCAGACCATATTGGTGGGTAAATCCTAGATTCTTTTAAGTACCGTTGACTTCCCCCCAAGTTTCACCTTCAGCTTGTAGAGCAAATGCCTGCGCTTGTGAACCTGCCAAGTGGAAATAAACCATGATTAGCGATAATTAACATAGGTTTCCATGAGTTTCATGGTAAAGTTATAAGTTTACCTACTCTGTGGCAATTTTCCATGTAGCTATGGCCCATTTATAGATGATTTGCCTATGAAAAAATCCCAGACCTGATGGGACTTGATGGGGCCTCTTGGGGATGGTGGAAAAATCACCATATCCAATCGGTATAATATATATATATATATTATAGTAATAAATCAACTAGAACTAGACCAGAGGGTATAACTTATACCATCTTATAGATTCTTCTAGGCTTGCGCCATGTGGGCCTTGAGAAAATCCTCCAGCACGATGCAGACTTCACCAACCATGGTCAAATCCACGGATTTGTCTTCTCGTCCACAGGCAGCCGCACGGACGCCGTTGCGGAAGAGTACGTGCATTTCCTGACGGAAATGAAGTGGTGGAGCCACCCAACCCATCCCATATTTTATTGTGGTAAAATGAGATTGTATTATTGTATTACAGTACTATATATTAAATTATTAACTATTTGCATATATATATGTGTGTGCGTGTGTGTTTGTGTTATATAAAATATATATATATAAACAATATATATATATATATACTGTATATATATATGTATGTGTGTGTGTGCGTCTGCATGTAAAAATATCATATGGGATCATCATCTCAAGTAGAGTTTAAGGAAAGCCAAATTTGAAACCACCTGCTAGGCCAACATTGGCTCCCAAGCACCAACCCCGAAAGGTGAGTGCAAGCGCTGATGGTGGCTACTAACACCTTGTTAACCCCTCTTGTTGGGTAAGTGGCCCATGAAACACAACGGATTGTAACCAGGAAACAGGGAGATCAGCCAAAAAATGGCCCCATGGCTCTTGATTTCTCCATGGATTCTCCCTGTTTTCAACATCTGATAGGCTCCCAGGTTTGTCATGCGATTTCACCTAGGTATTTTCTTAGAGTATGGCTCGGAATTGGCAATCTGATGGGCTGAAACATGAGCTGAGGCGAAATTCTGGGAGAAACAAGGGGTCCAATCTTCTCACGCTACACTCAACATTTTCAGTCCCCTCGTATCCCCAAAAAAGAAATACATACGGATCGAAAAAAAACCTTGTGAAATGTAACATGTAAACAAAACCTCTGGGAAAATGAGTCTAACTCCAAGCATCCACAAATCTGTGGCCATCAAGGCTTGCAGATTCCTTGTTGAAGCGATTGATCACACGCACCAGCTGGAGCCGGTCCATGGATTTGTCCAACCCCTTGAAGACTTCCACGAGTTTTAACACTGCTTTGGGACTGCTGACCTTAGCCCCACGGCCAGGGAAGTCATTCAGTGGCGTGGAAGCTGGTTGCGTTTCGCTGCAAAACCCTTCCAATGACAAACTCACCTCCGCACAGGAATCAATGATTCATGTATAGTCTGTATAGTCTGTATAGTACTTATTCATGTATATATATATATAATATGTGTGCGAGTAATTCTATATTATACGTATTCCATACACTTGGAAATGGAAACTCTCATTTTCTATGATGAGCAAATTCCCAGCCTCAATGGATCTAGAAGTTCAATGAACTCCTACAATTGGAATCGGTAGTTGCCTCTAGTTGAGTCCCAGGTTTTAAGAATGGTTTCAAACCTTACATGATGAATTATTATCAATTGTGTTGTGGGGGCATGGTTGGAAAAGGTCATGTATATGTGAATACTGTGTATATCTATGTATATCTGCACATCTTTCATTCATGAAATTCTTAGATGCCAAGTCACGGAGATCGTGCCTCTGATCAGATCAAAGATCTGCGATGTGCTGGTCCGGGTATCGAAGGTATCTGCCGTGGGCGTCAAGCCTAGGGCGTGTTCCTCCAAGCAAACGACGACCGAGAAATCCACAAAAAGCCATGGAGTTTGGAATGGGAACAACAATGAACTACTTCTGTAATGAATTTTCCAGCTAGCCATGTTTGATTTCCAGCGGCTAACTAGTGACTGATTGGGTTCTATTCCCTTTTACCTGGGTATATGATAGGCCATCAACCATTTACGAACAGGTCAACTTGATCCCTGGCCCATCTAAGTGGGCTCGCCCAAAGGATACTGAAGTTTTTGAAAATACATTAACATTAGATGTACTAGATTGTACAAGTATATTTACTACATGGCTGGTGTAGCTTCCGGGTTTACAACTGTTCTATCACTTCTATCATGTGGGGGTTGGTTTAAGATGTATAGAACAAACCACAGGAATGGCATGGGTGTTTTACCCAGAGTCGACCTCTCCCAAGGTTTCGGATGGCTTGGACATCCCACGTTCGATTAGAAGCGCAAAAGAACGCTACCAGTTGCCCCCTGTGGCAATGACCTAAGGTAAGTGCCTGCCAAACTGATCCCAATTCAATTGACATAAAATGATGTAAAATGTATAATCTGCGAACCCCAATGCCATAAACAACTGCCATTTGGGGATGGTGTGAATCCCACCCATGAAACAACATTTTGCTCAGGCAAATGATAAATTATCCAACATAGGGTTGATTCAGGATAATACTGCTAGTTGAAAAACCGACATTTTGGAGGGAACAATCGCCTGGAATGCCAACCATCTGCACCAAAAAATCTGTCAACCCTGTCCTTGTGCTTGGTCCGTTCCTCTGTCTTCACAGGACCGTGGCGATAGGTGGCCGGCAAGGAAGGGTTCTCTGCATTGAATTTGTCCTCGGTTGGTGATCCCTTGTCTAGTTGGTTGGATGCCCCAATTCTTGGCTTTTAGATCCCTCCATCTATAGCCATTGATACGGTTATAAGTTATAAAAACCATATAAAGCCCCGTATCTATCATTGGCATACAATTTTCACTTACTATCCCTGGTATGTCACCCTTATGGTTGGCTGAAGATCACCTGTATTTCTAGCATCCCTTCAGCATTGTGAAATAGTTCAGTTCCTACTACCATTACCCTCTGGCAATCAAACATGGCGATGAAAATCACCAATTCAGCTGTATGATTTTCATACCCTCTGGTAAACTAACATAGCTATTGAAAATGGCCATTTATAGTGGATTTTCCCATTAAAAATGGTGATCTTCATAGCTATGTTAAATTACCAGAGGGTATTCATATTCATTTTCTCATTGATAATTGAATTAGGGGACTTCCCCCCTGCCAGCCATGTTTGATTGCCTGAGGGCATTTAACATCATGGATGATGATAATCCCAGGATATTGCCTAGTAGAACCACCCATAACCGATCAACGCTGCACTAAGTCCAGCAAAAAGGGGATGAGAAACCCCGAATCAATAAAAACCATCATTCCAGTGACGGAAGCTCACGTGAGGTCATGATCAAATTCATGCGAACATGTATGTATAAAATTATCTATCTATCTATCTATCTATCTATACATCTATCTATCTATTTATTCACCTATGTGATGATATATATATATATATATCCTTGGTAATCAAACATGGCAATGGAAAATCCACCAGGTTTAAGTGATGTTCCCGGCTAGAAACTTCCATATTATAGGGGAATTTCAATTGCCATGTTTGAATACCGGATGGTATTACACACATATATATATATATCCATAAAATGTATATATACATTTAAATAATAATAATAATAGCAATAATAATAAAATAATAATAATGATTATATATAATAATGTATATATATATAAATACGTACATGAATATATTATACACAGTATATCATATCATGTCAGCTCAGGCTCCACAATACGCGTATCTTTCTGGCGGCTTCGTGATCCGACATCTGGGCCAACTGGAGAAGCCAGGTGCGGTAGGCATTTCGCCAGAACATCCTGGCGTCCCCAACAAAGCAGGGGTTGGTAACCCTAGGGAGAACATGGGAGAACCCATGGTTTCCCTAGAAATGATGAATAAAAAATGCTGGCTCTTGCACATCTATGTCAGTTTTCAGGTAAATGTGCCTTTTTGAGGCTTTTGAACATGACTTGAAAAGCCGTATCTGTTGGAGATTAGATCCCCAATAGGGGGTTCCAATGTTTCGATTTTCTTCGCCGTTGCTATGATGATAATATATAACGACATGTAATGACACAAACTGATATATATATATATAATGATACATAATGATATACAATGACGTAGAATGAATGAACATAATATACAATGATACATAATGATACGTAACATGTATGGGGGAATCATCATGATGGATATCAATGGGACCGATCAAGTGCTCTAAAAATCATTGGGAATATCATGGAAAAAAGGATGTGTGATGTGGGATCCACGTTCATGAACCATCCTCGATTTGTAGCTTGTGTATATTTCTACTGAGATTTACTATACCTCAAACTACTTGGATAGTCGAGGTGCTTCATATTATATGATCCCACACTATTACCAACCTCTAATAGCTACCAAGGTAAGTGGTATATGATACAGTATATGGTATACCCGAAATCCGCTTCCCAGGAGTCCGTAGCACTCCCTTTCCCCTACTATGGAACACACAGCGAGAATCCCTGGTTTAGAATTCTCTCTAATTATTCATTTTGGGTGCCAATATGGGTGGTATTTCATATGTTCGGGTATCATGTATGCAATGAGATGGAATTGCTAGGGATCTTCACCTCCAGATCCCTCCAGCAAACATATGGAAAAACTACCGTTTGATCCATGTCTAGATCATTGTCCTTGAGAAACGGTTGTTTTCTATATCAATGGCAGTTTCAGGAACAAAAATCGAAGGTACCTACCATTAGGCCTATGTAGAAGTTCTGATTTTCTATAGGACATACCACCAATTTCTATGGTTTTATATGGTACAGTAATGTAGAGTACCTCTATTTTAGGGCCCTGAAATTCACATTGATCGGCTTAACCACATCCCATGATCTTCCCATTGAATTTTGAATTTCACCATACTTTTCCCTACATCACCCCCCCCAAAAAAAAACATCTGTTAACTAACCATATAAGATCATATAAGATCACATAAAATCAAATAAGATCATATAAGATCATAAAATTGTAACCATGACCAAACAATATCAATATATCAACATCATTCAACATCTATTAATTATATATTACCCTCTGGTAATTTAACATAGCTATTGAAAATCACAATTTTTAATGGGAAAGTCCACTATAAATCACCATTTTCAATAGCTATGTTAGTCATTACCAGAGGGTACTAATATTTACTAACCATGAATATCATCTGCTGAAAACAACCTACGTGACCCCGCCTGCCACATCTCAGGTTATGCGAAATGGTGAGTTGCTCCACCAAGTTCAACAGGGCAACGTGGTCATCCTGTGGCGATCCGTTCTGGCACCGTTCCAACGGCCTGGCCTTTGTTTTTTTAAGGGAACCATAGAAAATCACCAGCAAAACATGGAAGATTTATGGGGATTTTTAGGGGATTTATGGTGATTTATGGAGGATTTATGGAGGATTTATGGAGGATTTATGATTTAAGCATCAAATATGGCAATTTACCAACTTGAACATGGGAGATTTCACCATGAAAATCATGATGAAATTCATGGAGATGTCATCACTAGAAATGGAGATGTAAACCGTTTATGAGGTCAACGCATGTGTTGGTTTATAGAACCATATACAACCCATGCTAAAATTGGAGATTGTGAATCCTATTGCTTTGCCAACATCAGAGTTTAGTTATTGTGTATACGTCTATTTGGGATGTAAATTGCCTCGCAAAATCATGCAAAATCATCAAAACAGGAAAATGACCTCCTGTTAGCATGCCGACACAGGCTGGCATTGCAACTCTGGTGCCACAGGGTGAAAATTCGAATTCTGCGGCGCAATGAAAATCGAAAAATCCGGGCACACGAGCAACACCAATATGTAGGAGTTCGTGTCGACACGTTTTCGAATTTCTGTTCAGGTTCCTTTCCTGCTCTCTCTCAGGATCACCACATTTCCAGCACTATAGCTATGAAAAAACACAATTGTTTTGAATACAAACACATACACATGGGCCATGCTGCATAGCTATGGTAGAAAACCGCGATCCAAAGGGAAACTATCTACTAGTATCTACTATAACATACTATATCTATATATTTGGTTTGGCGATTTCCAAACATGTTTTGGAACTTAAGTAGACCTCCGACTGACGTCCGCAGGAAACTCATGGAGACTCTCCTTGAGGCCAGCAAAGCCGGCAGCCCCCACAGTACGCAGTTGATCCAAGGCCTCCACCAAATCCAATTGTTCCACCCAGAGTGGAAAGTGATGAGCTCGCAGCTGGCTCAATACGGATTTGTCCAGCCTCGGATGGGATCAGGTTGGAATCAGTTTTTTGATCGCGGAGCCCACTGAAAAATGGCGAGGCGAAGCTAGCCCCCATGGTGCTACGACTGTGGATTCAAGAAAGTGAACTATATATGGCATAGAACTAAACAATTGGGATCCGGCCTACTTTGTTCAACAATCATTAACATACGAAAACATCTACATAGTTTCGGAGATGTTTGGAGATTTTAGTCAAAGGCTAGAAACCAATCAACAAAAACACTCAAGGAAGTGTCAGGCATTATCTGATGAGCACCCCAGTTGAAGCAACTGCTCGGTTTGCACCCTCACCATCATGAAACTTTCATGATGAAACTGTTACCAGTTTGATTGATGAATGACAGAACAATCTTGTCCTGCAAAACCCGGGATGATGTCTCTCCAAACCGACACCAAGTAGCACCACTTCTGCTTCGATATCAGCTAGTTCTGACCCGAAATCTTCTTCGTCCACCATCTTTTCATAGAGTTTGTCAAATTCCATACGGTACTCAGCCAATTCCAGCTGAAGCAAATTGTTCAATTCTGTCCTGTAAGCTTCTCGGTTGTCAAACTTCCAATAGTAGTTTGGCCGGGGCCCACGGGTGTCATACAGCCATTGCTTGAAGAAATCATTCCTTGGGCGGAAGTGGATCTATCCATTTTGGCTCAAACAAGTGTTCATCTCAAGGAAAAGGGAATATGATTTCAGCAACATGTATGTATCAAAAAGCACTGTCGATACTAGCAATTCAATGGCTGAAAAAAACCATTCTTGTAGATGGGTTTAGATGCTATTTGTCGTTTTGGTTGCTTAAACCCAGGGTTTGCATGTGGCATTGATGGCTTCAAAATGGCTATCCAATCTGTGGCCAGTGTTTTGAATGTCGACCCGCTATATCAACCCTGGTGCCACCACTTAAATGCTGATGTCCAATTCTAAACATCTACAAGATTACACCGAGATTTAAATGGCATGTAACTAACATCTATGTTATTCATTTATGTTTGTTGATTTATTTGTTTACAGAGAGGGAAAGGTACAAATAGAATAGAACAATCCAACTGCAAACATTTCACCATGAATCCAATCGTTGGCCTGGTTGCAAATTTAGAACAACTGGCCTATCTGTGGGCACTTCTCCTGTAGTCTCCTGTAGAGAAACACGGATATGAAAGACCCACCATTCGTTACATGTGATACTTTTCCTTGGAACACCCTGGTTTTCCCCATTACATTACAGTATACCTGCCATGGCCATGGTATATGGGACATGGTCATCCAGTAAAGGGTATATGCATATTGAGCTCCATGGGGGATGACAGTTCCACCGTGGCCCAAACCCACATTGTATCCTGAATTTACCCGGGACCCTGCAGTAGGATGATGAAACATGATGATACATGTAAAAGGTATTTTGCTACAATGGTATGTCATTAAATTATTATATAATGGTGCTTCCCCCCGTTCTGGTTGGAAAAAACATCTACCAGCACCTTGTTTTATTAAATAAATACTGTATCCCACATATGGATATCCAAAATGGTTTCAGGCTCAGAAATGCCCAGTGGCTGCAAGGTCTGCCTCCGTTTCACCTCCGCCAGGTACTCGGCTTTCCCCTCCTCCGACAGATGCGGGTTGGGCGTGACTTCCATGTCAACGGCGCCCGTGCGCAAGCGCGGGATGAGGGGAGAGATCAAGGTACTCCAAACCAACTTCAGCTTCACCTGGGGAAATGTTGCGGATTGAGGGTTGAAACAGTTGCTGAAACATGGTAATGATGTTTTTTCTTTAACATATTATGGGTTATAAGTTATAACATTTATAACTATTAATATATTATATATATATTATATATATACTAATGGTCTGGAAATTGACCTGCCTGCAGGGGAGCTGCTGCAGAAATTCAAGGGTATGCCATCTAAGAATGGGACATACGTCAAGTTATGGTCTGTGAAAATAGCGGGCATTCAGGGAGAACTGTTGATTGAATTGGGAATTCAGGGGTTGTACGGTTAGAACTAGCGCTTCAACTGTGCGGGAAATCAAAGGTCAAACATGATGGTTGAATTGTCCAAGAATGGGGGGTGGGATGTTTGGCAGATCATTGTCAACATGAAGATTAAGCCAAGCCATAATAAGATCAGGGCATTTGGATGGCAATCCCAGTCTCGGTGCACAGGCTGGCAGTGAATCAACATTTCCCCCCAGCCGAACTTCAGCATACGCCCTGAATCAATGGATTGGCTTAAGGGAAAAATCACAGGAAACCCCAGGAAACACCCATATTTCATGGGGAAATATCGATGGTTTCCGGTTAAGATTTTCCCGTAAGCCAATCCATTGATTGAAGAGTGGGAACCCCTGATTTCAGGATATGACTTGCGGCTTGCGGGTCGCGGCTCGCGCGTGCGCTCGCGCCTTGTTGGGCCCCTGCAGGGGATGAAAGAACTGCTCGTGCAATCGGAGGCGCTCGGGCATCTGATTGACACCTACGGCTCCACCCTGGGGGTCCTGCTGATGTTCCCTCCATTTCTGTGAAGATCAAAGAGGCTGCTCATTTTAATAGGAACATACTTTATAATTATCCGCAAATGGAGGTCAACATGATTATTCATTGAAATTTTTAGACCCAAAATGGGTGTGTGCGCGAAACCACAGTACCCAAATATCCAAGTAAAACTTGATTATCCCGATGAGACATGCCAAAATTGGGTTTGTTGCGGTATACCCCGCTTCCACACCCATGTTTTTGGGTTGAAGGATGTCTGACACCTGGAAGGTTGAGAAGCTCTTCGATCTTTTGCAACACCGTCATCTCTTCGCCTGGGAACATGGAGTCATCTTTGCCCTGGTGATGCTGCTGAACGACTATTGGGGTGGTTACCACCTTGTTACTCCTGTTATAATGATAGATTAATCCCATCACCCTAATATTAAACACCCCATCAAGGGTCCCAATGAAATGTGGAAATTCCCTACATCCACCATGGTTTCGTTTAGGGGTGTTTTTTTTGGGGGGGGGCTGTGCAAAACAGGGTTTATCTGACACCTTCTACATCCTGGAGGCCCTTCTCATTCTGACCAGAACTGATCCAAAATCTGTGTTCCAACATGCAATCATTCGTGGGAAGTTTGGACACCCGGTTCATGGTGTCATCCTTTTAAAAAAAAAACTAACGCTACTTACGTACTACTTATAACTCGGGTTATAACCCACTTACTAATTGTGAGCTAAGCCTCCAGGTAAACAACGCCCATCAATACTCTAAGAACTCATCCCAGTTTTTGAGCCATTCATCGGGTCAAGACATGTCAAGAACATCTGGGTGAAGCAGCCCTGCCGAACCTGACGAGATCCAGCCACACTCAAAGAAACGAATGGGAAAAAAAAACTCAAGAAATGAAACAATATTCCGATATGTATCATAAACGCTTGAATAACAAACTCTGTGGGAGAGAGCAGCCTAGAATTGCAATTCACTTAAAACCACCCCTGCAAATCAAAATGGCTAGAACAAGGCCGCTACATCATCTTCGGTGGATATCTGCATGAAGTATATTGACCCAACAACATGAACCGATCAAGGAAATCAAGGAATATGAATTAAGCACAGCTTAATCTCAATATATCTCAAAATTCAGCCACACGAAGAAATGCAGTATCCCCAAATGGGGGTTGTTCTTCTTTGTAGCCATTTGCACTTTAGAATTGGAGGTAACTTGTTGGGCTTACAATATGCTTGTTGATTTCTCAAATCCAATCAACTTTAAACTATCTATCTATGTATATATATATATGATAATATCGAATTAGACGGGGAGTATTGATATAATCGTATTCTCCTATGATATCGTCGTTTTTTTCCGCATGGATCTAACATTCTTAACAGGGATACCCCGAAAAAAACGGCAATGTCATTGAGGAAAATTATGATAATTTATTGGCTTTGGGTTTCCCCAACACCTTTTTCAACAAACGCAAAATTACCGATAATTGTCCAGCTTAGTGGCTTAGTTTACAGTACTATGGGCATCAGAATCCACTCAATCCTCGGACTTTTGCCACTATTTGATACCATTTGGGGGTTTGGATTTTCCATTATGTACCATCCAGCTATGGGGTACCTTCATTTATGGACAACCCCATTTCTGAAGACTTATGTTTCAAAATCCAATGATGGTTGCCACAGCCTTGCCGCAGTTAGTTTACCCCGTGGTTGTTGTTCCACGGCCTGGGGCCCCAACACTGGTTGAGTTACCATAGCCACACACACACACATATATATATATATGTACATGTGCGTAAATAAACAGAGAACGACATATGTGTTGTACATATACACTATATATATGTGTGTGTATGTGTTAGAGTATGTTATTGTTATGTGTACAGTATGCATATATATAAATATACATATGTGTGTACCCCTTTTTTGTTGATATCCCATCTCATCTTGAGTAGTCCCATTCTATGGCCCCGAATATTTGTAAATACGTGCACATCCCCTGTTCAACCATGGCTTCTTGGCTGTGTTTGATATTTGGATATATTGGGGGGATGGGATTGTATCATATTGTATCCTCCCAAGATCTACCTTAAAGGTTTAGCCTAGCCATATGGGGTTTCTTAAGTCATGGAGGATCCCCAAGTCACCATGGGTTTCAATACTAAGTCACGGTCATCCATGACTGTTGTTTCTTTCTGGGTCCCACCATGACTAAGGAAATCTCCATGTGTTCATCATTACTAACATTACTATCCCATTATATCCCCACTGGAAATAGCAAGAAATCCCAATTTTTGTTGGTTAAATCCCATGACATCGCCATTCTGGTCGATTGGGTCGATCGAATCCATTTTTTTGTTCATCGCATTAAAAATCAGCATGCCATGCCACATTAAATGGTCAAACATGGCATCCAGGTCACCTTTAAAGATCGGCACCAAGCGCTTTTGGAAGTCCACCCCCTCCTGCGGCTTCAGCGAGTCCAGGGTGGAATCGCTCAGATCGCAGGCGCGCTGCGGCAAGCGGGTGACCAGGAAGGCGGTGAAGCCTGGCGGCCCAGGGCAGCCGGGGTGGAACTGATGGCATCTTTGACACTGTTTGTTGCCAACTGCTGAAGATATCTATATATATATGTATATAACATGATTTAACTATATTCAACTATGCCATTTCACTTGTTTCACATTGGTGTCAATGGGAATTTCAGGATCCTAAAACGGAGGTACTGTACCATAGAAGGCCATATTTTGGGGGAATATTCCCTTACATAGGCCTTATATATGGTAGGTACCTCCAATTTAGGTTCCTGGAATGGCCATTGATTGGTGTTCAACAATCTTAAGATGGGTTTGAGGTATGTGTTCAGAATTCAACATGATTGGATCCCACGTTCTGGCATGTTTATATTAGGTTTGATGCGCCTCCAACACCCTGGATCAGCAAGTTGGCTCCCCCCTGCAGCAACGCACGCACCACCATAGAGTTGCCATTGAAGCAGCCGTGGTGCAGCGGGGTCCAGCCATCCATGTCGCGGACGTCGGGATCTGCGCCGTTCTTCAGCAACAGTTGAGCGATCTCGGGCATATCTTTGCGGGCCGCCAAATGCAGGGGTGCGCGGCCCTGATGAGCTGGGGTCAGGTGAGGGGATGAGAGTTGAGTTCAACTCTATGAGAGGCTTAAGTCTTTGTGAGTCTTTATATATTGCTTAATAATGGTTGATAGGTTCTTTGTGGAAATCAGCACCAGCAAAAGCCGCCATTTGGGATAGCAGGTGAGAGACGACGGCTGGAAAGTAAGATCGAAGTTGAAATCTAGAAACGTGCAAGGGCGGGACTACATTGGTGGCACAAGTCATCAAACAAGAAAACAAATAAAAAGAAAAAACAAGTATAGAAACTCGAAGCTGCTTGTTCTGAGGAATCATTGGTCCATTGACCATGAACAAGGTGTAAGTGTTCAGCCACCAAACCCAGCCTTCGCATTCTTCCCCTGTAGCTGAAGTTTGATGCCTTTCATCGGATCTTGCAGCCTCAGAAGCTGCGTGGTTCCTGATACCCAAACAATTTTATCGTTGTTGCTGCTGTTGCTGTTGTTGTTCCTGTTGTTCATTGTCTACAGTGTGAGTCTACAGGCCGATTTAGATGATTTGGGGGTATCCAAATGTTGAATCAGTGCGAAACTTCTATGAACACCTTTCCGGCAACCCGTCGGGACCCCAGAAATGGTTCCGAAAATAGGTACAGTACCCCAAAATTTGATGCTTAATCATGTTCCCGTGTTCCCTAACCAAAAAAAAAACATGTTCAGGATAGACACACCCATTTGTCATATGTTTGGTTATACATACCATCAATATCATATCCCACAAAAACGATTTCGCAAACACACATGTACATATATATATAATTATATATATAATATAGATATGTACTGTATATATATATATATCCATCGCCATCTCCGAGAGTTTAGCCAAGAAAAACACACATATCCATTGTCTCATTATATACCATTTATCTCCTGTTAATCTCCCACATTTGTGCATTCATGTGAATTTTCGGGAGAATGGGGCATACTTCCCAAAATTGCAATCACATAAGAGGGAAAATGATGATAAACTGATAAACCATCAAAATTCCAATCACATAACAGGGAAAATGGTGATAACCTGTCCTGTCAGATGTGTTTTTTTCCAATACATTTTTCAGGCAAACTTAAAACATATGTACGGATGTAGTCCCATCTTCGGCCTTTGCAGGACGAGTCTCTTCACTAGAGTCTCCACACAATCGAGCTTGCCATGAAAAACGGCCAGCGTCAACGGGGTCCAGCCGTTTAGAGCTTTATAATTCACGTCCTGGTGCTGGTATGTGCCGGTCATATGGGATATGAATGCATGTTTTTTTCAAGACCAACCGGCATATGGGGGGTTAGTTGGTATTTAATTTAATGATGTAAAATGGCGTAAATATATCCATGGTATTAACTGGCCGTACCAATTATGTTGATGGTATTTGTTAATCGGCCCACAGCCCAAACAAAATGGGATAGAATGTACAATTAGACTCAGACTATATCCAATTTGGATGCTTCCAAAAATATACATGGATATACAACAATTGCAATCTCGCATGGAAATGCAATCTCGCATGGAAATCCAAGAGGCGTCCCTCCCCCTAGGCAACCGCCTGTTAATAATCGGGGTTTCGAACGCCGGGAATAAGCCCATTTCAACGGCTGGTAACAGTTGGGTTATCAAAAGAAAACTGACTTTTGGCGTTAATAAGGCCAATAGTAACCAATATTATGCAATGCAATTATCAATTTATAAGCTGATTGGTGCTGATAATTGTTGATAATACCTCACTCTGGCCCCATTTCTTTGCTCTGGATGGTCACCATGGTCGATTTTCATTCTGACCTGACGGATCTCTGATCAAGGTGCTGAAGTGGCTTCATTGCAAGTGGATATCCACAATGCTGATAGGTTCCCGGAACACATCTGCAAATTTGGGTCCTTAGATCTTACAATGATACCTAGTAATTAGTATATATATGTATACAGACATATGGAATTAATTGTAATTATATATGGTGCTGCTGTTTTTTCCTCATATCTTTGATTATCCCAGAGTTTCCTTCTGAAAAACGACAACTGGATTCTGCAATCCAGCTGGTTTGTTACAAGATGGGGCCCACCGTTTGGCTCAAATCGCCACCGAGACTCCGCTCGTTTGGCCACCAGCTGCCGGATTTGTGCGCCAGTGAGATCGTGCATTTGTTTCACCAATTCCTGCAGGAAGCCATGGCTTAATTTTCGATGGCAAAAATAGAGGGGGTCCTGGAAATGTTCACTTCAACTTGGGATGATGTAGTCGAGTGATGTCGATGTTTACAACATCCACACTGCTTTAAGGCGACACTTTGAGGCTCGCACGTTGCTTTGCAGGAGCAAGACGCATCATCATTCAAAGTATGATTTTTGTGCATGTGGATTAACCATGGGCGTATATGGGCTTATCAGATATCACCAACTGATAAAATCTAAGTGCATCTGGTTTGCAATGGTTTGCAAAAACATTCAAATATCAAATTAATTTCAACCAAATACCAAAGGGTGTTGTCGCCACCTAGGGGCTTGTTAGCCATTTGAATTGAGAACCTGTTCATTGCTTTCTAAATCCACGTAAGGCAAAGTATGCAAAGTCAGAAGTAAGAGTCTATCCAGTCACTCCCAGAATTGGTTTAAGTTCATGAGCGAATATCTACAGTAAACTCATCTAAACCCAAATTCACATCAAAAAGGGAATTGTGGGTTGCTAAAGAGAATGAATTTAGTGGCTTATGAGATTGTTATCAGATAAATCCAATCCCAGAAACACACATAACGTCTATGCGTGTATGGTGTTTCTTGTTCCTATAGATACATGTACCATTCCCACATGTAGAGGCCCACCCGCCCCAATCCTCATTCACTTGCGCCGGCGCCCTTTTGGCAGGGGACTTCTCTCCGTCGTCCTGGGTAGACTTACATGCTCTCAGCGCGTGACTTTTAAACCAGAAACCACCAGCCAAGAAATCTGTTTTGCTCCCTATGTTTTTGCCATTTTTATCATACTTTCTGGCCTCTATTTCATCTACTCAAAAAGAGCCCGCAAAGAAACAGCTGTCTGTGTGACTGCGCTCCTACTCACTGGGATCGATAGCAGGCAGAAGAAATGCCACTGTATAGGATCATTTGTTGCGCTTTTTTGGCGCTCGATGCAGGGTTTCGACTCTGTGAGAGAGGAAAAAAGTCCTTGCAACGCCTACGGACCAAAGGTATACGGTATAAGTCTAAGATTCGGGTATACATTCAGGGGATTTTGATATCGTAGCAAGAACAAAGGCCTGGCGCTCACCCATTGGTTTCGTTGGATAGTTCTTAGACTATACGTAGTGTTCTGTGTTTACCACGATTTCTTCCCCCTCATCTGCACAAAGTTCTGCAACCCAAGCCAAACATGAACAACAAGCAACACAATCAACACCTATCAGCACAAATGTCGTTCAAAACATCGGGGAGCGCCAGTCGAAATCCACCAGTTGCGAAGCCCAGTCCAAAGCATCCCAGGATTCTGCCAAAGCATCCTCCTCAGGTGGTGCCCACTCCTGCCCCAGTAGCACCTTCATCACATCGATATGTCTCGCCTTAGCAGGTTTCAACACTGGTTTAACCGAATCCAATACATCCCTGTTTAAACTCCATCTCAAGCCTTTTATCCATATTTAATTTGTTTAATCTATTTTTCTTGGTTAAACCACCACACATCATCACACATCCTTCGCCCCAGCCTTGGCGGCCCGAAACAATGGGCAGTCGAAGTCCTTGTTGTGACGCTGTGGGTCACAGCGGGCCGCAATCAGCTGCGAAGCGAACTGGGCGTCCGTTTTGCCGGTGACGTTCAGGAGGACGGAGGTGCCATTCTTGTCCTTGAGCTGACTGTGGTGTCATGGGAGTTAATGGAAATCATCTAAAGGAATTTATATACTGATATATGTGGGATGTAACTAATGGAATAATATAAATTGTCAATGGAAATGATCGAATGGGATTAACTAATGGGATTTCTGGAATTGTTGATTCTGATGGATGTGCATAATCACACACGCGCATATATATACATACCGGCAACTCGCATATCATGGAATTCATTAATGGGGCTAACCCTCTGGGTATTAAAAAAACATGGCGATGAGAAATCCACATGAACAATGGAGGTTTATAGCTGGGAAAATCATCGAACTACATGGTGGGTTGTCCAGCAATCCATGTGTGATTACCGGAGGCTAATTCGAATACAGCGGGGGATATAGAACGAACATGATACAATGGAAATGAATGGGATATCTATAAATGGCCAATCACCATTATTGAAATATGCAGCAGGGTTTAAATGGTCAATCATCTTTATCAATTGTTTTTTCTTTGTCACTGGGTTACGATATACTCTCTGGTCATTTAATGGTTTGCTATCGAGGCCAATGCCCATCTAATCTAGTTCGACGTTTTCCTTTTAATTGTATATATGCACACATATGTATATACCTATATATATATACTGCATATAAATAATGATGATTTTCCATAGCTAAATTACTAGAGAGTACTGGGAACATTTAGGTATGGGAATGAGATCATGAGATAATTCATATACTGATATACAGTAATGATATGTAATGATCACTCGGAGTGTCTGGGATGGACATGGAAAAACCCCTTTCCTGGTCCCTCAATGGGTCAATGTTCCTGTAGCAAGCGGAATGTAGGGGTCTCATGGGGGATGAATGATATAATACATATATATATATATAAATAAATAAATAATATTATATAATATAATAAATAATGGGATTATCTGGCTGAATTACTATATATAATTCACTAGCCCGAAATGTTTGGCCGTTTTGGTTGTAATGCAGCCAGGGGTATGCTATCATGGGAATATAAGAAGGTACCAGCCACAATTGCGGGATTTATTGGGGGGGTCTTCTACCATGGGGAACATGAAGGAATTTTCATGTGATGTTTGGGAATCTTGCGACAAAAATAGGGGTCCGAGGTTTTTACCCTTGATTCATTGAATGATTTAGAATTTTAGAGGGAAGATTGGGATAACCATCATTGGCAGCCAGTCTCTATGGGAAAACGGGATTTAATGGAATTTTCAGCAGGAAACTATATGTTTTTGGAAGATGTAATATCGTGTTTGTTTCTTGGACTGGATATTTGGTAAAGCCACCAATCCAATATTATTACACCCATTGGACATGGAAAAATGCAACACATGATGGTACCAGTACCAGGTACCAAAAAAACACAATTAACAGTTTACAGTAAAAACTATCAACTGATTCACGGAGGATTTTCTGGTCAATTTGGAATGTGTAAGCACAAATAAGGATACAGTAGAAAGTAAGTAGAGATATCAATCATCAACCATGGCACTTTGGTTGAGACTACCCAAGGAATCGAGGAAACCGTTTTTCTACCATGAAATCTTGAGGTTGTAGGGACGTGGGAAAATCATCTACATTGATGGTGCAAATACTGTGATGTGGCAAACCCAATGCAAACATCTTGGGGCATGGGTTGCTGGTTGCTATACCATCCATTTCTGATGAAATTTGGGATTGCTTATTGGTAGCTTTAAGGTCTTTCTCACATGAAATAAGTGAAGTGCACTTCCAACAGGTCAGCCAAGCGGATGTCAACATGATCTCTTTGTTAATTAAACACATTATCCATGCTCATCAAAGCAAAATATTCCTCAATTTTGGGAAATTGTCAACTTACAGATGATCTGTGATCTATTTACCTATAAACATGGTCATTATCCAGTTCGGGAACCCTTAAACAACATTAAATAGCCAGGTAAATGATTGCTGACCCAAAAAAATGGTGACCTTCGAAAATTGGATCCCATGCCACACTGCCACATGCCCTTCTTTTGTGCCACCGCGACGCAGTGACGTTGGGGTCAGCTCTGGCTTTCAAGAAAGACAAGGCTTGGTCCTGGCGGCTTGACACGGCTTGAACCCAGCTGAATGGTTGGTTTTCGCATGTCTTAACACCAAAAGCGAAAAGTTCAGCTTCAAAATTGCCAGCAGCTCTGGTTTGACTCTTTATCGGGCCCATGAGACTCAGACTCCATGCCCCCCGTGGTCAATTGGACCAATCAGGAACAGGAATGGGAACCTCTGCCGTCCTTCATTGGCTGCTTGTAGAACCAAGCTACCCCAGCCTGCTCCAACAAGCGCTCCTCAAAACACGGGCAGTTGCTCTTGGGATCGAGAGCAACCCTTGGCAAATTACCATCTGGACGATCCTATGGCTAACCTACTCAGTAAGTCACAGTAGTTTCTGTACTCGAACTGTCCCCATCTTTCTGTTGGTCGGTCAACTTCCCTTTGTTGTAGGTTGTTGTGAGCATATTCACGATCTGTCTGGGTACTAACCATATTATGACTGAGTTATATATGGAATATCCCCAGTTGTTGGGTACTTGAGTGCATCCCAGCTACAAGTTGGTGACCACCCGATATGTCTGTTGGTTTACAGACCCCATATGATCCAATTAGCTATAATATAAATCCTAGTTGACCTACTTATCAATCAACTTGGCTGTGGGCAGAGTGGCAATCAATCTATAATCATTGAGTTATGATGATATATGCATGATTACAGTATGTTTTTTTTTATCCAAATTATATATACATGTGTTTTTCATCCAACAAAACATCCATCCAGCGACTCAAAACAAGGCTGCCAAGTCTCCGAGGACTTTCGGTCGAAGCCCTCGGCGATCACGGCCCGTCGCAAAGTCTCCTCGGCCACCAGGGTGGCGCAGATGCTTTCGAACTGCTTCAGCCCCACCTGCCGGCGGGGCGGAACAGGAAAAGAAATTGCTGAGAATTCAGGCCATTGCCATGAGAAGAGACCAGCATGGCAATTTTCCATGGCAAACTGTTGGAATACAAAGGGTTAGCATCAAAACAATGGCATTTGGAGACCAGCTCTGGATGAAATTCCCAGCTCTTTCAGGCCCAAATGCCAGCATTACATTCAGGTCAAAGCATTAAAGTTTACAAATGGTCCCGCAATGGGTTCTAATCACAATTATTATAGATATAGATATTAACGTATATAATATGTATATATATATATATATATATTATAATGCAATACTAATGCAATCAATATATCAGGAATAGGTCGAGACATCACATAGAATATCATAGAAAACCATGATACCATTCCCCCGTAACCACACTGCTGGTTTCGCAGCTTCAACCCTGAACAGTATGGAGGATCATCATCCGACGTGACGACCTGAGATCATGATCAAAATTTTACCCATGTCCATATAAAGTTGGTAATGCCACGTTATATAGATATATCAATATCCCAACTATGTATTTATATGTATATATATATATATACATAATAATTATTAAATTATTATATCATAATATATATATATATACATATTATATATATATATCTCTCTCTCTCTCTCCCCCTCTCTCATTAACATCTCAATGAAATATGTTGGAAACCACCAACCCGCTGACTGTCCACAGTTCAAGTGAGACACCACACTGAGCAAGCCGTGCATGTAGTCGAAGAACTCCTCCTTGTCCTTGGGGGGTCATGAAGCAATTTTCTCCAGTTCCCAGCAGCAACCTCCCAACAACTGGAAATCATGGGGAACACATCATCTATTGTCATCTAGAATATCCGGAACAAACTTTTCTATCATTTCTATCTCCTGGAAAAAAAACGAATCCCATGAGAGATCAATTGGTTGTTGAAAAAAAAAACGAATGGGTAATCATTTACAGCCATTTTCACCAAACAAAAAATTGGGTCTTTATAAAATAGCAATCGATATATATATATATAGGTTTTAAAAACAAAAGTCGCCTCAAGAAATCCAGGAGACCAAGCGATGGTTGTGATCTTTGTCCGCCTGTCTGAAGAGCTTCTGAGCCTCTTCACCTTTGAAGAATGTCGCCCAAGGCTGAGCTACGCCACCCTTGAGACACACGAAAACCACTATCATAGATGATTTTATTCTGTATGTCGAACCCTTATGATCTATTCTATGAATGGTTTTGTATATTGAACCCTTAAAAAGCACACATAATCTTTTATAGGCTTTATACATAGGCATATTGAAGTCCATGATCATAGATGTAGATATATGGTATGTACCTTTATTTTAGGGCAATGTAGAGGACAAAAACGCTGGTCTTGGAGCATCACTCCCAAGTTTCGGGAGAACATTCAGAGGAAACATTTCTTTGGCATCTCAATGGGACCAAGGTGTCCAAATGCAGAATACATTGCCCACAAAAAACAGAGATATGTCACCTCAATTGGGGGCATAAATACAAGAATATCAACAACTAAATAATAGATGATATACATATATATATAATATATATATATAATAATGTATTTAACCATAGTCATGAATACTCCATATATCATCATACTAAACAATAATATACTAGATGAATAGGTTTATACATACCTACATGCATGGATGAATAGTTCATAATATATTTAACATCATACGAATCAATCATATTCATTGACAATTCATCAATATTCATCAACCTCATACTATCAATCATACCCTCTGGTAAATTAACATAGACCCTGGCAGATAGGGGTTGGAAGACTAGTTTCCATTAAAAATTGGTGATTTTCAGGGTCTATGTTAATTTACCAGGTGTAATTCCTCCAACATTTTCACATCAATCGCTGCACCTGTGAGAACCTCGGCTCGTCCTAAGGAGTCGCTGGCCATCTCCAGGACACGGTTGTGGTGGTCGATGAACTCTTTGAACCTGAACCGGGGATCCATGGGAAAAATCCCATGGATTTCCGTGTTTTTTTTGGGGGGGGAGATGTTTCGAAGGGATCAGGTCCATGTCTGTGGATTTCTATATTTCTATGCCAATTTCTATGCCAACATGAAAAATGGATTGTTATATCATGAATGGGATTGATGAGATATGAATGGGATTGGGATTTACTCCCCCGGACTAAAGGTTTGACCCAGAAAAAAAAAAAAAACACCAATCCTGACAAGGAAGGTTTATGCTATTTGGGGGGATGATATAGCGCCCCCCCAAAAAAAACAATGACTCATTGATTACCCCTGGGTATAAAAGGTGGGTTATCAATGGTATCACTACTTTCTGGTGCTTAAAATGATCACCTGACAGGGGCAAATCCCAACTTCAAAAGGGTCTGTCATGGGTTCTAGGTGTAAAATGACTGACGCAAAAGTTGTTGTAAATGAGTTGCACATAGGTTGAAACTGCCACGATAACTCCTTGTCTTTTCGAGGGCTTACTGTATAAAACCCACCAAATATCAAAATTGGGTCTGGCCGGGCCTATGATTTTCAATAAAACACAACCAAATTCAATCAAAACAACCAAACAGCAGTTGGCCATACATGCCATCCCTTGAAATTCCAACATCGAACTCTGCAACGTTGTGTCTGGATTATGGTTTTAAATTGGATCAGGATTCTTGTTTTACCAAATGTAAAATGGGTAGAACTTAATAGGCCTCATTTCAGGACTTTCAGGGGTCCCATGTTGTTCCGGGCCTCAAAAATCACCTAACATGCTGCCGAAGGAACTGAATGGTTCCATTGGAATCTACATCTGCCAGATGAAAAAGATCACGCACCAGGCCCTGTAGTCTGGCTTCGGTCTCCGCACTGGCCCCGGTGCTGCCTGTCAGGGTCCTCTCCAGTGATGGCGCTTCCATTGGTGCAGCGGGGTGCTGCAACGCCACAGCTGGGTGGTAAGGCGCGCCACAAGAGTTGCAAAGGGTTGCAGTTCGTCCTTCCATGGTGGTATTTGACATAATTTTTTTGTGCCACATTTCATGTTTTATTTTTCTCAGCGTGGTGTGACTAGATGTTGGTGGTCATGAATTTGGAGCCATGAAAGCTATGCAGGGACCACAGGTTGGTGACGGCGCTGGTGTCGAGTCCGTGAATGTCCCAGTTCCATTAGGCAAAAAGTGTCGGAACTTAACTCGTGCCGCAACACTTCTGACCAAACAAAAGTGAGAATGAAGGGATAAGGGCATACACTTGCATTGTTGTCAAAACTGCAGCTGCGAAGATGTGACTGTCTGGTGTATGCGGGTGCGTGCGTGCATGTGTGTGTGTGTGAAAATAAATTCACACACACACACGCATATGTATATACATATGTGAATATAATGTGTGTCATAAACTGATATATACTGTATATATATATATACACACTAAGGCAGTGGATGGTTGGGGTTGCTTGTGGAAAGCGCATGTGCACGCATCTCTTCAACTGCTCACGGAACCACATGCCAAACGCATCCGAAAATTGGCGTTCAAGATTCTTGGGCAAAATCACACCATCTAGGCCTTGAGGTTCTACTGCATGAAATATATGCACTTGAGAGGGGGAACACGAAAGGTAGGTAAGCAAGAAAGGAACCGAAGAAAAAATGAAGGGGAGAGGGGAGGGAAAAATACATAAAGTGGAGTCTGGTAAAAGCGACGCGGCCATTTTCTTTCCAAAAATATGAAGGGGAGTCTGCTAAAAGCGACTGAAACTAATCGGAGTCAGATGAAACACACAAAGTGCAATGGCAAATGCGCGGACTCAATGCTGCAATGTTTCACCCATCCATCGGTCACAATGCGAAAAGGTAACAACGCTCTCAGGGCCCCTTAAGCCAAGCCACAAGGTGCAAACGGTATCAGCTGGTTGACATGGATTGCATGACATTTTCACTGGTGTTTTTCTTTTTTGCACCTTGGGGAAAAAGGTATTCCTCATATGGCTGGTTTTCTGGTGACTCGGTCAAAACGGCAAGTGGCATATTGAGCCATCGCCTGAAAGCTTCCAGAAGCTTGTCATCTGTCTTCGTCAAGCCGTCACCAAATTGAAAACGTGTTGGGACCCATCGAATTTCTTTACTCGAAATTGTTTCCTGAATTGCCCTGATGCTCACCAGGGTTCGCTTATCATTGAGTGATGGGTTCTCACTCATGATTGCATCAAACAACGACTTGGCATCTACAGCTTGGAGGGTGGCTAACCTACTACCTACTCGGTGAGCTGCTTGGTTATACATCAGTCCACTTATGAACAAATTCACATAGGCTAAGCGGTCAGCGCACTCATCAGCAGCGGTCGCCTCAGCAGCCAAAGTTGATCGGCAGACTCGCGGTGAACGAGCTGAGCGCCAATCCAGCAAAGTAAATGGTGCCATTGTGGTCTTGACGGATGGAGTCGTCAGGCCCACCAAAACTCCGATCTGGCTGCCAGACTTTCGCGCATTCGCCCAGCTGCTGTCACTATATCCCAGCACTACAGAATCACGGGTGAATGGTACATCCATGATGTTGATTCCATACTGCGGGGTCTCTTTGACATACTTGAGAGTGGCATGCAGCTGTTTCAAGTCTGTGATCTTTGCCTCTTCGCCATGGCCAGACAGGCTGACCGTCGCAGCAATCTCAGGTCGGGCCTGGGATGCGGCCCATTGCAAACATCCGCAAATGCTTCTCAGTTCCTTGCGCTCGTCCAATGAAAGCTCAGGCGAACCTTGCAATCGACCTTTGGCAATGGCGCCAAACTCGATGCCTTCCAGAAACTTCTTCAATGTGATGTGCAGATAGAAGCGCTGGTGCTCATTGCGCTTCAGGGTCAGTTCCTTTCCCTTGAAGGTTATTGGCTTATTTTCTTGGAAGTAATTCAGAGCTCCCCATTTGAACAAACCATGAACTGAACTAAGGTCATGGTCAGACCTACTTATGCCAAGGAAATCATCAACATAAACAATGATGGCAGCTATGATTTGGCCGTCCTTTCGCAGAAGGTACAGCTGCCTGTCGAAGTCATGTTGTGTGAAGCCCAGGCTCTGCAGTCGGCGGCAAACTTCTTTGCTCCAAGTGACTGGTGCATCTGCTAAGCCATACACGTTGCCACGAACTCGATAGAGTGGAGCTGACCAGTGCTGCGTCATAGAGATCAGTCCATCTTGAGGAGGTCGTAGAAAAAGTGGCATAGTGCGATCAGCATTTTGTCCTTGCAGAAAAGCCGTAGAGGCATCTCCAGTCCAAGCTATCCATGAAAGAGTGGTATCAAAGAGTTCGCAGTTCAAACCTGCGACAAGCATGGCATACATGATCTGCTCAGTGCAACGGCTTGGAGTTCCAGCATTGCGGTTCAAAGTTGCTAGGTCTGGATCAAGGTGTCCAAGCGCCACTATGCGACACTTCGGCTGAACTTCTCCAATGCCGCAGGCTTTGTCACGATAGCACGCTCGTGACGGCAGAATTCTTTTGGAAAGCAAGGGGTCCTTCAGAACCTTCTGAGCTTCTTCTGGTGAAAGAGGTTCTACTGAGTTCCATTCAAGCCATGAGTTGGCCTCTTTGGAGATCGCGGCCAAGAACTTGTCAACGTAGGCTGGAGGCATTGCTAAGATTGTCCTCCATGGAATCTCACGATCCAGTGCCTTCTGTTCTTGCCGAGAGAGGCCTTGCTTGTGAATTGCCATGTCTTGTGCTCTCTGTGTTTGTCTTTGATGCTTCATGCTTTGTATCTTGCTGTGTAGCTTCTGCTGCAGTGCCTGTTTGTTCTTGGCATCTTGTCTGTCAAGCTGCTTGTTGTATGTCTGCTTGCCGAATGCTTGTTGGTGAAGGGCTGGTTGTTCGTCGGGCTCTTGTTGCTGGCCCTCATGTGCTGTATTGTTGTCGTCGTCTGATTCATCTGCCGTGGTGTCTGATTCATCAGGTGATTTACCAGGGGCGTTGCGCAGGTCTTCACGGCGTTGGCTTGTGGCCCAATAGGCCTGTTGAAAGACCCTTGAGGCTGGTCCATAGCACGGCTGTGCGTGGACGTGGGTTGGATCACGGTGGATCACGCCTTGCTCATCTTGGACCAATGTTGTCATCATGGACTCAAAGTCCCGTTTTTGAGGTAGTGTTGGCAATGGTCCATCTCGCATTGGTTGTGGTGTTTCTGTTCTTAGTGGGGTGGACGTAGTAGTGATCGTCTGTTGTGGTTCTGGAGAAGGTCTATGTGTAGTTGATGTTGTAGGTGGTGTTACTTGTCGAGATTGTGGTAGTTGTAGTGGAGGTGTTGATCTCCCTGAGGAGACGCTGATGGCTTGATCATCTGCTGTGATCGGTGGTGTTTGTGGTATGAAGCCATCTGGTAGTGCTGAAGTAGGGTGTTCTGTTGCCTGCTGCCGTGTGTTGGATCCTGTTGCATTGGATCCTCTTGCCTGCGATGCCGGTGTGTGCTGATGCTCTGTGCTGCCAGGTTGTGCAGGTAGTTCTTGATATGGGTCTGCTAATGCATGCCGCTGGCTTGGTTGTGCATCAGGTGGGAAGTCCAAAGTGGCTTCCTGTGGTGAAACTGCCGTGGTGGGTGTTTGTTGAGGCGCCTGTGTTAGGCGTCTGCTTGTTGGTGTGCGGGAACGTCTTCGTGAGACTGGTGTTCCTGGCACATGTCCATATCGGTGAAACTGCTGTTGCTGGATGAGCTGGTTGGTGACTCGCTCTGGGCTGGTGTGCAGGTTGATGGTCGTGTTGTGTGTTGTTGTTGTTGTTGTTGATGGTGTGCTTGTATGCTGGTTTGTTGCATGGTTGTCGGCTGTAGATGTGGTATTTCAAGTTGTGGTTGTGGTGACATAGGTTGAATTGCTTGTGACTGTTGTGGTAGTGATGGCACTGTTAATGCCAAGGGCTCGTTCAGCTCGGCATTGATGTCGAGGTTGGCATTGGTGTCAATGGTGTCGTCATCGACCATCAGGTTGTCTGGTGGTGGTGGACCCTGCTCATCCCTCAAGAGATGGTCGCTGAACTTCTGAGAGGCATCACGAAGTGCTCGGATGTCAGCTTCTTCAGGGGTCCACTGCTCAAAACCAAATGCCGCACGCAGCTGCTCGGCGGTCACCAAAATTGAAGTCGCTCCAGTCTTCACCCAGGCTTGTTTTCCTGGATGACTTGGGTCCCAAGATAGGAACCTTGCAATCACCCAAGTGCCCCGCTTCTTCTGGCCTCTGCGGGCCCAGCGCCAGAAGGCGCAAGGTTGACCTGGCATCAGGTCTGGGATTTTGGTTGCCCTTGTCCTTCTCAGCAAGGCACGTCGAAGGTGTTGAGAAACATCAAGGTCTTGGATGATCTTGGCGGCCTCGGCTCTAACCACCTCAGCTCGAAGTCCAGCATCTGAATCCTGAAGCTGAGCAATCGGTGATGAAGAAGCCAAAACCATAGGATTGCTGAAGTTGCTGTCGATCAACCTTGGCTGCTTCCCAAAAACGGCCTGGTAGGCTGACCGTCCATGGGTGTGGATTCCTGAGTTGATGGCATGGCAGGCTGCCACGAGTGCAGTTGAGCACTGGTCCACCTGGTTGATGCCAAAGGTGTCTATCAGCTTTTCCAAAATGGTTCTCAGCAAACTGTTTCTCCGCTCAATCATGCCAATGACAAAGTGGCTCTCCGCAGGGCAAAACTCCAGTAAACATCCAAGTGCCTGAAGTCGCTCCTGGAAGTGACCACGGAAGGAGGGGTCAGGGTCTGTCATGACCTTCAAAGGGATGCCATAGGGTCGAAGCCAAAGTTGCTCAAAGGCTTCAAACACGGTGTTGGCGTGCCTGTCAGGAAGCACGAGGGCTTGATGAAACCCGGTGGCTTTGTCAGCAAAGCCCACAACCATAAACGTTGTGGCATCCAAGGTTCTGCAGTAGAAGATGTCACCCTGGACCTCATCATTGAACTGGCCGTTCAATAACTTCGGAGTTGTTGATGGTCTTGGTGCTTGAGGAGGTTTCAAACGCTGGCAAGTTGCGCATCTGAGCTTTCTTGCGCATTCATATACTTCATCTGGAACATGACCCTCATAGGCAAGGAGTCTGCAAAGCTCCTCGCGTGATGGATGTCCCATGTTGAGGTGCAAACGCGCCACTGAGGCCTTGATCTCCTGTCTGATCCCAGAAGTAAGGCCTGGGAAGTCAATGTCCGTGGGCAAGTTGGGAACCACGGTTGGTGTTGAAGTAGATGGTTGGCTGGATGGATCTACTCTTTCAAGGTCCAGCGGTCTTCGGTGTCCATAGGCAAACACCGCAAGTCTCACAGGTTTGTCAAAACGTTGCCGTGGAAAGCGGACTTGATCAAGATCCTCCACTTCCACCGCTCTGGTGTCGTCGTTGAAGCACAAGAATGAGGCTCTGGTGAAGTACTCATCCACATTGTTAGGGATTCTTCTGGTAGTTGGTGATGACACAACTTGGATGCGTATGGCATCGATGCGAAACAGACCTTGGATGGTCTGTCCCATGTCGCTCTTGGGGTCGATGTTGTAAGGTCTTTTCGCAGTTCTCTCGAAGCTCTTCTCCACATAGTCAACAACAGGGTCCCATTGAGAGAGATCCTCAGTTGGTTGTTGCACTGGTAGAGCTTCAAAAGGAGAACTGAGGCATACACAAAAGCGATGTGGTTGTCGCCGATGTAGTTCCTCATAGAGCGCTGCTAGAATGGTTCTGCAAAGCTCTTCTGGATATGCCTGAGAAGGTTTGGTCATAGATCCTTGAATGGGGACGCACATGTCCAGCTCTTCCTTGGTCATCGTGCGCTGGAGGGCCTGCTCAAGGCCAGGAAGGTTGCCCAGGAAGGTGAATGGTTTTCGTATTGGTTTGCCTTGGACCTGTGCATGAAAAGCTCCGGCTAGGCAAGTGACTTTCCAAACACCTGGAAGGCGTCCAAGGTCTTTGATCTCAGGCTGTTCCCAAAGTTCACTGTTTTGAGAGTTCTGAATCAAAAAGAAACGGTGTCCAGCATGCTGTTGTTTTGCAAGTGAGGCTGCCAACTTCAAAAGAGGATGTTGAAGTGATTGAGGCCACTCCCAGTCCTCCAGACGATGGCTGCAGTCCAGGCCCATCAAGATCAAAGCTGGTCTGAACTTGTGAAGGACTGCATGGGCTTCGGTCTGCAAAGAACGCTTCATCAAGTCTTGGCCATAGATTAAGTCCCATGGTTGAAGAGCATTCATGTAGTACTCATTGGCCAAGTAAGAACATTGTGCTTCACCTGCAAACAGCTCCCACAAATCTGCTTTGCGGATTCGATTCAGCCTGTCATGGGCCGCATGGTATACATCATGTTCTTTCTGCAACAGCTTTGAAGATCTTAGCCATTGACCTCGAAGCTGCTTCATAGTTCCTGTCTTCATGACCACACCTCCGGCTCCACGCTGTCCCAGTCGTAGATTGGGTCGTCCGGATTGGTCAACACGCCCAGCTCCATCAGGCGGGTCCAACGAGCTTCGTCGGCTGTCCTTTCCAAGGCCTCTCTGGCCTCTCTGAAGGTCTCCTCGTTGTGGAAGATGTGCTCCGCCATGGTGTTGTGAGGGCCATCCAAGGGACTGTCCTGATGGACAATCTGCCACACCTCGTAGCGCTGGTCCTCCGTCAAATGGTCCAAAGCCATCACCGTAGGGTCGAAGGTTGTCCAGCTCTCTGACTGCCTTGGCCTTATAGTTGGTGGAGAACGCCGCTCTGGTTGGGGACGAATCTTGGCCGTGGCTCGGGACTTGGACTTGGGTGCTCCCAACGAAGTGGCTATGGTTGCCGAACATGGTGGAGGCAATGGTTGCGAGCGCGAGGAAGACGCGCGCTGGCCATGTTGAACCCACAGTTCCTCTGTTGGATTCCACTTCCACTTGGTCTCGCAGGTCAGGCATTGTGCATACCGACCGTGTGGGTTGCCGTACCTTCGGCACTGAAGATGCTCGCATGTTGTTGTCGATGGTCGCACATGGGTTTCCGGAGGAAACACCTGGAGTGCTGAGCGAGGCATGATGCCGAGGTTGACCAACTGCAAGATGGTGCGAAGCGCCATCATCATGAGGTTCTTGAGGCGGCTCACCACACGCTGCCATGAGACCAACCATGGAGGAGGTGCCTGGTGCATGTCGATCAAGTTGATCCGCAAAAGTCGCTTGAGAAGTCGCGGGCTCCATGCAAGACATAAACTCAGGATTTGGGTCGTGCCACATGGACTCATCTGCCAATGATTGCCAAACAGGATCATGTGCAGGTTGTTCATGAATGAAATCAAGGATGTTAATGACCATGTGACCGGCAAAACGCTGAACTTCAACTGAAACTCCTAAAACGTCAAACTCCATGCGATCATTCTTGAAGTGCAGATGGGCCCCCAAACTTGTAAATAATGAATTGGATCCAAGGAAAGGAATGTCTTCTTCCAACAAAGCTGCTCCTAACAAAAACGATGTTCCAGAAATAGCTGATGGAAGATACACTCTTGTGGTTGAAGTTGATGGTGCACCCTTTCCAAACTTGAAACTTTCACTGATGGGGATCCGAACTGCCTGAAGACCACGTTCGTGGAGTAGTTGCTCGTGGGCTGCAAACCAAGCCTTGCCACAGCAAGTTCTTTGACATCCAGAGTCCAAAACAATGAGGCCGGCAAAGGTCTCTGATCCAACAAACTTGACTTCATTGACCACATATGGGATACCAGGGGATGGAACCAAAACCATGTTGACGTCAAATGACTGGCCGTAGGAAGGGTTGTCATACACATCGACAACGCCATGCTCATGGTGGATGAAGTTGACACTGTGGGGCTTCTTGAAGGCTGGCTGCGGACCCTTTTTCTCGATCGGCTTTGGCGACGAAGAGGATCCTTTGCCCTTGTTCATCGGACATTCTTGGTCTTTGTACCAATGTCCACGAGCTCCACAAGCAGTGCAGTGAGTGACCTTCTTGGACTCCTCAGGAGTCAGTCTGGTCGAGCCACCTTTGCCCTTGGAGTTGCCCTTCTGCTTTGCAGTAAAGAACTTTCGACCAAGGGTCAAGTTGTTCAACTTCTTTGCCGTCACAGTCAAGACGGATGCCAGCTCTTGAAGGTCATTCGCGCCTTCACCGTCATCTTCAAATCCATCATCTTCTTCACAATCATCTTGATCGTCATTGGGCTCATTCTGATCATCTTCGAATTCTTCCTCAATGGTGTCGAGGAACTCATCATCTTCTTGTTGATCATCTCCAGCATCGTGAGCTGCAACGAAGGCTCTACGTGTTGGAGCTCCACGCACGCTCGAAACAGAGCTCTGCCGAGAGGAGGCAGTAGAGGAGGTCGATGAGGATGGCATACTGGATGATGAAGTGCTACCCATAGACTTGTTCTTGCCTTTTCCCTGACCATCTTTTCCACCAGAAATTGGAGGAGCGCCACGAAACTCTGGAAACTGCAATGTCAGTGCTTCAGCCACAGATTCAAACAGCAAAGACTGTGATGTTGCAACCAAAATCATACGCTGCTGCTCATGTGTCAAGCCACTGCGATCCAAGAGTCGTGAACCCATGCTCTCATTGTCATAGGCTGCCTCAATGTTGATGCCGACTGAACGCAAACTGCGCTGCACTCGGCGAAACCGATTCACAAAGGAGCGCATAGTCTCTCCTTGGTATCGTCGGATGTGCTCAAAGTCATTGAGGTAGCGACGTTTCTGATAGATGGCCTTCTGCTCCATTGGTGCCTTCAAGGCTTGCAGAATCACCTGAACACCATCGTCAGTGTAAATCTCACTGACAGGGGTGTGCTCAAGCTCTTGCTCAGCCTCGCCCTGCAACGCATTGTACAAGCTGAGTGCTGCTTCACGCTTGCTCAGGTAAGGTGCAACCTGTAGCATCCAGATTTCAACCTTCTTGCAGAACTTATTGTATGCACGCAAGTCTGTAGCATCATATTTCCACTGAGGCGGGGACGGTGCAGTGCCGCCGCGCCAACGGATGCCCTTAGAGGGACCTTTTCTGTCATCCCAAGGCTCATCATTGTCATCCTTGTTCAAGACTTCCTTCAACTTCTTGATGGTGGAGTCGTCATCAGCAGATGATGAGATCTTGCGGGCATGCCGTTGATTGGTCACAGTCGTTGGTGATGTCCTTGCAACTCGGTCAACTGATCCATGGTGGTCAGAATGCCATGATGGGATCACAGACGGATCTTCCGTTGGAGTCTCTTCCTCGCCGCGCTCACTCCAAGCATCACCGCCCGGTCCAGGTCCAGAGTCTCCATGCTTTCGTCGTCGTCGTCGACGGTTGGCAGAGGTGGACGCTTGATGACCGTCAGGTGGAGGAGGAACATGGGAACCATATGGCATGTATGTCCAAACACCATCAGCTGTTTCACGTGTTGCAGGATTATTCGTCTGATAAAACTTGTTTGACCCACATTGATTGCAAACCCAACTGTTGCTCAACCAAGCATAAGCCGCTGAATCACAAACCAAGCAACGCCACTGAACAGAATTCGTTGGTGAATCTGACAAGGTATCGTCCTGGATCGAGTCATGTTCAACGTCGAAATGCCAAGGAGCATGATCTGACTGATCAACGACCAGGTCGCCGTTGTCGTCGAAGAACATGACAACGCAAGCTCCGGTGCCAGCTAATCGGAGTCAGATGAAACACACAAAGTGCAATGGCAAATGCACGGACTCAATGCTGCAATGTTTCACCCATCCATCGGTCACAATGCGAAAAGGTAACAACGCTCTCAGGGCCCCTTAAGCCAAGCCACAAGGTGCAAACGGTATCAGCTGGTTGACATGGATTGCATGACATTTTCAGAAAGGCTTCGGCGATGTGGTTGGGGTTGGTGGTGGTTGTGGTGTTGGTGGTGTTGGTGGTGCTGGTGGTGTTGGTGTTGTTGGTGGTGGTAGTGTTTCTGGTGTTGTTAGTGTTGTTAGTGTTGTTGGTGTGGTTGGGTTTGTTGGTGGTGTTGGTGTTGTTGGTCGTGTTGTTGGTGTTGGTATTGTTCGTGTTCGTGTTGTTGTTGTTGTTGTTGCTGTTGCTGTTGTTGTTGCTGCTGCTGCTGCTGTTGATGGTGTTGTTGTTGTTGTTGTTGTTGATGTTGTTGTTGTTGTGGTTGTTGTGTGTTGTTGTGTGTTGTTGTGTGTTGTTGTGTGTTGTTGTGTGTTGTTGTGTGTTGTTGTGTGTTGTTGTGTGTTGTTGTGTGTTGTTGTGTGTTGTTGGGTGTTGTTGTGTGTTGTTGTGTGTTGTTGTGTGTTGTTGTGTGTTGTTATGTGTTGTTGTGTGTTGTTGTGTGTTGTTGTGTGTTGTTGTGTGTTGTTGTGTGTTGTTGTGTGTTGTTGTGTGTTGTTGTGTGTTGTTGTGTGTTGTTGTGTTGTTGTGGGTTGTTGTGTGTTGTTGTGTGTTGTTGTGTGTTGTTGTGTGTTGTTGTGTGTTGTTGTGTGTTGTTGTGTGTTGTGGTGTTGTTGTGTGTTGTTGTGTGTTGTTGTGTGTTCTTGTGTGTGTTGTGGTGTGTTGTGGTGTGTTGTTGTGTGTTGTTTGTGTTGTTGTGTGTGTTGTTGTGTGTTGTTGTGTGTTGTTGTGTGTTGTTGTGTGTTGTTGTTGCGTTGTTGCCTTGTTGTGTGTTGCGTGTGTTGTTGTGTGTTGTTGTGTGTTGTGGTGTGTTGTTGTGTGTTGTTGTTGTGTGTGTGTGTTGTTGTGTGTGGTTGTGTGTGTGTTGTTGTGTGTTGTTGTGTGTTGTTGTGTGTGTTGTGTGTGTTGTGTGTGTGTGTTGTGTGTGTGTGTTGTGTGTTTTGTGCGTTGTGTGTTGTGCGTTGTGCGTTGTGCGTTGTGCGTTGTGCGTTGTGCATTGTGCGTTGTGCGTTGTGCATTGTGCGTTGTGTGTTGGTGTTGTTGTTGTTGTTGTTGTTGTTGTCGTCGTTGTTGTTGTTGCTGTTGCTGTTGCTGTTGCTGTTGTTGTTGTTGGTGTTGGTGTTACCCCTGCAGCGTTTTTGCTCGGTTCCGTAGTGGCCGAAAATCGTCAAATCGGTGGTGTTTTCGCGTGTTTTTGCAACTCTCGGAGGAAAAAACACCGTAAATACCGATGTTTTTGGCGGGTCGGAAGCCCAAAACCACGGTATTTACGATGTTTTTTGCCTCTGGTAGTAAAAAGCACGGTATTTACAGTGTTTTTTGGCCAGCACCTAGCAAAAACACTAGTATTTACGGAGGTTTCACCATGTAGCAAAATGTGGTTTCTTGATCCGAAAAGAACAAAAATACTGTAAATTACAATGTTTTGAGTCTGCTCTTAGGGTGCGTGGGAGGTGTGGAGGGGGGGGGGGTACTAAAATGACTAGCAATCTCCTGAAGAATCAGGTAACGGGGCTGGCCGCCCTCCCCTTTACTTCGTAAAGTAAAACTCAAGGTAGCCCCTCTGGAGCTACCTTTCGTGATTTGCACCTGCCAAGTGCAAACATTCAACACTACATGGTTGCAACATGCAATCCAGAGCCACATGCAAGAATCAACCATGCAAACCTGACATGTGAAGCCAATATGAGAAAGGATACCAATCTCTTGCATCCTCTTGCATCCATTTACAGTACATTCACAGGTAACTAGGCTTGTAGCTCCCACACTCAGTGTCACATGGAGCCCACCACTTGCAGATGGAGAACGTGCTAACCTTCACAATATGCAACTTGATGCTTGCCGCTAGGCGTGATACATTCAGCCCCGGTCACCCGTCTTTGGAACACAACGCGGTCCATGCGTTTCAGCGAACTCGCTGAATGTTCTAATGTGGTGGCGGCCATTCTTGAAACAACAATAAGAGCATACCGATGACTTTTCAATGTCATTGGCTTTCGGGGTAGTAACGAAATATTTCCTCAAGAATAATGTTCGGTATTGGAAATATGCCACCATGATACTGCTTATTCAAAAAACCTACTGTAACATGCAACGGCTATGTTCTGCGATGGGATGCTTGTGACCCTCATCCATAGCTGACAGCTAACATATGCCACCTCAGCAACTCGCCAGCAATTTACGCACACTCACGCGATCGGAGTCGACTGCAAGGACATTTATTTGCCGGTTATCCCTCCAGGAGCTTTGGTCACTATACATGAATGAAAGGCTGCTGTAACTCCGGTTGTCATTGTATGTGTGGTTCACGACAGCAGGGCGATCAGCAACTTGTTGGAGCACATTTGTTGTCTTCTCCTGCTCCGATCGCAACGCACCCAGCCCAGATTGCAAAGCATCCAGCTTGCATTGCAATTCTCTGTTGCGACGAGACTCAACATCTGCCATGGACTCAGCAGATATAGCCCGAATGAGGAGGTCTGGGTAGGATGTTTTCTTCAAGGCTTCTTGCTCCAGCAAATGTGCGCGAGGTATGGTCTGACTCAAATGATCCACTTCACGCTTGACCTGCCGTAAACACGCAGGCTCTTGCCAAAGCATCTCGAATATTCTCGAATAAGGGTGTGCATTTTTGCATGGCAGCAACAAGCTGCCCGGTCTTGGTCTTTCTCCCGGACTCCCAGCAGAGAAATGCGAAGGCACATATGAAAGCAACTGCACATAGAAATGCACCGAAGACCAATCCTACCAAAAGATCGGGCACCGGCTGCAGATATGCTCAGGATATGCTAGAAGTGCTACCATCACAACAACGAACACCAAAGGGATTGACACAGCCCATTGGTATGGAGTCGCATGACACAGTTCCACCTTTGTGATGCTTTCCAGGTGTTGACTCAAAGCATCCTGGATATCCTTCCTTGCCTTCTCACTCTGCGCTTTCTGCTCCTCAATCTTTTGGTGAATCTCCTGCAAGTTTGCCACATGCTCCTGTTGCGCCTTGGCATGATTGCCCCGCTCCTGGAGCAGCAACTCCGAGGCGTCTTTCAACTGCCTCTGCCGCAGCTCCTCCAAGAAACTTGTGTCATGCTCAGCCATGCTTGGCCAACACAGTAGTGGATGAGCTAAATACCCTGAGCCAAAACGTCTGCAAGCAGCAAAAGAAGCATCAAACAAGCAACGAGAATCAACTAAAATACATGTTGTGCCGTACTTTGAAAGGCCACAGTTGCTCGCAAGGTCTGGGCCCATACTCAATTTAAACAAGTCAGGAACACCATCTGATGGCGAGCTTCTCCAGAGGATTGAGGTGGCTGGTTGCTGCTTTCAGAGAGATGAATCAAACTGCCAACAAACTGGCAATTTCGACTCAGGCGCAAATTAATGGCAATGACATGGCGCTGTTGTTGGTAGGGAAGGCAGGTATGGATGGGACTGAGTATATAATGGAGAACATTCTAAAGGCCCAACTCGGTCTAGAATCTGACAGTGGGTCGGGAAGTGGAAGCCAGGAATAAAAGAGTACCGGGGAGCAGCAAGGGCATGAACAGTGGAAAAGATTCTGCTGGATAACCCCACATAAATCTGTTGGTCAATCATAGTTTTTCCTATTCAAGCTGCTATTTGGTGATGTACACCGTTTTCAAACACACCCATCCGGGCACCTATATGGGACTTTTGACCTTCGGATTCATGGGAAAAAGGCAAAACAAACCGCACCAAACCTGGACAACTAAGACTGCGTTCTTGCAACCTGCTAGGAAGGGGCTCAATGGTGCGACAAGCAGCAATTCTCCCCTAAACCCTTGAGGCACCAACTTCTTCTTGTCTGCCATGAGTGGAAGGAGGCCCGTATCAGGCTGGCTCAATCTGCATCTTTGTCAGTGACAACTGGTCAAACTGTGTGATGACTGCCTTCTTCCCATTCCAGGCAATTTTGGTAGAAACATGCAGAACAAAACTCAGACTCAAACTAGTCATTCTTGGTTTGGAAAAGAGACCTGGCGGGTCTATCTTTTTCAGATCTTTCCTATAGTTTTTCCCAATTTCTCCTATAAAAATCGCCCCGTGGATGCTCGCTGGGAATCTGGCAGGAAATCCTCATGTGTTTGTGTCGGAAAAAAAAATATAAACAAATCCGCTCTCTATACGTGTATAAACACAAAAATATATATATATATACAGTATATAATATATATATATACATGCCATATGCTCCATGCCCGGAAGATTTCCCAAGATTTGCCCCAAACATGAACCACATGTTCCTAAAATTGTCGTAAATATATGGGTATATGGAGATGTTTCACTGCGAGCTGGTATTTCCAAAGGGTGCATAGTTTGGACCAAAAGATCTTGGGCTTGGCGGGTGTCAAACATCGCAGAAACGTGGCTCCACTGAAAGGGAGTACATCATAAAATTCATAAAAACTTCCCTCCCACACGCACTATTGGCACAATTATCTAGCTCGTCATTCTAGCTCCACTTCTATCGCTACGCATGTCGAAATCATGGCTGACCATGTTGCATTTCTCCATTTCACACAATCTTCTCAGAAAGTGAAGTTTAAAAGACATGTTTCAACATGGCTCCAACCGTCATCCCAGTCAAAAAGGGTTGCTGCTTTTTGCCCCTCCCGGGCCTGATATTCGCCTGGAGGAAGGGATATGTGGATACATCCTGTGTCTGGATGAAAGTCTGCAAATGCAATGCAGGTTTGGAGGCGTAGGTGGGGTAGGTTGCTGCCCAAAACGTCCAATTCGCCTTTTCAGTGTATTTTGTAAATTGTAAACACGGCCAATAGTGTCTACTCAGCTTGGTCCATTGTCCCTACACGCTTCAATGTGATATAATATACATAACATTACATTACATGACATGACATGAGATTACATTACATTACATTACATTACATACGTACCACCCCCCCAAGAAACATAGATGTAGGAAGTCGGAAGATTACTGTCCCCTCAAAAAATGGTGATTCTCAGGGTCTGTTGGTTGGGGGTGGTAATATATTGTTGGTTCCCCTGCACATATTGGCTAAACTGCTAAACCACATGAAATCCCATTAAACCATACTAATCTAAACAACCATTAAGCTGCCATTACACCGCCAAAATCACAGGGAAAACCGCCATCAAATTCCTATTCACCACCAGAAAACCAATCATTAAGATCTATATTAACCATCATTAACCATTAGTATAGTATATTTAACCATCATTAACCATCATTAACCATAGGTTTATATATATGATCTCATTAACCAGCAGTAAACGTTGGCGCCTCAGGGCTCCAGGACTTCACCTGGGTGACATGAAATCCAGGGATGACTCAAGTATATAATAAAAATACGCACATGTATATATAATATATAATATAGTGCATATATATATATACAGTGTATATATATATCATATATATATAGTATATGTAGTGTGTATATAAATATACACATAATATATATATATGCAAATATATTTATAATTATATGTAATTACATTTATATATATATACTTGTGCATGTGCCTCTCATATGCCCATCTTTCTTATGCGCTTATAAATGATAGATGATAGATGCTATGTTTCTAGACGCATGGGACACCCCTTGGGCCATCCGCACTCCATCCTTGCCAGGGCCTTGGCTCGCTACTTTGGTAATCTGCAGATAGACAAGCCATGATTTTATCTGTGTCTGAGATACACTATATACGTTAATTATAGTAGATTATAGTAAGTAACAAATAAGTATAATACATACATATAGTAATTATTTCAAAATAATGTAGCTTCTTCTTCTTCTCCTTCGCCTCTTGTTAAGTGTTTTAATTTTACATTTTTTTCGTGTTGTCTGGCTGATCTACATACATAGTTAGTTTCGGATCAGTCATCTGAATGATGTTCTTCTAGAAGTACTTTGGGGACCATCTTTGGGGGGTTGGCTCAATTTTTGAGCCGTCGATGTGGCAAAGCCACAATGATCAACACAAGTTTTAGGAAAAGCGGTTCTCGGGGTTTACCACGTGACATGGTTTTGTTATGGGTCTGATTGTTCCAATTGAAGATTACTAGTGTCATAGTCATTTAATAGATTCACGTGGTGGTCCGCCCATGGTTACGGAATGTCAAAACACGTCAACGGATCTGGGCCAGAAGCTTGACGATGGATTTTGTGTCTTCAGCAAGGCTCGGCAAAGTAATGGCTTCTTGCAGGCTTCGTTTGTGCACAGGCAAGCTGTATGTACTATACATTACCACTACCATTTATTACCATATATACAGTAAAGCAACCAGAAAATCCATGAATTTCTTAGAAACAAGACATGTCATGAAAGCAAAAAAGAACACAGGTGTTCGCTTAATCACCCGCTGGGCACACTGGAGCTCCTGAACATCCTGAACCCTTCCCGTGGCTCTGACATGCTCTGACTTTTTCAGAAGGTCGCCTGTGGGCGATATGCTGCTGTTGGGCTGTCCGGAGGTACTCTGACACTTCGGCCCTAGAAGGAAGCAATGTGCTGAACGTGACCACGGGGAAAACACGGCAAAACATCACGATTTGGAGGCCGTCAGGCTCAAGATCATCCGATGAGGGTGACACCTGTGACACCTGTTAGATTTGTTTGGTGATTTTGGTCTAAGAAAAAATGTACCAAGTTGGAAAGTGATTATCAGTTGGCCCTGATGGATGACCAATAAGTTCTCTTTGCCACGTTCAAATCTGTTCTCTTGAGCAGCTCGTGGACGGTGAGGGTCTCTGAATTCAGTCAAAAGTGATCCTCTTTGGAACCCATGGGCAGCCAACGTCCTGCTCGTTGCGCCCTGTGGATAAAATAGGAGAGCCATTGAAGGCAAAACAAAAACAAGAAACTATATTTCGGCATTCCCGCATCAAAATCATTATATAAACATATATAAACTATGTGCACTTGATCATATTGATCATGGCAACCTTCAACTCATAATATCTAAAAAGTTACTTCTCCACAGGAAACTGCTTCAGCAGGCTCTCCTTTTGGACGGTTCAAGAGACCTCATCATCCTCTGCTCTGGTTGACAGCGGCACTAGCCTACTTTTGAAGGGGCCACCACCATCCGTGTCCAGTCGGCATCTCTACATCGGGCATGGCGAATGATCACGGGATTGCAAAATGTTCGAAGTGTGGAGCTGGTTGAGCTTGAAGAGATGTCACACTTCTGACATGGGAATGTTTCAAAGTCGAGACCAGAGACTAAAAGCCCCAAATCATCCCAGATCTATCCAAATCTCACAATTCACATCCAATGGGAAAATTGCCTCGATTTTTGCCTGCCCAAATCCACACGCATAGTCAACTCCGCCGTTGAGGCTCCACTCTCTCTCGGGTGGTTTTAATGGTTTCAACCCAGTTAGATCAGTTTGATCCAGCGGGTTCTAACTCCCAGATACTCCCAGTTCAGTAAGGTAAGTAATTAGGCTTAGTCATGGCTTTGTCCAGTTATAAGTGGACTGAACCACCAAAGTTGGTGCTTTCAAGTTCCCTTTCAAAAAAACAAAAATCACCTGTGGGTCATCATCATCGCAGGGAGCCAATCGTGGCCGCAGATCACATAGCCCTGCAATCATCTGCAGTCGACGCCAAACCTCTTTAATGTCAGGTCGGCTTTGCGAACCTTCGACCGGTTCAACCGGTGCCCAGGTGCTGCAGCTCGACTGTCTGTTCCTGACCATGGTTTGACACGTCCTGCTGCGACCATTCGCCACTGTGGAACGAATTAGCGTCGAACGACTGTACAAAGTGCGAGCGACAAAAAAAATATCTCGCGAATGTGCAGGCTGGGTGGCATCACTGGCTGAGAGAATTTTGACACTTTTGGGATTGAACCGTTCAAAATTCGCACATATGTATCATATGATATGATTAACATATGATTCACATAGGGCCCAGATTCTCGACGCAACCTTTCCTGGAACAAAATGGAGATAAGCCCTGAAGCCAAAGATGTGAGAATTAACAGCCTTTTCCTGCGTTGATACTTGCCTTCAGTGAAGTGATCCTAGAAAAACTTCAACAAAGCTCAGCAAAATGTTGTAATATAACTCCAGCACCACTTCGGACAGTTCGGGCTGCTATGGGTGCCAATGAGGTTTTGACCTTCAGATGTGCCCAGCCCTGCAGCTAACTTGCTGCAGCCCTGCAGGTCCTTTGGGTTTGTCTTTTCAAATGGGCTATGCCCCCGCTTGATCTGATAGGAACCGTTTTTTGGGGGAAAATGATGATCAAATTGATCATATTTTCATGTTTTGGTCAAGATGTTCTGCCATGTTTTGCAAAAAAAATCTGTGTGGGGCCATCAACAGGACTGCCACATCAGTAGTCAAGGCTCCTCAGCTCCAGGGGGCCTCGGAAAGGAATTTTCCAGCAGCAAAATCCTCACCCTCCCAATACTTCGTCGATTGGGGTAATCATGGCATTTTTGGAAATTAAGGATGGAAAGCAGAGAACATTGAATCCACCATCTAAAAAATGCTGCAAAAAAAAAAAACGGTGACATTGTTCCTTTGCGTTTCAGATCTCTCCAAACTGGTGTCATCAGCACGCTGATATGAACGCATCAAATAGTCATCTTGCAGCCATGTGTCAAATGTCAATCTTCCTCACAGAACAAGGGCGCGCGGCGCGCAGCGATATGATGTCTATACATATAGTCTACCATAGACCGTTCTATACATCGCATGTGTTGGGATGCTGCCACCTGAAATGGATTCTCCTGCTACTTGCAGACCCCAGCTGTTTTGCCGTGGCGGTTGTGCAACTCATCAGTAACATTTAGAAGCGACTGCATCACAAATATCACAATGCTTACACCTCTTGTCACTAGAGACATGCCAGGAAAATCCACAGAACATGTTTCTCAGGCCAAATGACTTTTGGTTCCAACATGTCAGGTGGCAACTTACCCTGTCAGCACCAAGTCGAGTCACCTGATTCATCGGCTCCGTCCCCACCCATTGCTGGTCCTTTAACACTTCTGGGCCTTTTCATGTTGGCTCACTTTACTGCGCGATCTTAATAAGCTCGGGGAGCGAGAGCGTGCACCGACCTGCTGGTCTTTTGAAACCCCGGTCCTTTAGTGAGTTTGGGAGAAGGATCGGTCACTAGGAAAATAAAATCTCGGTTGGGCTCAATGTTAATTTACACACGAATGGATCCACGATGCAACAAAACTCTGCTTAAATGTAGCCCTCACATTGCCTACGTATTTCTAGCAGAAATACTGTGGCATGGATGTTATCGGCGTTATCGGGGCAAATTGTGGCAAATCAATAATCCCTTCCCCCCAATATCAAACACCCCCCAGAAACCATGGTTTAGAACGGGATTTCCATACTAGTAGAATTGGACGAGATTCTGAAAATTTGGCCATTTTAGGTCATACTCCAAAACTACCAAAAATAATTGATCGAAGGAATGTTCAGGTATATTAACCACTGGACGACATGCCATGGATGAAAGGACCACTGGGCCTTCGTTCGGGGCGTTGTCGTCTCCATGGACATGGACATTGATCGGCCCCGCATCATCTCCATGAATTCCTGCGAAAGGAAGGACAGCTTCGAACATACCAAGAGGTAATATACACACGTGCTGTAAGATAATTACATGTGAAATATATATGGAAGAATATGTTAGTAACATAATCGTTTTATATATAAGATGGAATATACGTTACACAATGTGAATCAACGAATATGCCGATATATGCCTATGTAATCTACAATCGTATCTAAGAAGTAAAACATCAATACATGTGAATAAATTCAATACATAAACCACAGATGCTATATAAGCATCCTTTGCACGAATTCCAAGCAGCTTGGCTGGCAACTTGACTGTGCGGTATGCATCCACATACAGTACGTGTTATATAATCATATAGATACCATACAGTCAGGATGGCCACATCAATTATCTGTTATATATATAATTATGTACTGTAAGTGCTCACACTTCCCATCATTTCACATTTTGCAAACCCAAAACTTATACCTCTTTTGATCAGGAAACCGCACTTAGATGTTGCCAGAAATAGCTCGGGATATACCCGGGTGATCCCTAACCACAAATCGCTAGTTCTGGCAACATCTAGGTTTCTGCACATTCGTTAAATGGTTCGCAAGTAGGTATAAAGCTACTTGCAAACCTATAACCCATGATTTATATGCCATACGCATCCATATGCGGTTAGATTTTTTCCAATGGGATATCATTCGAATTTAACAAGCAGAAATTTCTGCGCCTCAAAGTCGATCGAACCGTCGCCATTCTGATCCACTTCCTGTAGAAGATCCTGTGGATGGAACAGTGATCTGGTTGTGGCTAACAGTTTGCCATGGTATAGATGGCCCATAGAAATAGATGGTTTACCCGGGTTTACCTATGAATAGCATGGTGATTTTCCATGGCAAACTGTTAGTCATAACCAGAGGGTAGTGATCTGAGTGCACTCCAGGCCTGAGAAACGACAACTACTGGTTGGTGGTTGACCTACCTCTCTGAAAAACACTAGTCAGTTGGGCTGATTATATCCCCAATATATGGAAAAAACAATTTCATGTTCCAAACCACCAAGCAGACTATATATATTGCTCAAGAATTACGAAGGACATCAAAGGAACATATCAATAATAATTACTGTAACCGATCTAGAGAAGGACAAATTCCACTGGCTGGGTTCAGTCCCAGAAAACACACTGTGGCGGGTGTTCAACAGCAAAAAATGCCAGTCATGCAGCTGTTTCCCGCCATTTCCCACGGTGCCTCTGAATGACAACCATCAATCACTTGATCCACAGAGCCATTTTCCAATATCCTCAGATCAAGCCATGCAGACAGGTCAGGTGACCCGCTGAGATCAAGCTTATCTTGGATATGCATCCCTATGATCCCTCATTTTGAGGGAATTCTCCATCTTTCGAAAGAGGTCTTCAGGAGCCGAGCCCTCCAAGATGTGTTTCAGGAGGCCGGCTGGCAGCTTGGATGCTTCAATGGCTCTTACTTTCACAGCTTTCAACTGTCCCATTGGCCCATTGTACACGTGCAGCCGCGCAGAGTCACATGAAGGCCTAGGACAATTCCAACTAAAGCCTGAAGTCCCAAACCTATCCCAAACACGATCTGGTTGGTCGGTTCATCCCATCCAAAAAACATGCTAGCCATTAGGAATCATCATCCCATTTCAGATGTTCAAAGCATGCCTGAACCACCAATGAGATAATCAACCAGCGCACTTGATTCTGTAAATATGAGATATCCCTTGCAGCAACTCACCAAGCATGCCGGCCGTTGCAAACGCGCCGGAACCGGGCGGCTGCTTCAGCTCATCGAGGGTAATTTTCCCATCGCCATCTTGGTCAAAAACAGCAAAGGCGCTGAAGCAAACGTCGCGTTGCAAATACACCTGAGAGGTCAAACGTCGTGATTTTGTGTTAAACGGTGATTTCCTATTCATTTAGGGTATGGTGGGTTTATAATATCGGCTCTTCCCTAAAAAAGTGGAAATAATAAGGTTCAATTTATCATTATCTGAGCGGGATCTTACTCTATCTGTCTTTGGTTTACTGTATCCTCTGGTAAGTACCAGAGGGTATCCAAGTTGCCTGCCCCAACACAAATGAAAAAGATACAAGACGTACATAGGTCGGTAAAATTCAGAATCGGAGGTCACATAACCATGTCTGCGAGCACCACGGTTTTATCAACCTGTGGAAGTTGATAGTCCCATAGGTCATGATAATAAATTACATATGAGGATGTGCAAAACAATGTATACATTGAATGTCATATCAATCATCTTCAAAGCTGCCGTGCATGATTCCTGACACATCACCCAGGCCGCGGCACTCGCTTGTCCAGTGTGGCAGCTAGGAACTCAGTGTAGTCCTGAAGTTTGCCATTTTTTTTGCTCAGAAAGCGGCTGGATTCACAGACTTTCACCAACGTTTGAACCCAGTGTTTATTGTCAACTTCAAGCCCGATTAAGAACCCTCCTTGATTAATGATATTAATAGCTGATGAGTTACCACGAAAAAAGTGATAAACCGCTAATAAAAATGGCTCCCCGCAAATTAAGAAAGTAGCGCGGGGCGTAATTGATCTGCCATGAAAGAAAACATTGTACAGCTGTATATGTGTATATATAGAGGTTTCCTAAAATGGGGTACCCCTAAATCATCCATTTTAATAGGATTTTCTATTGTAAACCAACCAGTTTGGGGATCCCTCATCTATGGAAACCCCCATATGTCTATATAATATATCTATCTCCCCCCCGTTCACAGCTAGGTGATGCTGAGCTCCTGCTCAAAACGACGTTGCAAAATTGTGCAAGATAAACATGCTTCTCCGTCACAAGGCAATTTTGGTTGGGAGATCTAGGGAGTCATTCCCTGTCAAAAACTTCATCATAATCATAAACCATTCCCATCTAAGCTACCGGGATTGACCGTTTGGGGTGATTTTGAAGCATTTCCAAAACAGGGGCCAGGAGTCTTCTTGTTGGGTTTGCCCACTTGATATGCCTCTCTACACTACACCCTATACTTCAATGGCACGGGATGTGTTGGCGATTGCCAAAACCCAAGGCAACTGCATGGTTATTGTGTCATATAATATATATATATATATTGTTTCCCCAAATTTTGGTATCTGGTGGAGGCTTCCATCAATGCCAAAGATCAATCAACCCGCTTCCATCAGCATCTACTCCCTCCACTACGGCATCCAAGTCAAGGAGTGGCCGTCGTAAATGAGCCTGGCATCGCGCGGTGCGCTCCATGGCTTTTCCACTGAGTCATTTGGAGCCGCGGCATCCGTTGACTGACAAAAATGCGTGTTGAATCTGGGGAACGTAACCCTGAAAGTGAAACGACTCATTTTATCCAAGTGATAATCCACAGCCAATCCAGGGGTAAAATGGAATTTTCTGGGAAAACTTAAGATGGATGAAGTTTGGTTATGTCCCAAACTATCAAAATTAATTAAGGGACCAAACAAATTTGACCTGATCATATCCCTAACAAAAACCATGAAACAAGCAACCGCAAATTGAAGAATTGATGCAATGTGGTTGATCTTTCCTGGCGAACCAGTACGTCCACATTCACTTTCTGGACAGAGATTGGGATCCACTACTGTCATTGCCGAAACATGTCCAAATACTCGGATTTACATTGTGAATGCGTATTTTATGTGACATGCGGCAAATGGAAGCTTCACTGATCCTGGACTATGCAAATAGTGCCCAATTCCAACCATGTAAACTAGAAGTTGAACATCATCGTTAAATCATGTTAAGTATACGTATTTAAATATGATAAAACATAACAGGAAACCATCCAAAAACCTCCTGGTTTTCACCGGTGTTCGATTAGGGGAACCCCAACAGGATCTCCGGGCCCTTCGCCCAGCGGGCCCTTCGCCCGCCTTTTCAATGCCATCCCTCAGCTCGGTGACGGTCAAAAATCCGTCGCTATTCACATCAAGGGCCTTAAAGGTCTCTCGCAAGTCCTGGAGGATTCTATGGAGGGGGAATATGATGGGAATCATTGAGGGGATTATGGGAATGATATGGAATGATCTCGGCATCGGTGACGTTGATATATGGACTGTAATGGGATTATCATGGGAAACTAAGCATATACTTAGGCGTTCAATGGATTGGTTTGAGGAACATATTAATCGAAAACTATTGGCTTTTACCTCAAACATAAGGATCCCTTAAAATGTCCCAATCATCCATTCTGGGGCAAAAGTAGGACAGGTGCTATTGGCCGCGGCCAAGTCGGTTTTATTTTTTTGAACCTAAGTTTTCCAAAAGCCGATCCCATCAATGGCACATTGGAATTGGTCTATGACACTTCCTAATGGCAAGCAGACAATGTGTTCGTGTGTATGCATGTAGACACCGATATCGTAGGTGTATACATATGCAAGCAAAAAAATACGTAATTAAAAAAAATAAACAACCTAAATATGTGTAAATAAATGTATAGTGACTAGTATAGTGACTACATGTGTTTTCAGCAAATATATGAATAAATATATATATATGTATATACACACCACACGGGGGTATCCGAAGATTGTTTTTTTCAAAACGGGCCATTCCCATTGCGATCATCGCTGAGGCGCCGCTATCTCCGATTCGTTCATTTGCCCAGCGATGATGTTCAAGGCCGCCTTCTTTAACTTATTTTTCGACCTGGCTTTGGGGGTATGGACATGGGATGTTTCAATGGGGTATCAATATATATATATATACATATGTATGTATGTATGTATGTGTATGTATGTATGTATGTATGTGTGTATATGTATGTGTGTATGTATGTATGTATGTATGTATGTATGTATGTATGTATGTATGTATGTATGTATGTATGTATGTATGTATGTATGTATGTATGTATGTATGTATGTATGTATGTATGTATGTATGTATGTATGTATGTATGTATGTATGTATGTATGTGTGTATGTATGGTATGTATGTATGTATGTATGTATGTGTCAATGTAATGTAATGTAACGCAAAACAATGCAATGCAATGCAATGTAATTCATGGTATGTATGTATGTATGTATGGTTGTATGTTTGTATGTATGTATGTATGTATGTATGTATGCATATATGTATATGTCAATTATGTGTATATATACTGTATATTGATTAATGGAATATATGATTAACCAAGTTGATATTTGAAGGATGCTTGGATGTCTGAAAATTTAGGCATAACTCCGAATGCTTCAATGGACAAAATTATGATAAACCATTCAACCCGGTGAAAAAACATCGAGCCCCAGGTCACTTGGGCTGGAAATGTGTATAAATGTCGTGTATAAATATCATTGAATATCCAAACATCATCCAACCTAGAGCCCCATCAGGGATCTAAGTCGTTAACGGTACGACTATAATTCTATATGTATGCAATGCGAGTATTGTTTGTTGATAGCCGCATCATTTACGGCAAAAAATGATAAACCAATAAATAGATTGGTTTGCCGGCGCATCTAAAAATGGTGATGAATCACCATTAAAAAGATTAAGCAAACAAAGAACGGGAATGACGATGAATTACACTGATTTACAGGTGGAATTGGGTACCAAATAGATATAATATACCCTCCCGCAAACATTTACATATATATATATATATACAATAAATAAATATAAATAGATAGAGATATATATATATATACTTAAAAATATATTATCATATAATTTAATATGTATATATATATATAATTATACAATATGTTGGGTCAACCGTAGGGGTTTGCCGAAGCAAACAAGTTTCTGAGCTCGTGACCATTGGGTGGGGGGTGGGGGGGTGGGGGGGGTGGGGGGGGGTGGGGGGGGGGAGTAATAACGTTCAGGCAGCTTGCGTTCCATAGAACTCATTATCCAACATTGGAATAGCTGTCCGTGGGGTGTGGGGGGGTGGGGGGGGTTGGGGGGTGGGGTGAAGAGGGGCCCTAGCGTCTACTTCAAGATCAGCTAAGGCGTCTTCCCCAATGACAGCACTATTTTACTCTCAGCCTGTTGCCGGTCAGTGCTTGTCCACAGGGTTACTCTATATACCTCTTGAGCCTTGAAGGGCGCATATAAATGTGCTCAATACTCATGCATGTACCTCTGTAGGTATTAGGCCGAAACAAAAACATGGGGGGGAGTAATAACGTTCGAACCATTCATCGAACAATAGCACCAAACATTCGAACAATTCATCGAAACTCAACATGGCTCCGAAGGAAATCTAATTATGCTGTTTCAATAAAACACACAACTTTATTTCTCTTTCCAACAAATCACAAGTTCAAAAATCCTGCTAATTTTTCCGCGGGATCCCGCGAAAAAATCTTGTTCGCAAAACATGAACCTGGTTCAAACAATCATCCCTTATCATGCAAACATCTTGCAAATGCTAATGTGCAACCAATGAAAAACACTGAAAATACCATGAAATTTCCTCCTACTAAACGGCCGCGAATGGACATACATGATCTTAACATATGTTACCCTTCTTGCAAACTCATTCCGACTCACGGCAAACCCCCCCGGCAAACCCAATATGTTGCATTATATCATATATTGTACTATATTAAATCAAAAAATATTTAAAAACAATATATTGTATTGTATTATATTAAGTTATATAATGTATACTATTAGTTATTAAATAAATTTATGTATATAATATAAATAATAATATAAAAATATAATATATATATATATTATGTACAATAAACAATATATATATAGTATATAATATATAATATATATATAAATATAAATATATATATATATAAATAATAAATAATATACTAGAAAATAAATAATATATAATATATAAAAAATAATAATAATACAATAATAGTAAAATAACAATAATAATTATAAAAATAATATATATATATGTATATATTTGAATTATGTATCATATATATATATATATATTAAATCATATTATATTAAATTATATTATATTATATGACATGATATGTGTATATGATATTATATAATATATATATTATACATATGTAGTATATGTTGTATATATAATATATATATATATAGTATATGGTTGTTGATCAAAATTCTTTATCCGGGAACAGTCATTCTTCGCGAATAAACATGTTACTTTCGCGAAACTTTCGCGAACTCCATGTTTATCTTTCGCGGAACCTTATGTTAGGCAATCATGATATCCAACTTTCGCGAAACTTTCGCGAAAAAAAAGTTTCTTTCGCGAACTCGAAAAAACACTTTCGCGAGGGTTTCCAACATAACATGCACGGCTTTCGCAATTAAAACTCCTTACAAGGACCTTTGGATCGACCACCATATATATTATATCACCCACGGTTTAAACTGGGGGTATGTACCCAAAAGGTAAGCTACCTTTTTTGAAGGTGTTTTTGAGGGGGGCCTTGAAAATGTAAGCTTACCTGTTGAAGGTATTTTGAAGACCCTCCCCCAAAAAACGTTATCTGGGGGACGTTCAGCGACCAATTTTACATTTAAGGGGGGTCCCAAAAAATGTATCTTACATTTTGGTATGGTCCCCCCTGAAAAGTAGCCTTAAAGGGTGGTGATTATATTATATTATGTGTATATATATATATGTTCCTTTACACCCGCCATTTGCAGATCATGTTCCGAACGGGTTTCTCCATGGCCTGAAGCTCTTCAGATTGTGAACGATGTGGTCCTGGAGACACACATCCTGTGCTTTGGGCGCTCGATCTTTTATCCAGGTATCCTGAAGCGCTTGTTCCGCGGTATACCTGCCGCAGGTGGACATTTCCAGTGGTTTTCTGGAAAATCTGCAGGAAACCATAGGAAAAGCCAAGTATTTGCAGGCTAAAACTATTTAAAACTATGGCTTGCTACAAAAGAATCCTGCACAAATCCATGAACTGGCCCATTGATTAAAGTGGAAGGGGACACCACCTGGAGTTTGAGGGAAAATGAGTGGATTTTCAGGGAATTTGGTATAATACTGGCAAGTATCACCCATATCAGTGCAAAGCAATAACTGCATGAATGAGATGAAGGAACATGTTGCATCATGACCCTGCGTTGGTTGCCTTGCTCCATTAATTCAATGGATTGGTTGAGGGGAAAATCTACAGGAAACCATCGATTTTATTTGATTTTCTCATTAAATATGGGGTTTTCCGGTACATTTTCCCTTATGTGCCATTACGACAAGGCTTTGACGTTGAGACTGCTTGGTGGTTTCCGGCCTAGTCTCAGGCTCAAACTTCAAAAGCATAGAGATCAATTTCTTGGCATCCTTAGATTCTCCGCGGGAATCGCCAAAACAACACAATTTGTCCAAACTTATTAAAAACTTTGCGAACGCACAATTGGGAAAAACAAAGTAGGAAACGCCAGGCATCTTGTGAAATGTGTCTCCAATACTTCGGCTCGAACTGGTACATGCCTAGGCTGAGATGTGATGAAAAGGTAATGGAATCACTGGGGATGGCTGGCCAGTTGACGAAAAATGGCCAGCATGGCCCTAGCAAAAGCTATGGTACCAAAACAACTGCCATCGTCGTCGTCGTCGTCGTCATCATCATCATCATCATCACCGTCATTATCATCATCAACATCATCATTATCATCATCATCGTCATAATCACCTTCATCTTCATCGTCATCGTCATCCTCATTCTCATAATTCTCATAATTCTCATAATTCTCACCACCACCACCACCACCAGCATCATCACCATCATCATCATCATCAGCATCATCGTCTTTATCATCATCAACATCATCATTATCATCACCATCGTCGTCATCATCACCTTCATCTTCATCGTCATCCTCATTCTCATAATTCTCACCATTCTCACCACCACCACCACCAGCATCATCATCATCATCATCATCATCATCTTCATCATCATCATCCTCATCATTCTCATATCATTATCATTATTCTCATCATCATCTTCTTCTCGAACATCATCAACAGCAGCGGAGGCAGCATCGCCATTACATATGCATCGTCCGTAGCTGTCAGGGCCAATACGTCAAGAGACCTTTTCGCACTTTGCTGAGAACTTCTTGATCAGTCTTGCCGTAGAAAGGCGGATAACCACCTCGACAAAACAACTTCAGCACATCTACTCCAAACACTAGTTGCCTTTTTGTCAGCCCAACAACAGAAGTGATGTTGAAACCGTGCATAGAGAGTGAGATATTGGGACTCCTCTGTTGAATGTGCTTTAGTCATCTTTAGTCACACTTGCCTCCTGCTCTCAAGGCCAAAGAATTACCTACGCAAACACGGAAAGGTGCCACCAATGCCCTACATGTTTGCACCGTGCCCTTTCGCGATACCAACTCCTCAAACCATGGATAATCAAACAGATAGAAATTAAAACTATCACAAGGCAACATGTGTTCCTTTTCTTATGTCGTGTGTGTGTGTGGATCCCAGTCGCAGAGTTCTCCCCATCCAAAGTGAGACAACACAACTTATGATTATACATATGTTTCTCCCATGGTCTCCCATGTCAAGTGGTCCTTGCCGTTCTGGTAGCTTCCACAACACCAAGCAACACAGCATCGTGTACATGATCACACCGCAGCTCCAAATGTCGCAGCTACAGTCATACTTGCCTGGAGTTCTTATGGATTGGTTTAAGGGAAACGGGGTAAATATAGCCGCTATAGCCATCAAGAATTGGAGGATTTAAATGGATAATTATGCACCTAGTATCACCTAGTCGATGGATTGGTTTAAGGAAAATCTTAACCTCAAACCACATGGTGAATTTACCCACGAATTTCTGGAGGTTTCCTGCAGGTTTTTACATATGATTCTATAATATTATAAATATATATATATATAATTATATATAAATAGACATGTGTGTGTGTGTTCATTTTTTTGGTGTTTTCATGCTAAGTTTATACTTTGGAGTGGTGCTTGAACCCGAGATTGCATGAGCCAAGTGGTTCCACGTCGGATCTCCTTCTTGCTACAGTATGCTACAGCCCCACCTTGAAGCACTTGCGGGGCCACATAGTATGGTGTACCAGCTTTGGTACTCATGGGCTGGTTGGGCTCAAAGCATTTGGACAGCCCAAAATCGATGATCTTCAGCAGGTTCTTCTCCATCGGACCTTTAGTCCTTGGCGCCAAGGGAGACACCGCAACCACCTGGCTGAATGTCCACAAGCACAGGAATTAAGCGTTTGAAAATCCATCACCATAAAAATTTGGCTTAGCCAGCTTTAGCCATAGCCAGGCATCAGGAACAGGAAGTTCTCGGGCTTCAGATCTCTGTGGCACACCAGCCGCTTGTGCATGTAGAAAACTGCGCTCAGCATCTGCTGCACAACGATGGCGGCGTCCTTCTCCGTAAACTGCCCAACTTCGATGATGCGATCGAACAATTCACCTCCTGTGCACAACTCCATGGCCAAGTAGATATGCTTTCTGTCTTCCTCACTGCAAGACCGGGAGGGCGATGTCTATGTACAACAACTAGGCGTGTCTCAGCATTGACTTTGCATGTGCTCTAGACCTGTTTGGTGAATCCCAAAGACAGGTATCGCTGCTTTGCCACCAATTTTCTTGCCATTTGGATGCATTGGGATGCAGTTGGATGCAGTCAGATAGATCTTCACTCACGGCTCCTATGAAATCCGAACAAGACTAAAAGAAAACATATGGAAACAGAATGAAACAGACTCCGCTCTCCTCAGTTCCCTTGCCCAAAATCATCTCGCCGGGGAACGAAGGTCTCGTAGAGTTTGATGATGTTTGGATGGTCCATTGACTTCATAATAGTCTTGGCAGGGCAGGAACATATGGAACCATGGACTGGGAATACTGGGAGATTCTTTTTGGCGGTCCCCAGCGGAGGCGTGATAATCCAGGATACCCTTTTGGAAATGGAGCTGCGACCCCAAATATCGAAAGTCAGGAAAAGTGTTGTTTTGCTGAGGCCCACTTGCATTGAAGATATTGAAGTTCCATGTGTTTCTTTTGGGGTGTGTAGCTACGAGAGATATCTAGATTGTAGACTGCAAAACCATGGAAATGCACAAATCGTCAAACATCCTTCCGACTTCCGATCGATTCCTTCTATAGACATAGCGAGAGTTAGCTGCCTTAAGGCTTAAGGGGCCTTCATCACTTTTGGTGCTCTCCAGCCGAGTATCGATTTCCTGCTGGAAGCGCACCACATGTTTCCTGTGCCATGGCGGCTGGGCCATCGAAGTATCAGAGATTTACTCCTCTCCGCATCTCTCTCTCCCTATCTCCCTATCTCTCCACGTTGCTATCTCCGACAAGTTAATTCTCATTCCAAACATTTTGGGATTATCAATTATCCATGACAATTCATGATAATTCCATGTCCAAACATTATAAACTCATTATCTGATAAGTTTGTCTCATTGGGGATGGATAACAAGCATGCCGCGAATGATGTCAGGCTGCCGCTGGTCCAATTCTGAGAGGTGCTGCTCAAACAAGCGTGTCCCAAAGAGATCCAAAGATTGCATGATCTGCAAAAGATCTGCAAGTGCTTAAAAGCTCAACCCGCATCTGCCCTTGATCCACAGAGAAATACACCTAGGTTATATACACGGTCACGATTTTGAGTTCCGCTCCCAAATTGATCTGTGGATCCATTGAAAACTGGAGGTGCCCCAGTTTCGATCGAGGCTCAGATTGGCTTTGGACATGGTCTTGATCGCTCGCTTAGCGCCGGTGCTATTGTGAATGCCTATGGTCACCTGGGCAAACCATGGCAAACCCAAAGCTGCCCTTGGGGTGGGCTGACTACGGAACAGGTGCGGCATGGGTTTGGCTTGCAATTGTACTCAGGGACCCAGAAACTTGGTTTTTGTCTAAGGTTATATGGACATTATATAGGCACATATAGACATAGACTATAGACATGTATAGACAAGTACAGACGTGCATATATATATATATATTCACATATGGACACGTATAGACGACAATATATAAACATAAATAGTATACAAGCATATATATATATATATGTATATACACATACAAATAAATGCATACATGTCACAAATATAGTTAAATATGTGTAAAAAATAGACGCTTTAAATTTTGGTGGGGTGATGATTTTGTTTTGAGCCATACCTGCATGGGTCTTCTGGTGCACACAGCCTTCAAGACAACATCTATATGTTTTTGGACCAGTCGCAGAGCCGTAGGTTCCTTCGCCGATGTTGCTGGACTGCAAGGTGTACATCGACTGGACATCCCCTGCATGGCTCCTCAGTGCCCAAATTCTGGCTAGATTTCGAAGGAGAATAGCATCCAACATGTCCAATGCATCCAGGTTTCAAAATCAACTGACTCCGGGTGATGCTTTCCGCTCGCACGTTCTTTGTAGGTTCCTTAGTTCATCCAATGCGCTGCAAAGCTTGCGGGTCATGTGTCCTGGAATACTACATGTTGGCAGCTTTAGGGTTGGCCCCATCATCAAACATGGATCCCACATACCACTCCAACCATGGTGTGAAACGCCCTGACCCAAGGGCAGCTCATTACCTCCCAAGATCTCAATGTGGTGAACCCGATAAACCTCTGGGAATTCTTTCTCCCAGTTTCTGTCAAAATGTATGGTAATTCATGGTCAAAATAAAATTTACAGGACTAAGTCCGGGGTTGACACTCTTCAGCCCTTGAAGTGGACGGGCGGCGACAGTTTCTCGTGTTGCAAATCGATCGTCGTCGTGCTCATGAACGATCATGCTGCCTTTGATGTCCGGCTTTCCTCCACCAACTGGCAGTTCTGAACAGTAACAGCATTGGGGGTGTAATAGTTTAATAGATGTATGATATATGATGTATATATTATAATATATATATTATAATATATATTATAATATATATTATAATATGTATTATAATATATTATAATATATATATATATATTGTGAAAAGCTCCGCGTTAGATTGATGCTGCGAAGACTCAAGGCTATTCAAAACTACTATATAAATCTACATAGGTGAAGTCCTCCTTTGAACATCTTGTGCCTACAACCTGTGCTCTCGTCATACAAACTTTGAGGCTGATGAACCTCGAACCATTGACTCTTGTCTAAAATGTAAACAGACTTGGCTGCAAAGAGCCACTGTGCCCGCTCCTATGCACGCGCCCATGGTTGGAACGCTCCAAAAGCAAATAAAAATCCAAGGAAGTTCTCAAATTCCGGCCCCCTGAGGGTGGAGCCAATAGGACTGCGATAACAAATGATGTACTATGACAATACGGTCATATGCTGTCCCTTGCGCAACCATGTTTTGATTATGGTTTCATCATTTTTCATCGATCTTTTGAAACAGGGTTGCTCCCAACACCTCAGATACGAGGGGGCAAGAGAATCGGCTTAAGAGAGACAAATAAAATCACTCATTTCCTCCCTTGCGCAATGGATGAAAGGGATATTCCAATCAATTCCATCTTGGGTTCCAGCTCGGAAGTTCCTCGCAGCCTGCTGTGGCCTTAATAGGAGTTGCCCGTTATTGTGTGTTCCAATCCAAGACTTAAGGTTTGGTTCAACCCAAAACTAAGGGTTTGAACGGCTCAAGTTGTCCACCAAATGATGCAAACAGAATCAAATAATTAGATCGATTCAGTCGAAGTGCTTCCAGGAAATGAATGTATTCACAACACCAGCAGCTGGGATTGCATGGCAGTCCCATCTAGCTTTTTGTTTGCCTATTCCAGGCACCCATTGAAAATCAAGGAAATAACAAATTAGGACATGCATAGGAAAAAACATAGGATTGACATCCAAAAAAAATAGGAAACCATGGATGGACAAAAACCCGTGATTTTGACCTCGACTTTTTTCCAATATTTTGTTCTTCCCTATTTGTTTTCCTAGTTGTTTCATATAAAATATGTGTTGCTACTTTTCCCTACTTTTCTCGAAGCGTTTGCAAATTTTCAATTTTCCCGAAATGTCAGCCAAATGTCGGAATTCATTTTTGGCCGCCTCCTTTTTTGCTTTTGTTTTTTCTTTGAAACGTGAAAAATTCCCAAAACCCTGAACAAATAGGAAACATAGGAAACATATTCATTGCATTTGGCAATTGAAAACGTGAAAAATAGCAAAAACCTCGCCAAAATTAGGAAAACTAAGGTAAAAAGGAAACAAGTCTTATAGACTTATAGATGAGAAGTCTATGGGTGAGAATTTGTAAGTGTGAAGCAAATTCCATGGAATTGGGGTAGGAAAACAAATGGGACATGAAATACAGTATTGAAATACATATGAAAAAATTGAAGGTCAAAATCACGCTTTTTTTCCACCCATGTTGTCCTATTTGTTTTGAAGATCAATCCAATGTTTTTTCCCTATCTTTCACTGTTTTGTAAACTCCCACCATGTGCCTGTAGCTGAAAACATAAATCTAGCTAGAACTCGGATGCAACTTCATGCTGGCTTGCACGAACAATCCTGAAGGGATGACCAAATTGTTGCATTTTGGCATGGGGATTGATAGGCTGCAGGATTTTCAGCCCGCGTTTCTGGGCCTGGTAATCCAACCCCACAAAGCTGCAGCACTATTGCAGAATAGGCAATCATCAGCTTCTGACATTCTAGAACTTTATCACTCACCAAATGGAGGTTCCCTAAACTGATACCCCCAAAACATCCATTTGATTTTGGGATTTTCCATTATAAACCAACATAAACCAAGCATTTGCTGGGATACCCCCATATGAGGGGTACCCCCCCTGCCTGTGGCTTTCTGGTTGGACCTGGGCGGCCAAGGAATCAACACCGCCCAAGGAACCGCAACCGCAACCGCAACCGCCGCGGCCTCGGTCATTTTTCCGGCGATCATTCGGCACGTCTCACGAGGTCACGCCCGGCGCCTGCCGAGGCGATGACGGCAGAATGCCCAGGAAAACCACCCAGGGAGGCACTTCTGACTCGTCCACTGCGGTGCTGAGCATCGGGTTTAACTGTTAGCTCGGCCAGTTGAGAATACGGCTATGGAAATTATCATATATTTTTTACGTATATACTTGGCGGTTCCTATCAGTTAGTAAGCGTGTTGTAATCTCAGTTCTACTCCTACTTGAAACTGGGGTGAGCCGCCAAGTCTTATTTAACAATCTTAACAGAAGTTGGTAGGTTGACTTCGTATTCGCAACTGAAGCTGAGCACATCGGGAAACCACGGATTTCGGTGAAACCATGATGGATTTAACTCAGGAGCAACCTTATGCTTTCAAGATACCTTGGTAGAAGCACGTCAAACAAGATTGGCAGGTGAGTATCAATGACTCAGAATTCCTGGTTTTGGTTGCCGCGGCCGTCCATCAATTTTGAATCTTGCCATTCGGATCTTCATGATCTTCGCTCTTGAGGCAGTTGCTGAGAGCCAACATCTTCACATCTGAGGCTCGACAGCCTCAAGGCTAACCAGTTTTCTCAGACAGACTTTTTAGGTCATGAAACCATAGGACCTGACAATCTTCAAAGACCAAACGAACAGTCCTGAGCGAGACTCTAGGACGTTTCTACAGGGCAGGTTGCGTTTGTATTACGGCCCATCATGACAGTCTCGTGTTCCGACTTGCGATTCTTGCGGCCGCCTGGTCAGCCCAACATGTTACAGAGATGAATTCAGTCCTTGACTGTGCAAGGTCTCGTTCTACATATTCAAAAAAAGACGCCTCGCAGCGCTACAACTGACAATCAAGTCGCGCAGAGCTCAGCCAGCCAGTTCTTTTGCAGCCAGAAACAGAGATATGGAGTTTAAGTCCATCAGAAGTTGGGACATCATATTATCATCACCTAAGTGTAGATGGAAAAGGCGGGTTTGAACTATGAACCAGTCAGAATCTGATTCGCAAATCGTGCAGAATTTCAAATAAGATATATATAGTAATATAACTATACACCATTATAACAAATTGCATCTTCAGCTTTCTTGGTTCTTAAAAGAAAACACACACATCACACATATTATATGTCATTTGGAGGGAATAGTTCCAGGCATGACTTGGAGAATATAAACTTTGACTGTCATACGATTGCCGAACATGACAACGTTTATGACAACATGACAATGAAACACCCCAAGAATTCTGATATTTCTGGATTCAACATGGTCTGTTCTCAACTTACGGGACTGGTTCCAATTCCCTATAGCCAATTGCAGGTCATGCTTCAGGGAGGGAAACCAATCCCGTTTCCACGTCCTGAACATCCTGAAAACTGAGCTAAGAAAACAGCATACGGATGTAGAAGGACACATTCAGAAGACATCTTTAAAAGACCATGTATATCATATATAATGTCATATATCTTTTAATAGAAGATTCTTCGAGCAAGTCCTATATGGGGTACTCGTGAATTCATGGCCCGAAACAAAGAACTGGATGAAGGAAGACCTTCTGCAGTGCAACCTGGGCAGTGGGAGGGCACCTCTGCAAAAAAGTTGCTTTGGAAGATCTTACAACATGTTATGAGATGTTATGAGTAAGTTAAGCTAAGTGTCAGGAAAATGGTGGATTTATGGTGACTTTATGGTGAATATAAGAAACTTAGATGGAGACGTACAAACCAACTTAATTATAACCCGAGTATTAGAGTGCCCTTCCTGTAGAGATGGGCAAACTATCTGCAATCATCTTCAACTTTATGTTGGTAAGTATCTGAATGTCCATCACCTCTAGATCACAACCAACATCAACATAATCAACCAAAACAAAAAAAACTCATCCACGAGTTTGGCGTCCCTATCAGCGTCCCTGTAGCAAGTCCCATCCCATCCCGCCTTTATTTCTGCACTTTGCTGTGTTTGCTGGCTTTACTTCGCGATCTCAACAAGCTCGGGGACCGCGGATGACCGTCCGCCTTGGACTTGGGCGTGGTGGTCTCCATTGAAAGGGACATGGATCGGCCACCTCTCATCATCTCCATGAACTCCTGATCTGCTGGGGCTTGTGGGTTGCGGGTGATATATCAATGATATATGGATGTGTCCTGGAAATGGGGGATGCTGATATACCGTATACCAATAATCATTTGATAGAACAATGATGATAAACCATGGGAGTTTCGATGAGTTTCGATGACTTTCGGCTGTCCTATTTTCAGACAAACCCAGATAGATTCGTCCTGATGCTTCACGGTACGGAGTCCGAAAGACCGGAGTGCAAGACTGATTCCATCTGGGATGACAAAAAATGGAAGTCGGAACGGGATGTATATAATTGATTATAACTTATAAGTCTATACACATGTATGTATTAATTTGAATGTATGCATTACATTGTATTACCATGATATTCCCAGGTTTTACACTGATTGGCCATCACTTTCCATCATTCTCTTACCAGAAACTATCTGACCATCGGCCATATCTCTCCTCAAAGTCAATGGATCCGTCGCCGTTGGCGTCCACCTCCCTCAATAGATCCTGGCTGCTGGTGGGTGTTCCAATGGGAGCAAGGCACTGAAAAACCCATGACTCAATGGATTGGTTTAAGGGAAATTTTACAGGAAAACCCCATATTTCATGGGAAAATCTATGGTTTCCTGTAGGTTTTCCCTTAAACCAATCCATTGAATGACATCTGAAACAAGAAAATGTAGGGGATTTCAACCCATGGAATCCCTATTTTTTAAAACAGCTGCTGTTGATGGATTTTCATCCCCCACAAACGGTATTTCAAGTTTATTGATCCATAGTCACTAGTCACTTCAGAGGGATATACTTATAGATAGAACATCCAATAAAACCTCCGGAGGACTTTGAAGGCCAATACCATGGTGAAGATGTGATTAGAACCCCCTCATCATACTCACAGAATGGGATCAGATTCCATCAGATTCCATCAGATTCCTAGAGCCTAGAGCAAACACGCATGATTCAATGCAATTTCCTCCCCATTGAAACGACATTTCATAGAACAAGATGATGGGATCAACTCATTTCCAACTGAGTAGAGCCTTGCAACAAGAACATTGAAAAAACACAGAATTAATCAGGGCTGCTCCACCAGATGATAATTAGGTGAACCATAGACACAAGTGGGGAACATGGGTCGTTTGATGTCATTTTACATTTTAAATCATTTTTATCTATTCTATCCATTTCCCTCCCCTTGGGTGTTAAAAACACCACCGGGCACCTCCGATTTGGCTCCCTCGAGCACATGCTCGACGGCTCCATTCTCCAAAATCCTGAGAAGATCTGCAGCTGCATTGGTTCATGTTGCTTGATCCATTCCCTTCAATATTAATTATATAAATATATTCCCCGTGCATAGAAGGGACCCAAAATGATTGGGTCCCTAGATACTAGGGTCAATGCTAAAATATGCTAAATCAAAGTGAACACGTGTTTCTAGGGATATACAATGATGTTTAATTTTCGGGGAATGGATTCCCAAATTGCTGCTGATCATGCAGTCGAGTAGCTGTTTTAACTCATCGAGAGTGATACGGCCGTCGCCATCGACATCAAAGACAGCGAAGGCCGAAAAACATACATCACGCTGTAGGTATACCTGGACACCAGGACTTGAGGTCCTCAAATGGCCATCAATGTTTCCATATTTTTCCATGTGTTTATTCCTACATCAGGCTCTCCAAATCACCAGTCCGGTATTTGATGGTATTTGTATAGTATATGGAAAAACCGTGAGTACATCATAGTACATCTACAACTTTCTGATGAGTACACCATGCAAGTGCCGCTCTGCAAGCACTGATAGGCAACAAGAATTGCTATGGGCCATGGAAGGTGAATTTACATGAGCCCCTGAACCTGGATGCTTCAACTATGAACATGACTTCAGATTTTGAGGATTGGTCAAAATTGGGGTATCCAGGTATCCAATAACTTGCAAAACTTGGCTGAAAAATACCAAGCCAAATGGCCAACATCTGTGGTTTGTGCGGCCTGCAGGTCTCGAAATTTGACTCATATCGATACCCAAAGGTTTCAACCATGTTATCACGTGGTTGGGAAACTCTTTGTACTCATCTCCTAGCTCCCCAAGGCTCCCAATATTTCTGTTGAATATGGACAATCCCGTTCACATGGGCCCCCAAATTAATAGATCAAAGTGTATCTAGTTGTACCAATGCCAAACCATGGTTCCCAGTGGGAAATAATGATCAATCCTATTAAAAGCATAAATCATCATAAATCCCAATTCTTGTGGCTTACAAAGGCTTAAATGCCCATCAATTATATACAATTATATAAAATTATATACACAGGAAGTATTTCCAGGGACCAACCGTAGCTCCCTACCAACCAGGCCACTCGCTTGTCTAAAGTGGCCGCCAGAAACTCGGTATAGTCCTCAGCGTCGCACGACGCTGGAGATAGGTCGGACATCCCATGGCGTTCGGTTGGGGAAAATGACCAACCGAAATCTCTACAATCTCTAGGTCGACCTAGAAATCTCCACAAAATGATGGGTTTTCTTGGGGTTTTCTTGGGTTTTCCATATTGTGTGGTTCATTTACCAAGTCATTGACCTGGTGGTTTCCCGAAATGGGAGTCGGACAACTGGAAAGCGCTGGAAACGTCATGCGTGGCCTCAATGGCATTTTCTACAGTCGCGCTGTGGTGAATTTTAATCATCCAGGGTAGGGTGGAAAATGAAAAGGTCGTTGAAACCAGCACTTTTGGATGATTTTGGATACAAAACACCAAAAAAATGACTGGAAGAATCGCAGTTCAATTCAGTTCCAACTCCTGAAATACTTTGGAATTTACATGTCACAGTGATGGCACGCCCCAAAAGTCTTGGGCTCCCATCTTTCGAACTGAGGATTCACCACCCCGAAATGTTCGGAAAATTTCGGATAGCTACCCATATATTAAAACATGACATGTATAAACATACGTAAGTCATCATCCCATTACCCTCCAGTCAGTCACATGGCCTGCTGGAAAATTCCCCGCTTAGTTCAAGGATTTTCCCAGCTAGAACCGTGTAATTTGAAGGATTTCCCGGCCATGTTTGATTGCCGCAGGGTAAGCCTCATTAATCAGTTCCATGATGCATGATATTATACGACTATATGTTCATGACATGTCCACTAATCCCATTCATAGATCATGACCTCGAATTCAGGCGTAAAATATAAGTTATAATTGTATAGCATTTCTAGCTAGCAGGGTCATATGAAATCCAGTGATGCGCACGTTGGGGTCCAAGTTATAATTTCATGATCTACCATGTTGTACCTATATATGTATATATAAATATATATATATATACCAGTAGTACCGTACAAGGCGGTGGCGGAAGTTTCAAAAATAGGAAACCTATAGGAGAGATTGGTTGTTGTGAATCAGGGATGGCAGAGCGAAGCCACTGACGGACCGAAAGGTGCTTGAGATTGCTTGAGGTCTCCTCTCTTTCTCTCTTTTTCTCTGACTATCTACCTACCTACCTACCGATCTATCTATGTATTTATCTATCGCTCTCTCTCTCTCTCTCTCATCTAATTACCTATCTATCTAGTGGAATGTAGTGTAGTGTAATGCAGTGAAGTGTAGTGGAAGGTAGTGTAGTGTAATGTAGTGTAGTGTAGTGGAGTGTAGCGTAGTGTAATGTAGTGTAGTGCGCTGTACTTGAGTGTAGCGGAGTGTAGTTGTGTAGTTGTAGTTGTAGTGTAGTGTAGTGGAGTGTAGTGGAATGTAGTGTAATTTAGTGTAGTGGGCTGTAGTGGAGTGTAATTTAGTGTAGTGGAGTGTAGTGTAGTGTAATGTAATGTAGTGTAATGAAGCGAAGCGAAGCGACATCTGACCTCCAAAAGTGGTCCGAGACCCTGGTGTTTTTAACATTTTGACTTGGAAATGTGCTTCGCGCCACAACGGCGTGCACTTTTTCGACATCTGAACCTCCAAAAGTGGTCCGAGACCGTCAGTTTTTAACACTTCTGACTTGGAAATCTGCTTCGCGCCACAGTGGCGTGCACTTTTTCGACATCGCAACTTCCAAAAGTGGTCCGGACCTGGTGTGTTTTGTACATTTTGACTTGGAAATGTGCTTCGCACCACAACGGCGTGCACTTTTTTCGACATCGCAACTTCCAAAAGTGATCCGACAATGGTGTGTTTTGTACATTTTGACTTGGAAATGTACTTCGCGCCACAACGGCGTGCACTTTTTCGACATCTCAACTTCCAAAAGTGGTCCGGAGCTGGTGTGTTTTGTGCATTTTGACTTGGAAATGTGCTTCGCGCCACAACGGCGTGCAATTTTTCATCGCTCCTGTGGCCAGCTGGCTCCGCACCCGCCGCTTTAGCGAGCCTACTTTTCGACCCTCCGGAGCCACAAATCATTGGAAAAACACAGTGTTTCGCGGCTTTCCTACCTTTTCGTGCATCTGCATCTTCTTTCTTCCTGACTCTTTCTCTTCTGATCTTCTCTCTTCTAATCTTCCTCTTCTCTCTGCCTCTGCCCTGCTCTGCTTTTCATCTGTCCATATTGTCGGAAGTTTGACTTCTAAACTTCCTTCGATTATATATATAAATATGTATGTATGTATGTCCGCTAATCCATATAAACCATGATCATCCATGATCCCATTAGGTATCTTTGATCATCGGATTTGTTGGCCGTCCAAGCGTCGATGAGTCCACTACCATCGGCATCCACTCCCTCCACCACGGCATCCAAATCAATCATTGGTCGCCGCAAGTGGGCCTGAAGGATGTTGGGGATTGCATGGGGCTTATAGTGGGATGATAGTTTATGATATTTATGGGAAACCAACCATACTACTTAGGTTGTCAATGGATTGGTTGCAACCAGGAAAAACTTCACTGGAAAGCAACGTTTCTTTAAAACATCAATGCGTAAAGATGTGTAAAAGGCTTTCCGGAGTTTCATGGTTGTCCCATGTCTTTCCTGTAATGTTTGCATATGTTTGCATCATCCAATTCCGGAAGCATCTGCAAACACCACGAAAAGTTGGGGCCAAAATGCAGGGTTGCAACTGGTTGGTCGCCTCAAGCATCCTGGGAACGCCTCTTTTGCTTCGATATCGGCATGTCAAACAACCTAAGCACAGCCTGAGGAACTGGTCACGACATTGACACTAATATCCATTAGGTCGGGATCAAGCCTAAAAGCACTGATACGCTGAAGACTCCATGGCAAAGTCACCCGCTCCAGGATTTGGTTGAAGTGAGGGCCAACACTCAAGCTTTGAAGACTCGATGGCAAGGTCACCCGCTCCAGGCTTTGGTTGAAGGCATGGCCAAAGCTCAAGCTTTGAAGACTCGATGGCAAGGTCACCTGCTCCAGGCTTTGGTTGAAGTCACAGACAAATCCAAAGCTCAAGCTTTCAAGACTCGATGGCAAGGTCACCTGCTCCAGGCTTTGGTTGAATTTCTCGCCAAAACTCAAGCTTTGAAGACTCCATGGCAAGGTCACCCGCTCCAGGCTTTGGTTGAATTTCTCGCCAAAACTCAAGCTTTGAAGACTCGATGGCAAGGTCACCCGCTCCAGGCTTTGGTTGAAGGCATGGCCAAAGCTCAAGCTTTGAAGACTCGATGGCAAGGTCACCTGCTCCAGGCTTTGGTTGAAGTCACAGACAAATCCAAAGCTCAAGCTTTCAAGACTCGATGGCAAGGTCACCTGCTCCAGGCTTTGGTTGAATTTCTCGCCAAAACTCAAGCTTTGAAGACTCCATGGCAAGGTCACCCGCTCCAGGCTTTGGTTGAAGGCTGCCAAACTCAAGCTGTGAAGACTCGATGGCAAGGTCACCCTGCTTTCCAGGCTTTTTGTTGAAAACAAAGCCAAAACTCAAGTTTTGAAAACTCCATGCAAGTCAGTCGCTCCAGGTTAAGGTTGCCAAGACTCAAGCTTTCTGGCCCCATGGCATTCACATGCTTCGGGGCTTTGGTTGAAGACACGGCCAAACTTCAAGCTTTTAATCAATTGGCAAGGCTTTGTCAACATACTCAAACTCAAGCTTTTAAGACTCCATGGCAACTTCACTCCCTCGAGCGTCACCCGCTGCAGGCTTTGGTTGAACTCAACGCCAAAACTCAAGCTTTCAAGCCTCCATGGAAGGGTCACCCCCTTCAGGCTATGGTTGAACGCAAAGCCAAAACTCAAGCTTTTAAGACTCCATGGCAAGGTCACCCGCTCCAGGCTTTGGTCGAATTCCTCGCCAAAACTCAAGCTTTGAAGACTCCATGGCAAGGTCACCCGCTCCAGGCTTTGGTTGAAGGCATCGCCAAAACTCAAGCTTTTAAGACTCCATGGCAAGGTCACCCGCTCCAGGCTGTGGTTGAAATCATGGCCAAAACTCAAGCTTTGAAGGCTCCATGGCAAGGTCACCCGCTCCAGGCTTTGGTTGAACTCAACGCCAAAACTCAAGCTTTCAAGCCTCCATGGAAGGGTCACCCCCTTCAGGCTATGGTTGAACGCAAAGCCAAAACTCAAGCTTTTAAGACTCCATGGCAAGGTCACCCGCTCCAGGCTTTGGTCGAATTCCTCGCCAAAACTCAAGCTTTGAAGACTCGATGGCAAGGTCACCCACTCCAGGCTGTGGTTGAAGTCAGGGTCAAAAGCCATACTTGCAAGGCTGCTGGGGAGATGATGCAAATATTCTGGGTGGATGTCTCCTTGAAGATGTGTAACACCCTCCAGAGCAAACTCTCTCTCACAATTTAGGAGCTCGGAGGCATAGCCAAAGACATAAAGCCATGCTGTATACACATTGGTTGGTATGTAGGTGCAGGACAGCATTGCGGATTTTTCAGCAATTCCTTGCTCTGCCAAGTTTTCATCCAATTTCAGCTGTCCATTTACATGATGCACGACGAGCTTGGCGCCTGGTTTGCATGGAAGCTTCTCTGACACCAACCTGCGCAGGTCAGACCCAAGCATGGAGCGACTGACGCTGAACGTAATCCCTTCTCCAGTCAAGCACCGCACCTGAAGCTCGACCTCATCAGTTTCATCTGCTGCACCTTCGTCAGTAAACGATGGGTCCACGTGATTAGCCATACTGCGCACCGGACATGCGCAAAAAAGAAGACACTCACCACTGCGAGTGTAGCCGAAAGCTCTTCACAAAAAGAAACGGGTACAACAGTGACCTTCTGTGATATCCGATGCAGAATAAACACTGTTGACTATGTCCATATGCTACATATTGCCACGCGATTTTTGAGGGCTTCATGTTCGTTTCAGGGCCGCCTGATGAGATGCAATCAAAATGCACTGATCCTAAAAATAATGGTTCCTATTGACATGCGGGGGTAGGTAAAATCACCAAGCATGAAATCGTATCGATATTGAATGATATTGAGATATTTGGAGATATTGTCACACTTTGGAACTCGCACATTTTGACAGTATCAGCATGGTTCAGGCGTCCCACAGTGGATAAAGCATGGCGCTTTATGGTCCCAACAAGTCCGGACAGCACGTAGATGTTCACCAGCACGTTGATACTTGATGAAACATGTGATTTGCAAATTTCGAAAGGTCTTCAAAGTGGCTTGTTCATTTTCTGACTGGGTAAAGCCTTGATTAATTTTTGTTTTACATAATTTGGCCAACCAAACAATAGATACCATCTTTGTAGTTACTCCCGAATGGTACACCTTGGAATGTCTTTTGCATGCGAGTCCACAAGAATCCCTTCCCCAAAATATTGCAGCAATTATATATCCCCAATCATGGGCCCGAAAATGAATCATGTGGCTAAGACTTCATGTCATTTTTACCACAAAAATGACTGGGAATGGGTGGCACACATACCATCATACCATCTATATATTTATGGTGATGACTGGGGGATTACCAACATTGCAATATGATCCCAATACACTTCACCAGGATCATCCAGGATCCACCAGGTGGTTTTTATGGGCGCCTTATCGATGCCGTCTCGAAGTTCTGTGACGGTCAGGAAGCCATCGCCGTTGGCATCTAAGGCTTTGAAGATTTCCCGTAAGTCCTTAGGCCGTGATTTTCATTTGGAGAAATAGATATATACATACGTATATATTATATATATTATATGTATATTATACATATAATATATATATATATATATATTATACATAAATAATAAATTTAGATATATGAGGATCATTGAGGATCATCCCAGTACTTTGTTACACCAGTGGTTAGTCACCAGATTGATCACCTGCACATGTCCTGGGCCGAGTCTCCGCGATCTCGGACTCACTCATCTGCCCCGCGATGATGTTCAGCGCGGCCTTTTTCAACTTGTTCTTGGACCTGGCACCGTGGAGCCAAGCGAGACATCCCCGGGAGATTTAGACTATTTTGCCATTAAGTAGCCCCTTGGCAATTGAACATAGCTATGGAACATTGCACATTTATGGATGATTGAAATGATTTACCTATATTCAATATTGTGTTATGACCCCATGTAAACAAAGAAAGTTGATTTTAGCAAAAAAAACACAATCAAAAACAGAATAACCAAAAAAACAACTCGACAGGAAGAGTCACCAGAAAAAAAAAAATAATAAATAAAATTAAAAACAAAAACAAAACCTGTATTTTCCTCAGTTGATTTTTCTTGTTTTTCTTGTTGGCGTGTTGCTTTCTTTCTGTTTTTTCTTGTTTTGTGTTTGTTTTTTCCTTGATTTTGGTTTTCTGGTTTGTTTTTTGGTTTGCTCAGGTTTTTTTTCTTTGAATCCCTATATTCTCTGTGCTGCTGGACTCATAAATATTGTCTGTGATTTTCTATATGTTAAATTACCAGAAGTTACCTCAACTGTCAAGTCAGCGCCAATTTGTGCGCACCAAAAATATGATCAGTTTCCATGAATTTCGGGGTACATCATGTTCGAACGAACCTATTTTCTTCCGAACATACATGAAACTATCACAGCCTCCCATAAGTTTTCCCATCCCCCAAACATCCCCAAACCATCCCCATTTCCAACCAACCAACCCAGGTACAAGAGGGGTAAATGGGATAACTATAGTAACTATAGAAGTAACATAACCCATTTACCCATCTTTACCTCCTGTTTTCGGCCCCCAGGGTCCCATCATGTCCCATCATGTCCCATCCCACTGGACCTGAAACTCTTCAAGTTGTGGACGATTCGATCCTGTAGACTGATATTCTCTGCCTTTGGTGCTCGATCTTTGATCCAGGTATCCTGCAGGGCTTGTTCCGCAGTGTACCTGAGAAGTTGCCCCACCGGAAGGTACGGAAGGTCCAGGTGGTGAAAATGTGAGTTGCAAGACGGACATTCAACAAATTGATGATCATTTCCATACTAATGTAATCTAATGTATTGGGTAATTATATGGTATATGGTATAAAATCTTATATAATGTGTAGTGATGTAGTGTGTATATATTCATCAAGAACCACTTGTCCAAATCATTTCCCATACGGCTTCTTCAGTCGCACCTGAGCTCAGGCTCAAACTTCAAAAGCATTCCAATCAGTTTCTTTGCATCCTGGGAAGTGCGTATGTTTTTGGGGCCATAATAAAGGGGATCATATTAGGTTGAAAATATATCAATTAAGATATCCATTAGATCACCATCAACATGTTCAATTGTTTCGGGGCGTGCCGCAAAAATAATGAAAGAACATAACATAAAATAACAAGTTCCCCAGTCAGGGTGGATAAAATGCCGATGGGAAAATGAACAATCATTAATTCAGTAAATCCAAGAATCTTGTGAGATATGCCTCCAATACTTCGGCTCAAACTGATATGTGCCTTTTCGCACTTTGCTCAGCACTTCCTGATCCGTCTTGCCATAGAAGGGCGGGTAGCCACCTGAATACGCGTGCTGTGCGCTTGCACTTCTTCAAACGTTTGACAAGTTTGACTGACGTGAGGAAAACATGCCCCAGTTGCCATTTCCCAGCAACCATTGCATAGGACAGACTTTGGAGTCAAAATTCATAGCAGTTACGCGTTGCTACCCCTTGAAAGAAGATGCGGGCAGGGGTTGTTCCGCCACTTTGGGAAATGAAGCAGAAAGAAACAGTTGAAACTACCTAACAGCGTACTCTTCCTTTGTCTGGATTTGCTGAAAGATAGGATGGGAGGCCAGGCCCATCAACATCAAAAAAATTACAGGGCAGGCTATTATTTATCGTCACATATGGGATGGGACAATGTGTCTATATATGCTATGACATGCTGTGCATGTATACATATAATCATAAATATACATCTACCATATGAAGTTGTCTGAACGTATAAATCCGCTGGTTGATCATGGGTGAAGCCCATTTTCAGTCACCTACCTTGGAAGTTTTCGCAAACTGCAAACTGTCACCGATTATTGGGGATGGTGAGCTTTGTATATGTTCTCCATGTCCCCATAAACAATTCCAGTATTCCATCCTATAGTATATCAGTATATCAGTGTGTATATATATATATAAATATCAGTATATTACCCCAATTTGATCGGGGTTTTCTGTGGGTTTTCCCAGCTCGAAAGTTGAGTTCCGAGGTGCAAAGCATGGTGTACATAATGACTCCGCAGCTCCAAAGATCGCAAGAACTGTCGTACTTGCCTCGCTTCCAAGGGCTTTGACGCTATGACAAGGTGTCGTGTGGGGATCCAATGCCAGTTCGGATGCTATTTCTATTGGATCCAAGTGCAGTGACCCTGAAAACCCGCAGGATGTGGTGCCGAAATGCCTGCAATAGATGTCCTAAGATATTCCCTTCAGATTCGAAAATCTCAATGCACATGATATAATCTTCCTGCATGGAATTTTTGGTCTTTGCCTGAAAATGGGCGAATCCACTGGTGATCATCATTAGAATTAACGTGGGAAACCTAGTAAAAACTTACCATTTGGGATGGTGTGCAGAATCCATTTATGGATATTTACAATGATTTTGGGGATGGTTTATTAATCTTATCATCATTGTCATTATCAAGGGTTTTTTGGTGTGCCACATGATCCTTCTCAACATTGGTCATCTTGAGGGGTAAGCCATGGCTGCTCAGATCTGTCCGGCCTTGCAACACTTGTGGAGCTACGTAGTACGGTGTGCCCGCCTTGGTGCTCATCGGAACCTGCAGGGAGAAGCGATCGCTGCATAGCGATCGAAGCAGCCCTGAACTGTGTCAAACAGGGCAATAATGCAATAGTAGTGGCTTTTCTGTAGCAATAGTGGTGGCATAATGGGATAAAACATGATCAAACTTCAGTGACTTCGTCGTCTCTTTGAGTCTTCCGTTTCAGTTCCTGTGGCCGTACAGCATCCCGTGGATATCAGCCTGCTGCATCCTGACCCTGACCTATAAGTTGTCCATTGATCCAGGTGGCCCCTTGGTCGAAGCATTTGGACAAACCAAAGTCAATGATCTTCAGCAGGGTGTTGGCAATGGGCCCTTTGGTCCTCAGCTCTGCCTTTTTTTGGGCAGGAATAAGGGCTGGAGGGGTGAAGATGGCCGTCTGAAATCTCCCAAAACCCATTGAATCATTGATCATGTCCAAACAATATCACTTGGCTTTGAGCCTTAGATCAGTTTCAAGACCAACGGCCATACGGCGTGGGAAAGGCATGGTTAAAGATTCTCTCTTCTCAAAAACAAATGGGATCACAATTGAGTGACCACTCTCAGTTCGTCCAACCAATTCACCGACCCAGCGCCTCCAGAGGTTTTGCCCAGACACAAGTCCGCAATGTTAAGGGTATAGACACATCTTAAGACAGACCCAGACATCAGACTGTTGATTATACTTATACTACCATCGTATCCCATGAAATATCTCGCTACAAGTTCTTGATTTTTCCACCCCCATCACTTTGTTGGTTCAGGGGGGCAAAGTTGCCTAAGTAGAGGCAAAATCCCCAATTTCCCTTCCCCACTTTCACTTGTGGCAATGAGTTCCCTATCCCCATGTACCATGGTTAAACCATGTTAAACAAATATATGGGGATGGGCTAAAACCTACTATTACATACTATTACCATATCTGGGTGGAACAACATGGAATAACCATCCATTTTCCACAGCTAAAATATAGGGTACCTGGGGCACCAGAGTTCGCCAGGCATCAGGAAGAGGAAGTTTTCAGGTTTGAGATCCCGGTGGCAGACCAGACGCTTATGCCTTGGAGTCTAGAAGTAGCTGGAGGCTCAAAAAAATGTCACTCAATGGAAATGAAATTCGAAATGACCAACCCATCAATACCAATCAGACAGAAAAACAGAGTGATCAGAAAGCCTCAGCTTAAACAGTGTTGATCCAAACACCCAAAGTACGTTTGGGGGCTTTGGATAAGGTAAATATAAAGGTCACATGACCAATTTACTGATCTACCCCCCAAAAAGTGGAGATCATTTACCATATTTCTTTTTCCCCACCCACCCAAGTTTTTTCCCCACCCACCATCATTTCGCTATGTCCAAGAGGCATGTAGAAGACTGCGCTCAGCATCTGCTGCACCACGATGGCGGCGTCCTTCTCGGTGAACTGTCCCACTTCGATGATGCGATCGAACAACTCACCTCCGGTGCACAGCTCCATCGCCTGGCGAACGGGCGCGATAGCCTGGCAACCGAGAAAATGAGGGGTAAACATAGCACCCAGAAAAATATAGAAAAATGACGCCCATAAAAATGCCTTAAAATTGAGGTGAATCCTATATAGTGCATTATAAATTATAGTGCACTAACATTCATGTGGTCCATGCCATAAGCCATCCATTTACCCTATGACCCTATGACGTACTATGTAAGAGGTATTTAAAAACCACGTCTCCAAACGTTTAGCTGCATTCCTCATCATACCAATATCACAAACCATATCTGGGACAAGGGTCACATGGACTTAAGAGCAATCAACAACTAATTAGTATTATGACTAGCCTTGGGGTCCCTTGGAGTGAGAACAACAAACCCAGACCTCACTTATACCTCACTCTTCGAAGGGAAGCGAGCGGGCCATCTCTTGGCGATCACCACCAAGGTGCCAAATAGATATGTTTTCGATCTTCGAAGGTTTCGAAGAGTTTGATGATATTTGGATGGTCCATTGACTTCATGATCGCCTCAGAAGGCAGCCGAAAAAAGATGGGGAATTTTTTTAGGTGCCTGGATTTAAGTGCTGGGTATATGGGATATTCTCATTGAATAATAACCTGATAACATATCTAAAATGCCATAAGTCAACGTATATGTATATGTATGTATATATATATATATGTGTGTGTGTGCGTGTGTGCATCTTATATCTTATGGATATATGAATCATGAACGGTATATCATAGATCTTGAAGAAACATAATACAAATATCAAATGCTATATATTATATAACGTCATAAATATATTTAAAAAAAACTAGCCATATCTATTAATGAGAATCCAAAGGCTACGCCTGGCGCTCCAACAACCGCTCTCCTTTTTTGCCCAGTCACAATTTCCTGCTGGAAGCGGACCACATGCTTCCTGGGCAGAGAGCCAACAAACCCTTGGATTCCCCGGTGGAAGCAAGGGGATCAAGGAGGATGGAAAGATCTGAGAATCTGGGGGCTTGAAACCTATGTGCTGCGCATAAAACAATTGCCATGGATAGACGTTGGTGGCATACACCGAGAGGAGCTCTTCTATCCGATTTTACCAAGCATGGCTGGCTGGAAAACCCTCAATTTACGCTGATGTTCCCGATTCAAACCATTTGGAACGTCTCTGTTTATAAATATCTATGGGTGATTTCCCAGCCATGTTTGGTTTCCGGAGGGCTCGGAGGGTATACTAATTCCACACATCCTTCCAGCTGCCAAGAGTCATGTTGGCCTTGGACATGGTCTTGATGGCACGCTGCGCTTTCGTGCTATTGTGGGTGCCGATGGCTACCTGATGGATGCTAGTTGGGTCGACCAATTGATTGAGGGCAAAAATACTTGGCGGTTCACCCCAGTCGGTAAGTTGATTGTAAGACCAGCTATAACTGGCCCAATGTTACTTGCCCTGCTTGTAACTGGGACTATACTTGATCCACCCATGGGGAAAAACAAACATCATACCACTGAAACCGGCAATAAGCGACTGAGCCGTAGGTTCCCTCGCCAATCTTCGAAGACTGCAACGTGTACATTGTCTGGATGTCCCCAGCATGACTCCTCAGTGGGTGCCAGACTTGCACGCAGGTCGTTTGACTCCGGAAGCCTGCTGCACATCCAAATAATGAGTTGAATGGATGGAATGCAAGCCCGGTTCACTCGTGTGTAATATTTAAAAACACATATTTATATATATATACACATGGGATACACACACACCCACACATATATATATATGTATATATAACAATTAAGATACTTAAGATTAAAACATCTATGATGCATGTAATATAACATATGTATATAATATATATATATATTGGATTGCGCATGCATGTCATATATTGTCATATCATGTTTTGTTCTGGATGTAGCCTTTGGCCCACCGTCCATCCTCAACGACGCCACGATGAATCGTGACTAACATAGCCATGGAAAATCCATGAAATTTTTATGGAGGTTTCTAGCTGGGCAAATCATCTATTTCTATGGGCCATCCATACCATGGCTATGTTAAATAACCAGAGGGTAATCCAACAGAACTGTGAAAATTACACTTTTTAAACTCAAAACATCTACAAAGTTTAAATGACTTATCTCTGCATGAATATATTAACATATAAACCATCACTATCACCAATATTGCCATACATGGACATGGGTGGTCTAATTGCCATCCCCAAACGCTAGGTCTTTTTTTTTGGTTTTTACCACCAGGCCAAATCCCTCGGGGTTCAAGAGCAGACGGGAATCCTCATGGCCCCTGCGTCCAAGTGCGTTCAAGAGGCACAATGAGTTTACCTCTGGCAAAACTATCCGCTTTCTGGTTATTTCTCTGTTCCTCAGACTCAAGAAAAGGTGAACCAAAGGTGAACCGGGTTTTGCCAAGAAAAGGAAAACAATGTTAACATGTTAACAATACCAGCCATGAAAATGCTGCATAGTTGAAAGCAGCAACCATGTAGCAAATGATTTGTAATTTATTTATCGAATATTCATCAGCCTGAAACCCTCTGAAGATCTCTAGATCAATAGCCTGGTATACCCTGGCCAGATCCAAGGGATTCCAATGGCATGCTAGAACCCTGCCATGTGGCTGTGGGTCCACTGATTGAGCCTACCTATCGGATCTATCGCTTTCTCATGTCCAATTTAAATTGTCATGGAATTGTCCAAGGGATTCCAAGGGAAACTTCCGCTTAGTCAGAGCGACTAAGATCACTTCATGGGCAGCAGCCACGTGTTTCTTTGGCGCGGAATTCGCGGGCTCATGGACAATCACGTGCCGCTGGATGTCCTGTTTTCCTGCCGGATCAAGCACATGTCATGTCCGGGGAAAGCATTTTGGGGGTAACCAGGATTCCTGGGTGCGAGCACATCTCGAAGTAGAAGCACGCGGCCGCCAACCCAAGTTTTTGGAGATATTTGGCCGCTTTCATCCTAAATCTCACCCCCCAAAATTACGGCGGGTCCGCGAGTATTGCTTCTCTGGCGCACCATCTTTCCAAAGAAGTTTACTGGTGATACTGGTGATATTTTTCCATTGCCAGGTATGATTGACAAAGGCGGCCACCTTGATTCCATCAAATCAATTTTCCAAACTTCTAAAGGGCGACGTGCAAAAGGCCATCAAATCCCAAACGGAGGGTCCAAAACTTGGAAACGCATTTTAGTACCCTGCCTATGCATGCACCCATGGTTTTTGGCGGCCCTGCGCTCTTGTGTCGCAGGTGGATACGTTTATCCAACTTTTTCGTAGGGCCAGCAGAGCCAGGGACTGCGGGAGACCGGGCTTTCATCCAATCCCATCAAGATTGATGGCTCAAATCAATTCATCATAAAAAAGCATTTTAGTTATACCAATATATGCCACCCAAAGAAAAGGCAAAACTCATTGGAAGCTTGGGTTTCCAAAATAGCTATGGAACATAGCCCATTTATAGATGGTTTACCTATGAACATCTCCATTAAAAATGATTTACACAAGATTTCCAACTTAAAACCCATTAAATCACATGTTTATATATGTTTATCACATTTTCCCCATAATTAGTTGCTCTTTTGTATATATTTTCTATTATTTTCTATCGCAAACTATGCAAAAACCAGGGGGTACTTGAGGCTGCACATCACGCCCAAGCCAGGTTTGGGACTCGGTATCTCGGCCCTGAGTTGTTCCACCAAATCCTTGGGAGTTGACCATAGTTGACCTTTCAATGAACTGGGCTTCTGAATTTGATTGGCTGTTATGGCTGTGATTGGTGTTTTTTTCTGTTCGGGCATGTTTACTTGCCAAGTTTTTGGTTCACGTCTAAGGGTGGTGCCAAGCTCGATTGGAGCGTCACGAAGTCTTGCTGCTGGTCCAGCTGCAGATTTAGCCTAAGCTATCTTCATCACAGGTCACAAGTTTCCTGAAGTTTCTTGTGGGTCATCAAGTGGTTACCAGAAAAAGTGCGCCTGTAACTTCCCGATGCTTCCCTGCCATCAACTGGTCCGAAAGAGTGTGCAGACCGCAGCGACAATGGGATGATTGAGGTATGCCCCCATGCTGTCTACCCAGTGGGTACGACAGGAAGTAATATGGCGACAATGCCGATGGATGCTGATTGCAGTGGAGGATTTCCAAATATATAATTTGAATTAATTTGATTCCTTGGGGATTGCCCGGGGGTTCCTGCAGGACTGCCGCTGTTTTCTTCCCTCTTTGATCGGTGACAAGCACTGATGTCCCATGCGGCAAAACACTTGCAACAGGGCCACGTGCCTTTCACCCTCTAAACGTTATCATTCCATGCATACGTAGGACTAGCATTAGGCCTTTGTGAGACCACCACTCCGTGCCACTTTGGTCCTCGTGGACTTCGCCATGGACGTCATGCATAGGGCAGTCCATTCCAAAAGGCTGTGGCTGCGCGATTGACATCACCATCACAGCGGCTCAGCAGGCCATGCAGCGTTTGATCGGCGGGGCGAGGGCCCACCTTCTGACGCAGCTGCTTTATGGCCAGGCGCCGCTTGGATTTGGCTTCCTCCACCTCCATTGGGAAGTCAGAATGCAGGCTTGAAACATGTTGAAACCCTGATTGTTTGGCACATGTTCACTCCATCCAAGTCAGAGATATAAGGAAAACATGGGTTTTGCCGCACGAATTGCTGCATGACATGGCACCAATGGACCCACAAATTTGAGATAACAGTGTGCACACACACACACATTCCACATATACATACATACAATTACATACATGCACAATATGTATATATAATATATATATATATATTAATATATAACTATAATATACATATGCATATATACATATACACGGGGATGCGTGGGCGTGTTTCAAAAAATGGAGATGTGCGTGATTATGTGTGTAAATTGAATTGTTGAAAGGTGGACATGATTAACGAACGGCTTCAAACAAACCCACATACGGACGGGGACTGGAACCTGATAGCTGGCTGTATCTGTGCAATGATATTGTCAGTCGATGTCAACGCAGTAAGCGAGGGCAAGGAGGGATATCATAATGCCTGCTACCCTGAGTCTCTCAAATAAGTAAATTTACTCATACAAGGATTTACGTATATTTACTTTTACTAGTAAAAAAAAATCGGTGGAAATTTAGGCAATTTTTTACATTTACATTTTACCTAAATTGTTACTTATTAACCTAAATTGACTTACTAATATACCTAATTTTTTAGCTTGTTTTTTTCATGATATTTTGCATGGGTTTTTCTTGCAAAAGTTTCCATTTTTTTCAGAACTGCAATATGGAATGCTATTTTCTATTCACTGCCATTGCATCACAGTACTTGAGAGTTGGTTCTTCTACTTGAGTTGCAGTGTTGTTTGTTCTGTTCATGTGGGCTTTGCAAGTGCATGCATGTATGTGATCACTTTGGGATACTTATGATCATTAGCACTTGAGAGATACCTTGAGAGTCACATTGAGAGTTACCTGGTGACATGTTGACAAATCTGGAATGACAAATTGACGAACCTAAATTCTTAACCTAAAGTAAATCCAAGGAAAATGTAAATTTACATAAATTTACTAATTTGGGAGACTCAGGGTACAGTTGGCCACAATGGGCATAGGGGTGAGCAACATGGAGCAATGATGAGCAATGAATACTTCCCAAGTATGTATATTATTATATGTATATTAATATAATTGGAAATTCCCCCCAAAGCAACATCTTCAAGTTATAAACTGCACCCAAGGATGCCCAATTTAAAACTCACCACTTCACTTCAAGCGATCCAGCCTGTCGCGCTTCAGCCAGTGCCCTCATTTGTGCCCTCAGCAGTTCGCGATGCTGCTCCCGCTCATCAGATAAAGCAGAGCCACACTCTGATCCCGCTGAGGCTGCGGAGGCAGAGGCTCGGGTGGGGATTGGCAGGGTCTCCAACTCCCCAAAGAAACGAGCCGGCAGAGGCGACTCCACTAGTGGCGGAACGATCTGTTCCAAAATAGCCTTGCCCTCCAACCGTCCTTCTGTCAACTGCTGCGGCTCCATTCTTTTCGAGAGCCCATCAGCCTCATCATCAGACTTTCTGGCTTCATCTCTGGGTCCTTTGGGGCTCAGCAGCTCCATCAAAATCTTCCCATCTGCTTTCCCCTCCTCTTGAGGCACCAAGCCAGGTGCGGCTTCAGGGTCCGGCTCCGCCTTTCCCAAGGCCTCATCATCACTGCTACTGACATCCACCAGGGGTGAGGTGCTGGAGGAAGCCGCCACCTGAGACAAGGCCACAGCCAAGTGACGCGCAGGACCCTGCGGCTTGGCTTTCACAGGCTGTGTCTGTTCCTGCTGCCGCTGCTCAGCTAATTTCTTCATGGTCTCCCGAAGCTCCTCCTTGTGGGCCTTGCCTTCGGCTTCACGTTTTGCCTGGCGCTTCTTGCTCTCCACCTGGCGCTTGTGGAGACGCCACTGCTTTTGGATGCTGCGCGCGGCTTGGGGTTCGATGTGACCACGAACTCCGTCGCGCATCTGCTCCAGGAGGACATCCATGGCCTTAGGCATGGCAGCTGTCATGGCTTTCGGCGTGGAGTGAAAACAAATGAAAACTATTGAAATCCAAACCATAAAAGCAGCAAGGTGACCCACTAAAAGTCCTTTGATGCTGCCCAGTGGCGCGGAGGGTCTTGACCCGCGCTATCTTGAACTCTCCTCGCTTTTCCAACCTGTTCTGGGAACTTAAGGCCTGGAACAGCACGGACTTCAAGCTCTTGACCGTCAGGCAGGTGACGTCTGTCTCGACTGCCTGCAGCTGGAGACTGATCTGAAAGGAAAACACATTCACCATCACCACCCTACGAAAGGAAAAAAACAGTGGGTGAGCTATACAAACATCGCAAACATGATCGAGCCATATGAACATGGCTTTGCTGTGCGCTTCTTAAGAGCACCTGGAGAGCTGGCAAATGACAAGACTACAAGGTGATCGGCATAGCCACCCTTTTGAGGGTAGCCTGCTGGTTATATCTCCCGTTTCTGTTTCATGGAAGTTGTTTTTCCTAGCTTGGTTTGCCCCATTCGCCAATACTGGAGAACCACACCATCGACCGTGACAACAACAGTTTGTCACAACAGGGATGCAATTATCTTCCTTGAAACAGGGATGGAAAACAATGGAAAACATTAAACAGCCTAACGAATCCACAGACCAGAAACTGCAAATTCGAAAAGGCGTATGTTTCGCATGTTTCTTGGCCCATAGCCCATTCGCCATTCAATGACCGGTATGTCCACTCCCCCTGTTGGATGATCCTATTTTCTGATATGTTCTGTGCAATTTAACTTTGCCCAATAGCCATTGAAATCCCGTTGTGGGGTCGGTTCAAATCCGCAAAAAATATGCTATTAATTATGCAGTTGTTTATTGCTGGTTGTTCTAGCCTTGCATTAAAAGTCGGACGTGTCTGTCTTGAATCTTCAACACAATTATTGATTGAGATTAATTATCATAAATTATCATCTATATAAATTATGTTTTGGTTCTTTCTTGCATTGTCACTATCATACATCATTGGTGGATTATCATGATCATATGATATCATCTGACATCATTGATTTAGATGAATAATATCATCATTGTCAAGTGTTGTTCCCAAGTTAATTTGAATTTTTCGTTGTTGGGAGCATCGTATTATCAAATATTCTAATACTTATCATCCCTATCATGAATGATCATGAAATATCATCCCTATCTTAGTCGTTCCCAAGTTCCACCAAGTGTTCCGAGTTCCCAAACTCTGAGGCCCGCCTGAGACTTCTTCTTCTTTTCTGCTTTGGCCCCGCGCTCTCCACGCTCTCGTTTCGTGACCTCCTCTCTCTTGGGCAGCACATCCTTCACGTGGGTGACCTGCAGAGCCGGGGCCGTGACCTCGCTGAATTGAGGCAAAAAAAACGAGGTGCAAAGTGATCCTATAGCCAATACCATCTAGAAGATTTAGATGCCTTAGAATATCTTAGGTATTGATTTTACCACATGATAATATGTTACACCCAAAAACATCAAGGAAGGTGTGAGCACTGAGATGGAGTTTGAGGTAAACTGAACCCGTTGTTGCAGATTTTGGAGGCCGTCGTCTTGGAGAAAGGTTGGAGGCATTCTTGGGGCTGTTGGTAGGTACTCCTCCTCTATGTCACAAAATGTGGGTATCGCAAAATCCTCCAAAATTAGACTATTTTTGTACTGAAACCCATGGTGATTTGGGGATCCCCTATTTTAAGAAACCCCCATATGTATCCATATGTTGATCTTTGGTAATAAGCTTTCTCGCCAGGTTACCCCCTTTGTGCATTTATAGGACCGCCAAAATCAATATGTTTGTGCAAGTTTGGGCATGTCTTTGGATCTTTGGCAAATGGGCACCCACAAATTCGTTGGGAAAATTGCAACTCGAGCGGTTCCCAAGTAGTGCCCTTTGGTTTTGTTTATCCGTCCCAACCAGCTGGAAGTTGTTTCCCACATCCTGCCTTGAAGCCCAGGCATTCCTTGGCAGACTTTGAGGGTACAGGTGGCACTGAAACACGTATCTACGGTATGTGTATATCAAATGATGTCAATATGCACGTGCGCCTACCTACCTACCTACCTGCCTGCCTGCCTGCCTGCCTACCTGCCTACCTACCTACCTACACACATACACACATACACACATACACACACACACACCTACCTACCTACCTACCCACCCTACCTACCTACCCACCCACCCACCTACCTACCTACACACACACACACGCGCGCGTACGCGTACGTGTGCAGCGCACCCAGATTCACAAGATCTTAATCTTATCATATCCGACGTATCACTTTGAGAAGGGGCTCTTACATCTTTCCTTTCAGCTGAGTTGCGCCCTTCGAAGGCATGGTCAGGCGCATCTGGAGCATGCTCGATGCTGGATAGACGCAGCTCTCTTTGGGCTCCTGTTCGCTGGTGGCGGAGGATTGTTTCAGGTCGGTGAGATGAGGCTCATCCCCCAAGCCCGGTGCCGGTGCTTCAACCTCTTCCACTTGCCCTTCCGTGTCCGCTGGAAGCTGGGCATCATCCACTGACTCACCCACTGCTTCAGCGGGGCCTGCGAGGGTTGGGTAGGAGACTGGGTCTTGAACCACTGGATCCACTGGATCCACTGGGCCCGGCTCATCCGTTGGCACCTCAATTTCCTTCTCGATCTTGGCTGGTTCATAGTCTTCATGATCATGCCTTTCTTCCAGCTGCTGCACCGGCTCCACTGGCATCTGGCTTTCTTGAAGCTCCTCCTCTGCTTGGCACTCCGGAGCATCTTGTCCCACCACACCTCGGGCCAGTGGATCTGAATCCCCCTCCTTGGAAGCCTCCATTGTCTCGGTCTGCTCCATGCCATCCGTGCCAGGGCCATCAGCCACTTCGGCTTGGGAAGGACCTGGACCCGGTGCCTGACTCTTCAACTTTTCATAGATCAGGTCCGACAAGGTCTTCCCGGCCATGGTGTTTGGCCCAGCTGCATGTGCCTGGAAGGCAGGCACTTCCGCTTGGAGGGACCGCTGGAAGTGGGGACGTGGCGGTGCGGGCAGGTACATCTCCGGACTGTCCATCGGGTAACGCTTTGGCTCCATGGCTGGACCAGAAACTAAGCGGCGAAGCCGAAGTGGACGATATTGATGAGAGCCTGGTGGCCTGGTTGAAAATTGTTTGCAATTCTTAAGTGGCATTTTTTTGTAGATATGGATCATGTCCGATATACCTGCAGGTGGTTGCTGTTAGAAAGTGTCCGGCTTGGATTATGCAAGGGCCAGCAGTTGCCCTCGAGCTAGCGCACCAACTTCCTACACCACACTGAGCGGTGGAACTACTAGCAGGCTCATCGTTGTGCGCCCGCTTGAGGAAACGGTTGATTTCAATGCAGTGCATCATTGTGAGTTCAACATCATGGGTGCGTAAGTATGTTTGATCTTCACTACATCATATTCGTATGTTTCATGTTTACACCTTTTCCGAAGCACCTGGAGTGCCTAGGCAGGTTGAATCAACACCTCAATTGCCTGCAACAAAAAAATAAATAGGCCAGACAGCCGAAGCAGGCTCTGCTGCAAATGACCCCACCACCAGTGCCAATCATGACTCCAAGCCTAATCCGATGAAACCCGCTACTACACCCCCGAGTCTTGGGATGTGTACTTTTTGAGAGGATCACCTCCCCGAAGGTTAGAAACATAATCAGTACGCATCAGTAGGCATTGGTCTTATCAATTTGTTTTTTGCAAGTGATTTTCCATGATTTTCCACCAGCTTCTTCTCTACCATTCCTTTCACCATTCCGGCCCAAGTTTCTACTTTCAATGCCTACCAGTGTCCGTATGTGTTCACACCTTTCCACCATGTTTCTATACCACGTTTCTATACAATTTTCCATAATCGTCCAGCATGTTCCATTCCACATTGAAAGAATGTGTTCCACATTCTTCCACCATGGAGCATGGAGTTGCCCTGGGACCTTGGGACCTTGGGACCTTGGGACCTTGGGACCTTGGGGCCCTGGCTGCTCGCGATCTTGAATTGCCTTGGCCAAGACACTGTGGAGCTCCTGGCTCGTCAGTGACCACCATTGACCACCTGGATATTTCTAACATGTGAACTGGGAACATGCCAGCCATCATGGGGATGTTAGCCAGCATGTTCATGGATCTAATGGGAAGATATGTCTGGTGAATATGGTTTATGGCCATCCCATCCCAGCATTATCAGGAAATCCTATATATATATATACAAATAATTTGGGGTTAGTGCGTGTTGTTTAGACAAGATACATGACATACCAAATTCCATGATAGTTACAAAGAACTGAAACAGTGTATACATAATATATATATACATATATATAATTATAGTAGTAATAATAGTAATATGGTAATAATAATGATAGTAATAATAATTAAAAAAACACAAGTAGTAATAATGATGATAGCAATAATGATGATAATAATGATAATAATCATACTATATATATATATATATATGTATAATGGATTGGTTTAAGGCAGAAAGTTGACAGGAAGCCTACATGCCTATCTTTTGGTTTTCCCTTTGTCCTTCCACATCTATCGTAGACCATTTTCTTTATATAGTGGCGATCATCGGAGCCACAGGTGTGGCACCATCCTACAGAAAGAAGACATTTCCCAATGGGCCAAGGTTCCTTTTGTGGCACCCAGACTGGATGGTTTGGCAAGAAATTGGAATTGCTTACAACTGTGTGCTTTCTGAGGGGGTCCTTGTTGAACCCACAATGCTAACGTGAATACTAAGCCCTGGCTGATGAATCAGTGTGCATCTCCAAAAAGTGACAATGATAGATTGTTCTCAAACCGGTACCAACCCCCCAATTTAAGGAAATTAGAGATGTAGTAGTACCTTCAGCAAGCTAACATATATCGATGGCAGCCATGGAAAATCATCATGTTCAAGAAGTAGAACATATATATATAAATGGGCCATTTGGATGATACCCTTCACATAGTGCTGACCCGAAAAGTCGCAAGACCCATCTAGACCCAGTGCTCTCCTCCACCGAGCGGTTCACACCCTGAAGTCTGAGGGCCTTGTCCAAGGCCTCAACCAGTCGAGGCTTTGAATCCATTTGTTCTTCCCTTCCGGGTTTGAAAAAATGGGGGATATTGATGCGCCAGAATGGGGAATAGGGATATGAGTTAGATAAGCAAGAAAACATGGATGTGTCTGAAAATGGGGTATGTATACACCCAATAGATGGCTAAGTGTCATAGGGCCTATAGGGAAAATCAGGTTTTTGACGGAATGGGGATGTCCCAATATGTCCCATAAACTTTCAGGTACCAAGCCTCTTTTTTTGTGGTCAGGTTATATCCAGTTACGTGGGGTGGTCATATGGCCCCTGGTCATCCGGTCCAATCATGACTGGGATTCCTTTGAAGGAACAACAAGTCATGCACCCTCACCATGGCACTCATGGCACTCAATCAAAACTGACTATAAGCGGGTGGATTAAAGGGGCAACCGGTTTCCTGCAGATTTTCCGTCATCCAAAGCTGGTAGACCAATGGTATACATGTATGCCTATGACATATTGACAAATATTCCGTATGCATTGTAGAATTAAAACTGCATCAATTTGATCTGATCATGTGACAAATGAACAAGTGAACAGTTGACATCACAACCAGGATCTTGGTATAAGAAAAATCCAGCCGAGTCTGTTGAGCGCTGTGATCTTTTGACAAAAGCTGGACGGGGCGACGGCTCCATGGGTTTAGCATCCGAGCGGCCCAGTGAAGAAATTGAACCAACGATCACTAAAAACAATACCCTCTGGTAAACTAACATAGCTATTGAACATAGCCCATTTATGCCCATTTATGCCATTGATTTGCCTATTCCAAATGGTGATTTTCTATAGCTATGTTAAATTACCGGAGGGTATACGTGGCAAACGGTAAACGTAATAAACCTCCATCAGGGATAGTCAATCACTGGGTTTTTCTTTTCCAGCCGTAGCCTGCTCCGACACCATTGTCAAATCCAAGCATTAGCGCATCATTTAAAGGATTTAAACCTGTCTGGGGATGGCTGCATTCAATATATGACTGTCATCAATCGAGCCTTCCTTCATCACTGGGTCTACCACATCAAAAACACTTGAACGATCTTGAACGACAATCGAAGACACCCTTACACCCCTTTTTAAATGGCTTTCTCTGCTTTCTCTCCTATGATTCAAAAACAAACACAATCACTGGAGTCCAACCTCGTCTCTTTCGCGCATGGTGGAACTTAGTAGGGTCCTACAGCAGCTCACGATGGGACACGGACGCCAACATGCTACAGTAACCCCCTTGATTGCCTCGCAGGAATACTCAAACTAAAGCAACCGTTCACCAATCTGAAACCAGGCGTTTTTGGGATTAATTAAAAACATGAAATACCCAAATCATATTAAATCAATCATTATCACTATAAAATGATGTAAGCCCAACGACAAACCATCCAATTTTACTAGAGTGGGTATCAACCATAAAACGTATGAAACAAATTATAGTTTATGAATGGTGTGTGTGTGTGGCCTTGGTTCTACCCAATTACACTACTAACATCTACTAACAATCATTGATGGTGCCGCCCTCCCGAGGTCCTCAGTGCTTTCAGATCGGATTGTTCCCGGGCCTGCGGCGGAAACCTCCCAAAAGATATCCCAACTCCCCAAAAGTTGGACTGGGATGGCCTTACTTGGATGTTTCCCCAACACCACCCAACTCAGTCAGAGATATCAAACACTCAAAAGCATTCAAAAGCTGTTTCCTACTAAGATGTTTCATTATAAGTTCAACCAGAAATTTTTGGGCACTGCGTTTGCCTCCATGGCTCTACGCTGGGCCGAACACGGCCTAACCGAACTGGAGGAGTGCGTCCCCAATGCCCCCTGTCTTTACTGGATCCGGCCGGACTTCTGGTCTGCTTGTCCCAAGCTATGAGCCCTCCATCCAGTCCCATCCAGGTACAGTAACCTCCGCTTCTTGCAGGCGTCCCTCTCCATTGCTCTTGGCTGCCTGATTGCAGTCAGACTGCATGGGAATTGACGGCACTTGGCTGGTGAAGACTACTTGGGGAATCTTCGGGGCGCATCCCACTTAGTAGGTGGTCTATAGCCCATGTAAAGTTAAGCCCATATGCTGGAGATATTCCACATATATCCCATTCATAAAAATAAAGCACTAGTGTAATATGGCTAATTACTACCTACGGATCGTAACTGGGTCCAACAAATGAGAATATGCATTTGTCTGTTTTAATGGCTAAGAGTCGGCTAAGAGTCCTCATGGAACTGAGCGCAGTCATTCCAGAGAATTCGATGTACTTGGCCTTATGGATTCACTAAAACGTGGATGGACATTTTTTGTCAATGAACCTGTCAGCAGCCGTCAGCACGTTTCCCCCCTTTGCCTCCAACTTCCTCACCTGGCGAGGCTGGAACCAATACATTCAACTCTGATGAAACCTGAGAACCAACCGACCCTGAATCGATTTGAACATACATACGTACGTCTATATGACTAATCCCTTCCTCCTAATACTAAACGCCTCCCCCTATTACTAAACACGGCAGGTAGTTTTTAGTGTTAGGGGGGTATTTAGTATTAGGGAACACTAATACTAAATTAAAACCCTTAATAATAAAAACTAGTTTTTCCGATTTCAAAATCAATTAAATTTCTTTATATAACGCAATTAAGAAAGCTTCCCCCAATATTAAATTAAAACCCTGAATAATAAAAACAAGTTTTTCCGATTTCAAAATCAATTAAATTTCTTTATATAACGCAATTAAAATATTGCCAAAAATTGAATTTCGAGGCTTCCCCCTAATATTAAATTAAAACCCTCAATAATAAAAACGATTTTTTCCGATCTCAAAATCAATTAATTTCTTTATATAACGCAATTAAAATATTGCCAAAAATTGGATTTCGAAGCTTCCCCCCTAATAATAAACACCCCGGGGTTGACTAGTTTTTAGTATTAGGGGGGGAACCCACAAATGGTAGGTTGATTTTTAGATTGTTTTCTAAAGGGGATCAATTATATAAAGTCAAATTGGCCAATCTGACATTTTCAAAAATTGGAGATGGACACTAGTTTTTAGTATTTGGGCGGGGTTTATTTAGTATTAGGAGGAAGGGATTATACAATATTAAGCAAAGAGGACCCCATCATGCGCCCCACGTTCCAGAACCCCATCCTCTTATCACAAATCACAATCCCATAAAACGCGTAACTGATGGAGATATCGTCAGAAAAATGGCACCCAGCAGGATTCCCTCTTTTGAACTACTACAGATCAGGTGACAAGATTTGTACACTGCAACTTCAATGACTGGGCTGGATTCCAAGGAAAAAAGTGCAGACACTGAGACACCTGTTTTGACTTGTTAAGTGCCATTGGTGCCATGTCAAATCCTTTTTTCAAAGCGCCCAATCTGTGGATGTCAAGGCCGGGTCCCAACTTCTCCAGGTACTGGCACCCTGTGGCGCTCCACTTCCAGCTTGGCCGTGAGGTCCAGGATTTCTTCGCGCGCCTTCAGCAGCCTCAGTGGCCAGGATAGGCGGCGGCCGGGTCCGGCCTCTGAAAATAAATTCAAAATGGCTCAATGAACTGAAATCATTCTGTTTGATGGCAACTTGGAAATGGCCAAATACATGGCAACGCCTAATAATCCTCCAGGTATGATCTAATGATCCCAAATTGTGGCAACACATATACCGCTGAGCACCTTGACTCTGCCCTACTCTTGGCCCGATCATTTTCCACCAGACCTTGGCCCGACAAAACGGGGAACATATGGGCTTTCCATCAACGGTGGTACACCAAAAATAGGTGGTTTAGAATGGAAAATCCCATTCAAAAGGATGATTTGGGGGTACCCCCATTCTAGGAAACCTCCATATGAAGTCGGGTTTGAATTGATCTGGCAAATTTATAACAATTCACCGATCTGAAATAAGATAAATAAGGCTATTTTTGGGATAGTTACCCCTATACTAACCATCATTACAGGTCGCAGTAAGGTCGTTATAGTTTGCCCAGATTCATTGAAATGGATGTCGTGGATAGATTTTTTGCCCAACCAAACACCAACTCGCTGCTGGTTTTCACGTGTAGAAAAATGGGAGTCAATGTCAATGGAAATAAAAGTTAGTGGGTATTTCCAAGAATTGTTTATACCCAAATATGTTTATATATATAATATGTATACTATATTTAAACATATGATACATATAATTGTCTATCCGAATTTAAGAGGGAACATGATGAACATGATGATAAACCCATGACCAGCGGCTTCGCATCCCGGACTGGCTCCTATCAGCCAGGTGCTCCCAACAAATCTTCTGTTGCTCCACTTCCACTGAACCCAGTCGCCTCTCCACCTTGGGACAAATCCAACTTCGGGGGAAAAGAACCGTGCGTTCCTGGTGATTTGGAAAAACATTGGGAAATTTAAGAATCAAATTGGGATATATATATATATATATATAGATTGAATAATTTGTTTCATGCATGTCTAGGTTATTTTGAGACATATTGAATATGTCTCGGCCAACCTCGCACCTCAGCCAATGCGTCCTCCGCTTCGTGTCGGAGGCGCTGCTCGACCTGCGGTCGCCGGAGTTCTCGATTCGAGTGGATATTTGATGGGAACCATCCCTATAATAGATATAAAATGAAATACAGTAAATGTTGATACATGTGTAGAGATTCAACCACCCCATCCCCCCATAGAAGGTGAACCATCCGAAAAAAAACATATATAATTCGTCAAGCTTCGCCCTGATCTCCGTCGTTGTTGGTGATTCAGAAACGCAAGAAAACTATACAACTCTGTTAAAACCTTAACCCAAAGATGAGAAATCGGGTCACAGGCCTAAGGTTGGATGAGCCCCCATGATAGTGGGGTGTTGGTATATGTTAGTGGGAGTCTACTCCCAATATGGGATGATAACAATAAAGGAAGGGACAAGGAAAATGGGGACCGAACCAGCCACTGAACGTCTGGGCTACCCTGAGCCCAGCTCTCAGCTAACAGCTGGATCATCTCTGACTCCCCGCCTGGATTTCTTCTTGTAGGAGCATCAGACCTACTCACTATGCCGCCCAAGGCGGTCAAAGGTCAAGTGCATCAAGAGCTTCAAACCCTCCCAACCTCTTACCTCCAACTAGGCTTCAATTGATGCGGATGTAGGTATATACAAAGAAATGGTACTTTGCGACAATAGTACATATACAATTATATAAATATATGTGTGTGTGACTGTGTATATATATATATATACATATATATATATATGTGTGTGTGTGTGCGCGTGTGTGTCCGTGTGTGCTGAATCACTCTCCCTCTCCCTCTCCCTCTCCCTCTCGCTCTCGCTCTCGCTCTCTCTCTCTCTCCATCGCCATGGTGAGCCGCTGAGCACTGTTTTTCCCTCTCTTGCTCTTGCTCTAACGGTGTGAACACAACAGAAGACAACGCTTCAAGAACACATGTCCACTTCTTGAAGGAAGCTCCTGTACCTCCTGTTTGTGGAGCCATCTGCCGCACCGCCTGTTTTTTTTCTGTCGATCTATGCGAGTGAGATGAAAAGTGCCAAGCCCCTGAGCACAAGTTACTCGAAGACTCGCTAGCAAGCTAAACTCCATTCTCCAGCGATTTCTCAAGCGGAACTGCGAAAATCACGCCAAATTCCTTTGGGCCTCAGACTTCAGTCCTGCGATACTCTGCAATTCAAGTTGAAACCGGCCGGATTGCTGAGTAAAGTTGCTCGCAATCTGAATGGCCAGCGTTTCAATCTGAGATTTGTCAAGTGAAGGCGCGCTGGCATCTGGTCTGCTACGTCGGTATGCAGCGAAATCCTTGGAATTTTGTCCAGGGACCAGAATAAATCCGCCGGCCTGCCGGCGTGTTTTGTGGATGTGTTTGTTGCTAATCTTTGTATCATCTTTCATCCTCTGCATCCTCTTCCTTCCTTTTCTTACTCTTCCTCCTCTTGCTCCCCTTCCTCCTCTTGCTCCCCTTCCTCCTCTTCCTTCTCTTTCTCCTCTTTCTCCTCTTGCTTCTCTTCCTCCCCTTTTTCCACTTCCTCCTGTTCCTCATCTTCTTCCTTTTCGTCCTTGTCCTCCGCTTCTCCCTCTCCTTCTTCAGCCTTGTCCCTCCCATCTCCGTCTTGTCTTTCGTTGCTCCATCCAGTCCCAAGATGCTGCATTTCCCGCGTTTTCTGAATATTTTACTGCGTGCTCAAGGCAAGAGTGAGCTCAACACACACAGCTTTTGTGCCAACCAGTTTTACATCATTTCACGTGATCAAGGTGTCACACCAACAGGTTTTTCCATAAACTTGCTTTTGCACAAGCCGGCCAGTTTTTACACAAACAAGTTTATTTTTACACAGACTATACCGCGTGCACAATCTAGCCTTTACACACGCCAACTTTTAAGCTTGTTTACACCAACGAGTTTTTACACAAATATATTATATAGCCTTTACACAAACTGGCTGTTCCACAAACTAGCTTTTACACCAACCAGCTTTTGCACAAACTACACTAGCATTTATGCAAACTAGCTTGGCTCTTGCACAACGCTGTTTTTACACAAAAAGGTTTTTACATAGACTAACTATTACACCTACCAGATTTTGCACCAACTAGTTTTTACACCAACGAGTTTTTACACAAACTAGTCCTTCCACAATCCAGTTTCAGTTTTTACGCCAACAGGCTTTTACACAAACTAGCGTTTACACCAAGAAGCTTTTATATCAACGGGGACAAGTGCTGTATTATTCTATAGGATTCCCTTGGCCCACATCCAGTAGAATAGCCGGATGCTTTTTAAATAAGGAATAAGCCGAGTAGATTCCTCAAATGGCGGATGAACCAATGGGAACAAATCATCAGCAAATCCATATACAACATGAAGCCTTACAGATTCCGTAACGTCGAATTTCAGGACAAAATATGACAACATATATGAACAAATCAATCTCAAGCAAAGCCAAGAATCTTCAAACAACGCCTCAAATTCGGTCTGCTTCTGCGGCACAAAGCGCACTTGATATGAAGATCCTCTGATGGTCCAAACATGTCCAAACGCAATTTCCACAGTGGGATGATTGGTTTCAGTGCGGTAGGGTCGGCCCATGGTCAACGGTCAGCACGCCATGTGTGTGTGTGTGCGTGCGTCGAGCATACAGTAACCTTTCCCTTCACGAAGGATTTTTTGTTATTCCAGGAACCAAACCACCCAAACCAGCAGCCAGCCATTGGTGGATAGAAATCCCCGCCCAATCGAGAAAAGAAACATAATATATGCCCAATCTCCATGAAGCGGTTCCCAACCGCCCTGGGTCCTGATTCTCCACCCTTCATCTTCAACAGCAAGGTGTACTCACGCCCGTCCTGCCCACAAGCTGCGACTGCAACGTGTGTCAACCCCCCTATGTGCACGAAGTATCGTGCAGCCAGTTATCATACCTGAAAGAATGCCTTCAAAATTAGCTCAACAACAGAAACTGATCAAGAATAGACCTGGTATGGATGACACACACGTGATAGACCTCCTGTAAGTCAATCTCAAGTCTTGTCCGCTGCTTCTAGTTCCAGTTGCCTAATAAAAATCACACGCACAAACACCACATCAACACATCAAGACGCCCACCCCAACCATCCCTAACCCCTGTGAGAGGTCCGCATCCAGCACGCCCAACTTTAATCCATCTAGGTCAGAGAAGGACACGGGAAGGACTTTCACCTAAAGAGGATGAGGAGAATGTCTCAAGATTTCCCCATCTACATGGAAAAAAAAGCAGTCTGTGGCTTCATCCAGAGGAGCACCAGTCCAACGATTCAAAAAGTCATCAAATATCTGTTCTTGCGCAGCTTGGATCACCGTCTATTCTTGTCTAAAAAATATGAAAGAGAAAATAAAAGAACCACAACCATCACCAAAATCTTCCAATGGTCACCAAATAGCATCCAGATTCATGCCAGCAAATCCAGCGCTCAACTTGGAAGGATCTAAATTGCCCGTAAACCTGGCAGCGACCGCGGTTGCTACGTCATCAAAGTCAGTTGTTGACCGACGGATCCTTCCCATGCGATTGTCCTCTCATTCCTCTCTCTTAACATTAGGAAAAACTGGCGAATCCAGAGACTGGAAAATTGAAAATATGTTTTTTTTCATTGATGGTGTTCGTTTTTGCTTTCGTTTGCCTCAGTTTTTGCTGGTTTCGTCCGAGGAATGGAGCACACATGACAGATCAACAAGGGCACATGTAAAAGACATGGAGGAACAAATGGGAATGAACATCATGGAAACCAACATGTAAAGACTCATGATATATCAAACGAAAAAAATGAAAAACATATTTCGACGGGCCCCTGTCTGTAGCTCCATTTTTTTCTAATTAACATCATTCATTCATCTCTCTTCAGAACACAAAAGACGCGAATATTAGGCCTGCACTTAGCAGCCAGTGAAACCAGGAATCATTGAGATGAGCCGTAACACCCTTTGCGGGTGTCCATAAATGGGGGCACCCCCTAAATCATCCATATTTTAATAAGATGTTCCATTATAAATCATCAATTTTGGAGTACCCCCATTTTAGGACACCTCCATTTAGCATCATTTAGCACCATGGATGTATACGAGGTACAACGGGCGTTTCCCGGTTTGCCACTACCATCCACTACCCAGGTGAGCCAGGCGCGTGGCTCCCGCCGCGCACGGCTCCAGCGCTGCGGTGGACACGCCACCCCGCACTTGGTCCGTGATGGCGCGCCAACTGGAAAAGCCCCAGTCCGCCGACCTTCGGCAACTGCTGGAACTGTGGATCATACCAGTTTTTTTTAAGACTAGATATAAACAGTAGATAGAAAAATAGATAGATAAATAGATACAGAATGATACAGATAGATAATATATATATATATATTATATATCATTATATATTATATATCATATATTATCATATTATATAATATATCTATGTGTGTCTATAAGATACCATAACATATCATAACTATGCTCAGCTCCAGTTCTGAGATATTCAAGCAGGGAAAGTACGATCTTCATGGTTTTTCTTGGTGATCGCAGAGCTGAGGTGGTTCACCCCAGCAACCTTAAGTGGGTTGTAACATGTTGTAGATTACAACTAAAACATGCTTATAACCACGGTTATCAGTAGGGTAAGCAGTTTTTTTTTGGAGGGTTGTTCAGTTGTTCACCCCATGCCTGGAAAATTGGGCTTGTCCCAAAGAGGGGTACCTCTCAATAATTGACCCTAGTCTAAGTAGTCTATAGCAGTCTCGAGTCATCGGCAAGTGACCCTCCAAGCAAGGGCACGGTGGCAAACTGCCGAGTTTCAGCCAGCACCACCAACGTCCCAGCCGAAAAGGCTGCAGCTGCAACAACTCTGCGAAACGCGGCTGACATGGCAATTTGGTGATGGTTGGCTCACACGAAACTCGTGTTGGCTGTTTTCAAAGACTGAAGCCCAAAAGTTACGCAGGCAAAGTTGCATAGATGTGGTTTAACAAGGTGCCTGATCATCATGACATGATATATGTAACATTACAACCATGGAAGTCAAATTACCGCTACTGCCCCGCTGGAACATGATTTTACACTTCAACATATTTCAAAATCATGGCTTTCCAGCGATATCCCAAAGATGAGTGAGTCTTGGTTATGAGACCAGCTGTACAAAGGGAGGGCACACTCCGTAATCGGACTTAGTGATGGAACATCCCCATTTCTGACCTAGAGATACAAGCAACAAAAAAAGAGACACAATTCACAATTGTAGCAGATTTTCTAACAAGACAGCTGCAATTACCTCAGTGCTTACCCCCTGGTCATTCACTCCTTAGGTGCGCTCGAGTCAGAGTCCAGGTTTCCCGGCAGTGTCGTTCGCGTGCCAACTCCTATGGTTCAAGGCCCATGGCCAGGATCCGGGCCATTGGTTCACCAAAATAAGCCGAAAAACACTGGGGTCTGATGGTTTTCAGACATTGACTATGGATGACTATGGCAAGTTTATGGCAAGTTTCTGCCATTCTCGGATGCCGTTCAGTTGTGAAAATCTAGGGCGTGTACAGTAGCCTCATAGATCTCATGTGATCCCATATGATCTCATATAGACAATTCATATCAATTCATAACAATTCACCATTGAAATCTATGAATATCTATGAGATCTGTGAATTTCATGACCCTTCACCATAGATTGATCTCCATTTCTAGACGATTCTCCCCTTTCTGACATCTCCACGTTTCGAATCTCCACTTTTCAATTTTCGGGGGCTCCTCTTCCAGCCGTGCACGCTCCGTTGCAGCCACGGTTTCCAGGTGATGCCTCGTCACCAAAAGGGGTGCAATGGAGTCACCCAAACTGAGTTTGAAATACCCTCTCGTAATTTAACATAGCTAGTGAAAATGGCCATTATAGTGGATTTTCCCATTAAAAATGGTGATTTTCCATTGCTATGTTAGTTTACCAGAGGGTACCTCAAGTTTGTCAGTTTCTGGACTTCTAATCTCTAAGCAATGGATGATCAAATGGATCTAATTATAAGATATTATAAGCTACTCAAAAATGGATAATCATGGATAGTCACTTATTTAATGGACATAAAATGGGCCTTAAAATCAAATGGATAAATAACAATAGCATTAATAGTCCATTGATGTCCATTGATATGGATTGAAAACTCGTGGGCACAATCCAATGGATAAATGAAGCAAATAACTATAATATATCATATCCAATATTGATGTTTTCTCTCCAGTCACTCCGCGTCACTTCAGATCTGCTATTGTGTGTCCAAGCTGGCCAAGTTGGTCTACCTGCAAGCGACCATCCATCGCGGTTGACGCCCCTTCTTGCTCACAGAGACCGAAACTCTTCGCTTAGCGCTCCATGCAGCCCCTTTAGGGAACAGCTGGATCGTGACTTGAGGATGGGTCACAACTCTGAAAAACGGACAATGCAATGAAACTTATGTGGCAGTGGAAAATCCTTTCTTTTCAGATGGGTGTCCATGGTTTTCCCCTAGAATATGGGAGTTCACCTTTGACCCATAGCCATTTCAGCCCCTGGACGGCACTGCCACAGCTTGCTGGAGGTCCAAAGGTTTGATGACCTTTTTTTGGTTGGTTCACTGGGAGCCACTGGGAGCCCAGGAAAAGGTCAGGTGTCAGGTGGCTTATTCCCAGGCCACTTGGCAACCCTCAGGCCGTCGCAAACTTCACTCGTACCGATCCCATCGGATCAGTAAAAGACCGCCTGCGGCTGGCAGAAGTTGGTTAAATGCGACAAACCTGTGGAAGGTACCTTGTCAACATGACATATTAAAGACCTACCTTTTATCGCAAATGTAGCCGTGCTACATGTCATGCTATCTGCTATTGTTCTATATATGGTTCTTTTCTAATCAACGGCCAAGTGGCATAGTTTAAACCTGTAAGTGACGAAAACGTTCAGAACCTGTCACCTTCTTTCCCCCTGGCATTCCAAATGTTGAACAAGTCTAGTGGTTTCAGCCCCCCAGTCACAACGCTCCTTGTGATCCACCTAGCATCCTCTGCTACCATTTGCCCACAATGATGATGGAACATGCAATATCCTCTGTCTTTATCCACAGTCCGCGCATACCCCTGAAAGTCTACCCTCGTTTCAGTCCCCATTCTTGGGAGCAAACCAGCGCATTTGGACATTGGAGCTCTTGACATAATCATGCATACCCATGAAGGTGAATGTTTCCAAACTCTTGATAACCATTGCCTCATAGGTGCATCCCTGTTTTGTTCTGTACAGGGATTCCCCCCCTGCAGTGATATAGTGACACCCAAGTTGGGTCTTGTGGTTCAACCCATGTGAGTTGGTTGTAGAAGTTGTTTTTCGCAATGTTGTTGGTCCAACACCCGATTCCCGTGCTTCAATTGTGTTTTTAAATGGATTGATTCGCAGTAAGCAAGAAATTGGACGATTTTGGCATCCCGTAAGTTCGGACACCCAAAATTGCGTTCCTACCGCGAAATCATCGATCTAATTTAATATCCATCCATCCGACATACAGAAATGGAAATATGTGGTAATATTTAACAATAGCTATTAAAAAAATGGTCATTTATAGTTGATTTACCAAAGGGTAACCACATATTGTATAGCTAATAATATGTTATAGCTGATAAATGACCATTGATCTGTGATTATAGTGATTGAATCGCCCTTTATAGTTGATTTATAGTTCATTTACCTATTTGTAGTTCATTTACCTATTATGTATGGGTGATTTACCTATAAATCATGGTGATTTTCCACGCAAACTGTCAACGCACGTTTTCGGCCGGGCGCCCCGCCCCAGCGGCTCGACTGTGATCCAGGCGCCGGGGCGCTGGGAGGATATGCAGCCCCCTGATCCCGGGGATCAGGAGGAAGAGCATTCCGTTCTTTAGCCATGTTTATCCATTGTTTATACATATGAGGGTTTCCATAAATGAGGGTACTCCAAAATGGATGGTTTACAGTGGAAAATCCTATAAAAATAGATGACTTGGGGGTACCCCCCCCAATTTAGGACACCTCCATATCTAACATGCTAGCATTAACAATAAGTATGGCTAGATATAAGATCTAACATCGTGAAATCCATATCTAGCCATAGAGCATGGAACATGTTGGCCATGTGTTTGCCATACTTAGCTATTTTGAGCCGTGTGTATCAGCTATCTTTAGACATGTTGAGCCATTTTGAATATCTTGGTGGATCCAACCATGATATCATAAGGATTCGCGTATTGGGCTGAATATCAGAACATCATCCGGCTGGATATTGCAAGATAATATCGTAATATTTCCATGTAAGTCCTGAACACTAAAAAAAACATCCTTATGAAACGTGCCAAACAAAAAATGATAATAGTAACATATCATCAAGTTAAATTGTCAGTTGTTTTCCATATATGTTCCCTTGAACCATTTCTGGGACGAACATGAGATGATGCTGATGATGATGCTGCTGATGATGATGATGATGATATGATGATGATGATGATGATGATGATGATGATGATGATGATGATGATGATGATGATGATGATTATGATGATGATGATGATGGTGATGATGATGATGAAGATGATGATGATGATGATGATGATGATGATATGATGATATGATGATATGATGATATGATGAGATGATGAGATGATGAGATGATGAGATGATGATGATGATGATGGTGATGATGAATGATGATGAATGATGATGATGATGATGATGATGATGATGATCATGATGATGACCATGATCATGATCATGGTATTGATGATGATGATGACCACGATCATGGTATTGATGATGGCTATACTATTTATATACTATCATTGTCAGTAGGAGGAGGATTGTGGAGACGTCAGCCAGTGAGGTCAGCATGATTTGCCCGGAATGCTACCACTTGTCATTTGTGCTTACAGGCTACCTATAGAATGACTATGGATACATGCATATAGTTTTGCATATATATATATATGTATATATACAAGTACATACGCACACACACACACACACATATATATACATATATTACATGCATTGTGTCTGGAGATCAACGGGGTCACTCTAATTGAGGCCACTCTTTCTCACTGGGATTATCATAAGGTCTTCTGTTGATGTTTGCCCTACCAGCATAGCTTCTCAAAATTTCTCCCCTTCCAAGCGGTCCAGTTCCAGCATCAAAGTATATCAAAGTTTTTACCCCTTTTCTCTACATACACTTTGTTTGCCTGAACCATGTCCAATAGAAACATCTTCCGACGCCGTTCTCCAAGCTGCTCAGAGTTGCTGGTCTGCAGGCTGCTGATGCTGGGAAGTTTGCAATCCATTAGCCTGTTTCAAGAGGCTGACATTTGTCGGAAAAACCAGGTATCTCTTGGCTGGTGCCGTGGGAAAAAAACATAGAAACTCTGCAGGGAACAAATGTCTTCCCTTCCCAAACTTCCCAAAATATGTTCAACATCTTAAATCTCACATATTGGTATGGGTCAGCATTGAGTACCCCTATGATTGGATGGTTACTACTAAAAATAGACTTCGCGCGCCTCGCATTGGGCAAGGCTCCGTGACTTTGAGCACCGACCTGGGCGGCACCACTGGGCGAGGAAGAAACTGCTCTACAGTAAGGAAGTTGATTCTATAGATAGGAATTGATAGTACTAAAATAATAGTTGCATAAATATATATATACATACAATGATATGCATATCTATATATATATACATAAATATAGTATCTGTAGTCTATAGATGTACAAATGACATAAATAAAAATATCATGAAAGCCTTGAGTTTCACCAAAAGAGTTCTTCTGTACTGAAGTCGATGCCACCCCGACATATCCTGGTCACATCGACCATGTTTTATTGCATTTGCCAAGTTTATTCAACGACTGTAGTTTTTTTTTAGGTGAAACAAAACCGTGGCATATTAATCATATTAGCTGTTGTGTATATATATATATGCACGATCATATATGGTTATTGTATTGATATGCAGGCTGTATATGACAGGGTGTCTATCTAAATGTATCAAAAGGGCCAACCTGGCGAAACGGTGAAGCATGGCGAAGCCTAAGCCTCCAACGTTCGCCAGGTACGAAGCTTCCTCGGTCTGAAAGACCTGACAAGGACTTTCTACTTTCTACTCCTCATAGAGAATCATATTACAAATTTATCAAGTAATTATATTAGTACAGAATATAATCATTGATAATCATTGGTAATCATTGATAATCATCATAACTACCAAAGTCATCATGCTGGTAATGATCCTCTGGATCATCAGGATCATCAGGATAAACATCATCATCAACATCGGCATCATCATCATCAACATCATCAGCAGCAGCAACAGCAGCAGCACTCTCATCAAGATCAGACTTTGCCCTCTGCAACGATTCATGGATGTCACCCCCGCTGCCACCCTGGCACCTCTTGTCTCGAACGCGCTGGAGTCCTGCAGGGCAAGTGTAGGCATGGAACTGCGTCCACCTGCCTGGCAACCTGGACATCGTCATCGTCAAGCACCATTGACTACTATTCACCATCTTCATAAATCTTCAAGTATCACCAGGCATAATCATATGTAATGGTTATTAATGATGAATATATATATATATTGTGAATGCGTATATATATATAAAATTAATTATATATTATATATATACATATGTGCGTGTGTATTTGTAAATTATAGCCATCAACACAGTAACCACCATTTCATATCTGCCACCAAAACCTCTGCGGTCTCCACCCCTTTTCAACACTTCTAGATGCACTTCTCATGCACCAGCGAAGGGCCCATCAGGTCATAGTCTGCCTAATGGATCCAACGAAATGCTGGGAGAGAAGCCAACATCAAGCCACCCCTCAGTGACGAAAGATGTCTCTCAACTGGTGCAACAACTTCCTAGGCCGCTGGTTGGAGACGACAGATCATATCTAGTGCTAGTAAAGCAATGTCAAAAACCACTCATAGTTTGATGGTTTATACCCATAAGAACGGAAAACTTGGGGGATGGTGCATCCTATTGCTCTACTATCATTGGAATTTTCGTGCATTTTAGTGGTGGTGCTCCAGTTCGTGAACGCTAAGTTGGTGCGTTTATAACTCCAATCTCACTCGGGTTGATTAGGGGGTAATATCTATAGTTAATGGAGATTACAAACCAACGGCTGGGCTATCACGCTGTGGAACTGTTGTGCAAAATATATCGGGGCTGCCGGGGCTGCTGAGTGGTTTTGGATTCAAGTTTGAGAGACTTCAAACAAGGCCGCCTGATGACTTTCAATGTAGTGGCCTGAAACATAAAGAATGGCGTCTATAATCACATTGCCATCGTGATATATCGTGATAACGTCCCGTGTCCATAAAGTATGGAATCATAGATAATATTAATAAATAAATATTGATCATATATCGTCGGTACCACTTACAAGAGAAACTTCTGCCACACCCAGCTTCAATCGAGACCGCCCCTGAGTGCTCCAGAAGTTCCTTCCGCAAGATGGGTCGAATCATTGGGCTGAAGGGAAAATCTTCAGCGGAAACCATGGTGTTTACCCCCACAAAAAAAGAGGTTTCCTGAATGTTTCCCACAAAAGTGACAAAAATATTCCCGACATTTCCTGACAGATTCCCCCAGTCATAGTGGATTTACCGATGGGAACATGCCAGAAACCACTGACACTCACTGCAAATCTAAGTAGCAACTCCGTCACACTTTGGTCTTTGGCCATGCCATCACTGCTGCGAGGATCGAACAAGAGTTCAGGACACAGCAGGCACTCAGACTGTAGGACAAGAATGGTGCCACAGGGCATCCTTGGAGTTGCTTCAGCTTCCAAAAGATCACTTTGTGTGTTTGTGTATTCCCAGTAGGTTTCCGATGAACCAAGCACAACCAAGGGGTATATTCATCAAATGTTGTGTTGAAGTTGAAATGCTTTGAATATATCCAGGCGTCTGGTACAGAATCTCTTGGGTATCTGCTGTTGTGTCCAAGGCTACATGGCAATGTTGTTCCTCTGTGGTTTGTGAAAGCTAAACAGCACAGAAGAAACCAAGATGGGGGGCCAACACAAAATAGCTCCAAAAACAGACCCTGGTCCTTAACAACTTCCAGAATCTCAAGCTCGCCCTCACTCGAAAAGGAATACCCCTTCTCTATCAGCAACTTCAGCAAGCAAGCTGTCAAGTGCGCCCCTGCCAGCTCCGTCCGTAGAATCGCATAATAAGGCAGCAAAAACCCATCAACCACCGGAGTGGCATAGCTGGTGCTATGGCCAACGTCCAACACCATGCCAGTTACCCGCCCTGTGCTGTACAGAGACAGAACACTGGAGTTGGCCAAGAAAAATGAGGGGACATTGAAGGTTTCAAACATGATCTGCGTGAATCGCTCACGATGGGCTTTGGGGGTCAAAGGTGCTTCGGTCAGCAGAACCGGATGCTCTTCTGGAGCGACCCTCAGAAGATGTGGTGCCAAATTTTCTCCAGATTGTCCCAATCTATGACGACCCCGCAGTCAAACAAATCACGGCGTGCCACACTGCCTGTTTTCGTGACTCTGATGATGTCGTCCTCATCACCCAGCACAAGCCCAGATTTCAAGCTGGAATTTCCAGGGTCAATAACTACTGCAATGATCACTATGAGAATCGCCGGCCCCCTGTTGAATTGATTTCGTGGAATTTCTGCCCATGGCAGCTTGGGCTGACAAATTCTGCGGCAAATTTGTTGCAAAATGACATGCTGAGACCTTCTGCTGAGCCTCAGCTGAAGCCCCAACAACTTTTGTCAGATTCAGGTGAATGGCAGCCCTCCAAACATCAAAGTTTCCCTCAACATACTCATCATTCAGGCAGTTGAGAACTGCACTACCAGAGTGAGATCCCTACTGTAGGAGACCCTCGCCATCTCCCTCTCCTTCGCTTTCTCACGGCTGGCAGCCCCAAACTTCTAAGGAAATCTCTTTCCTTTGCAGACTGTGGCTGCTTCGGCGATGGTGCAACAAAACCCATTTCTCACCAGCTTCAGGCACCAGCATCCAAAACTGGAATGAATTTCATACTTCCATTGCCATTTGCGGGTATTCCTCCAAGGTCCAAGGCCCCGACCCGACGCATGGCTCTTTGCACTAGTGCCTCCTCACAATCCCAACTTGCCAATTTCAGGGCACCCGTTTCGCCAAGTTTACGCAAATAGTTGCCTCATGCTGCTGATGTAAATCCCATGTTTCTTGATTCAAGATGATCTATCAAACATGTGGCTCTGTGTCAATGGGGGGCCACTCACATCACTCACCATAAAATATGATAAAATATGTAGTGATTCGGACCCAATCACAATTTTCATGTAGTGATGATCATTTTTTTTTTCTGCGACACCTTTTTCACCGCCATTGGTCACATGGTCAGATCCCCTGTCTTAGAGGGAGGCGGCTGGGGTGGGGGGGGTCGTCTCCTCGCGCTTCATGATCATCCAATTAATGTGGTTCAAATAATGGCATAAACTACCCATGACTGGGAATGGTTTTTATATATATATATATATACCACCACCTATATATTTATGGTGATGACTGGGGGATAGTTCGTGGCATTGTTTTACCCTCATGATCATGATCATATGTTCAGAATGATTGTAGTGATATGAATTTCTAATGGTGATTTTCAATATATTCCTCCAAGTATCATCCAATCTGGTTGGTGGCTTCAACCCCTCTGAAAAATATGAAAGTCAGTTGGGATGATTCTTCCCAATATATGGGAAAATAAAAAATATTAAAAAAAATTAGTCACCACCAACCAGCAATTATCATATGTTCTCATCCATTGGAATTGGGGATCCCCTATCTTTTCGCCCTGCACAGCAGGGCACAGCTGGGCACAGCTTGGCGCCTCCTCCTGGCGCTTGTGCCATCGCTCCACCATGATGCGTTTCAAGCGCGCCTCATGGGCCTCCAGACGCTCCTCTCGGGCCCGGGCCTGGGCAGAAACCAAGACCTGGACCTGGAACCACACATGGAAAATATATGGGAAAAGCATGGAACAATTGGGGGAAACCAAATCTATTGGGATGTGATGGGATTTGAAAAAACTAAGAATAAACCAAGAGAAATGTGAGGATGTATAGCATTGGGTAGCCAAAATCATGGGGGTATCATGCGCATCGAGAGGGTAACCCAAGTAACCAACTTGAAGAATGGGGTATGTATGAAAGATTTATGAAAGAGTTTTATTGCTATGCGATGTGATGGGATAATCAACAATGTTAAAAATATGTTATATGAGTGCGTCTTTGAAATGGAGAGTCCCAAAAAATGCTATCTTTAGGGGAAATGATGAGAACAATAGAACTGGATTTGGAGGTAACATATTTCTGTCAGACAAATCAATATGAGATGTTTATCGTTGGATTGGTTCAATGGATTTGTTCAAGGGAACATTTTAAGGAAACATGTGTTTTTTTAAAACTTGAGATATGCTTTCCGGAAGGTATGTCGAAAGGAAGCGAGTTTGGGAATATCTGGAAAACAAAGGGATGCATATCTCTGATATAACGGATATGTTAAAACAAACTGATCTGAAAATGCTTTCGAAGTGCTATATAGGATATAAATGACAACGGTTTTGACCAATGCCCAACTACTACGATATTAAACCATGGGTTTTAACATGCTTCATGCGTATGTATATATATATATTATTACATATATACTGTGACTGATGTACTTTTCGATCTGCATGAAACTAGGACATCAGGCATCATGAAACTGGCAAATGGCCAACTGGGAAAACAAAACTACTTTTGCAGCTTGTGTTGCTTGGAATCCATGCCGAAGGAGAAATTTAGTAATCAAATCTAATGGTTGGAATGCTCAGTCACCAATGAATGAGGATCCTGGTTGAATCTGCATACACATACAATGCATAGCTGACCATCTATAATACTATATATATATATATATATAATATAGTAACTAAAATATAATAGTGTTTCCAATATCTAATATAATGCGTATATTTATATACAATTATATAATAAGTTCATGTGTGTGTGTGTGTGCATAGAGTTATCCATTTATGTCCGGTATATATCCGCACATATTGTCATTATGTGAATGTGACCACAGAATCATCCCCATCCACGACCAAGGCACATCCTCCTTCAAAGCCCTCTGCAAGCTGGCCTCAACTTTGCGCCTGAGTCATGGCGGTGACGGGACGTGGCTTGTGGGATGATTATTTGGGTGAATTACTGGATGATTTCGGATGATTTGGCATGATTGCGTATATCATAAACCATAGTTAAAAATGTTAAGTTTAACAGTTGAAGCGTGTTTTTGGGGTGATTTGCCTTGCAAACATCATTTTGGCAAATGATGAAAACCATCCAAGGGATCACAGGGAGATCACTGGATCATGTTCAAAAGCTACGAGTTTAATCTGTGTTCATTGAACTAGTCCCTCATGGTTCATTTTATAATATTTTATAGATGTATAATGATGTATGTGTAAATATTTTTTTAGATGTATATTGAACAAAAAGGTTTTGGCTTAAGGAGGGTTTTGGATCCTTTTAAAGATCCCCTCTTTAGCCATAAACCCTAGCGGGTCCTTGCCGAAACCCGCGGGTTCTTGCATCTGGGAACCTACGCAACGTGCTCTGCCCGTTCCAGCGCCTTCTGAACGTGGCATCACCAGGCATTTCTGTGCTCTGTCGCGCTCCCTGGGCAGGACGTGACATCACCTCCACTGACCTTGCACTGTGCTCTGTCACGCTCCCTGTGCAGGACGTGATATCACCTTGATCAGCGGCACTTTTGCACTTCTCTTCATCGTCTTCATATTCTGGATCGATCTCTGCACGCAATAGCGGCACACTGATCTCTGGTTTCTGGCTTGGCGTTGATGCGATTTTGGACATTATTTGTGCCCCTATTTTTCATCTTTGGTCAGTATTACTCCTACAAAGAGGAGGAATTTGCGCAGACAGCGAGCAAGAGCGCGTGCAGATTGGTATCTCCATCGTCGAGGTTTTCGTCGTTTGTCCATCCCTCGCCTTCGAAAGATTGGGCGGATTTTGAGTCAGCACCACTCCAGGGACGTGAAGTTTTTGTCTCATATTGGAGCAGTTCGTGCCATCATGGAATACAAACCCGATCCCTGGCGTTGTCGCTTTTGCATGAGGATGGTGAAAGGTACAGCAGGTCAATGTGGAGGATGCCACAGATATTGGACTCACTGCAACGACAGTTCCTATGTCCATCAGCCACATCGCCGTGCCCAAGAAGCTGGATATGCAAGCGGCTGGACCTCTGCGCCGTGGCAAGGCGAAGACTATGGTTGGGAAGACAGGCGACCGAGGTCGCCCAGGAAGCGCACACAGAGCCCTCGGCAGCGCCAGAATCGGTCTCAATCACGAGCCCGCCAGCAGCAACAGCCAGCCGAAGAGCACAAAGGCAAAGGAAAAGGCAAAGAACCTTTGGCACCATTGCCTCCTTCTACACAATGGCTTGCACCGCCTGCTCTGCCTTCCAATGTGGACTCCTCAGCCACGGAGCCCAGTTCTTCCCAGACTACGAATGCTTTGCCATCCATGCAGCCCTTTCCAAAGCCCAAGAACGACAAAGACGAAATGGAGTTGACTTCTTTGCGGAAGATGTACAAGGACCTCAAAGGGAAGTCCAATTTGCCAGAAGACGTCAAAGCTGTCCTCATATCGGCAGAAGCAACATTGCGGAAAGAAGATGCAAAATCTCACAAGCAGCTGGTAGATCTTTTGAAAGCTGCGCGCAAAAAGCTTGCCGACCTGGACGAGCAGTGGGAAGCCTACAGAGTGCAATGGGCTGCATACATCGACAAGGCCTCTCAAATGTGGCTATCTCATGTGGAATCCTTCGAACATGGGGAGAGCAAGTTTGCGGAGAAGAGACAAGAAGCTCTACAGCACTTGCAACAGACCCGAGCACGTTTGCACGAGATCCACATGAGAACGATGGAAGAAGGCAGCTCTTTAGAAGGTGCTCAAGTAGAGAATGCCCAAGAAGCTTTGGATGCAACGATGAAACTGGACGAACAAGATGGGTCAGAGGTGGAAAGCAACTTCACTCAGCTCAAAGCCGACTTGACCGGCGTTGTCAAACAGGTCAAGGACACCATCGAAGAGAAGTTGTCCAAAAGACGTCGTCTTGCACCACCGCGTCCAGCAGATCTAGAGGATGTCGAAGTCGTGGAACCTGGAGACAAGCGTACTCGGGATTCCAATTAGCCTCATGTCTCCGAGTGTCTGACAAAGAGGCCTCTTCTGTGTGTTTTTCAACAGAGAGGAGAGACATGAGGCGCAGACATGATCGCTTCTGTCAGCTTGCCTTTTGGCCTACGGTTGAGTTCGATGATTTTTCAACTCCTGCACTCCAAGGCAACTGTCAGTTCTGGTCCAATTCAGATGATTTTGCTGTTACAACATCATGGTCAAACCTTCGAGATGACATTCAGCCGCACTCAGTTTTTGATGAGCCAGATTTCTGTAGCGTGTGGGAAGCGCAGAGTAAAGCTCTACTCCTCTACGAGGCGCTGAACAATGACATCTTTGACGTTGAGTATGACGATGTTGCCAAATCTTGGACTCCAATTTGGAAAAATCCAATTGACTCTGCCTTTCAATCTGTTGCGAAGTCACAGGAATTTTGTTCAGAGTCAATCAATACCATCGAGCCTTCCCCTGGTGCCTTTCTCGCAGAGCCGTCGTCAATATCGACAACGTTGATCTCGAAGTGGACACCTGATTTTGATGCTCACCATGATGAGGTTGACAATACAGTTGATGTTTGCTCATTGATGGCCGCAGGTCCGCCGCGACGTCCATCCATTCCCATTCCTGCAGTTGCTGATCAACCTACAATGGTTCGACAAGAAACTGATTTTGTCGAGGATGACACCGTGGACACCTCTTCCTCGTCAGAAGAAGACCTTGTTTGGCGCGACAGCATGATTTTTTCGGTGCATCATCCTCCAGCGGCAGGAGTGGTCAACTGTATGTATCGACATGTTCTTCTACGCAATGTGGCTAGGCTTGCGCAGTTTGCCTTCCCAGATCTTCAGGGTGTCCATCAAGTGAGGACATTGCCACCTGATCTATCCCACCTTTGTGTGTGTATTTGGCACAGCATCGAGATGATTTATCCTCGACCTCGGATTTGGCATACATCCTTGTAGATGTCGGGTTCCATCCAGCAGCTCCGAGCTGGGACATCGAGAGGGTGAGATGTCCTATTTTTGTTCCCCCTCTGCTGACACGACATCAACTACTTCGTGCTCTTGATGTGTTTCAGTATTCCCAATTTGTACAAGATACATCTTTGGTTTGGCTGAATGACAATTTGGTTCGACAGGATGACTGCCAATCAGTACAACTCTGTCATGGTGATTTTGTGCGTATTGCATTGCCACCACCGTTGACAGTTCTCCGCAGTGTGCCGACACGCTGCATTGCTCGACTACTACAGATGGGAATCCATGAAGATGACCTGGAAGCTTTTTATTGGAGTTCTGACGTTGATGATCACTTGGACTCTATGCCCACACAACGATATATGATCACTGCAGATGATCTCGGCATTTCATCTACGTCATCTTCATCAACGAATTCCCTGATTCAACTCCGATCTCAATTGACAACTTCAACACGACCTCGACAACATCATCGTGAGGATGAGTCGTTTGAGAGATGTCATCATGACTCTAGCACAGATCGACAGTGGCCACGCATGGCAACACCCTTTGTACCTCTGAACAATGATTTCATAGCTGATCTTCTTCAGCGTTGGCCTCTTTTTGTTCAATTAGGTCCTGGTGCTGTTGAGCCCTGCATTGTGGTCAAGACGTGGTATAATGATCATGATCGCTGGCCTATATGTGACACACCCCGAGATGTTTCGCTTTTCGCTGACTCGCCCAATTGGCGTGCTGACATCTTGCGTGCATGGCCTGACCGTGTGGATCCATTTGCTGCCACAGAAATCTACATGGTTGATCCTGATCCTACAGATGAAGTTGAGCATGTCGCTGGACACTTGATTCTGGTACAACGACCTCATGATGATTGTCGCAGCATCTTGGTCTCAGTGCTGGACAACACAATTTGGAATGGATATCCTCGGAGATGGGCTCTACGATCATCAAGTGATCCCTCGGGTGCAGAGTTGGTCGCCCTCATGGGATATCGCTTCTATTGCCCCCCCCACATGCCACACAATCAATGTCAGATTTGGTGTCGTCAACAAGAAATTGGCATGGATGATGACCTGATTGTTCGACATGGACTCGCTCTCACCTTGACAGTTCTTCGTCATGAACCGGATGGTGATAGTGGAACTCAGATGTCGCTCAATGACAACCACGAGGAGCACGATGATGCGTCTCTCTTTCAAACACATGATTTGGTTTGTCAGCCTTCATCTTTTCCAGCGAATATTCGACAACATAGCAGTGATTTTGTCCATGGAGCACCTCCACATGAACAATTGCCAATGCCGCGCCAACGCTCTAGCCAGTCAGCTCATCTTCCTGATCAGTGGCTACTGCCTGTTGGCATGTCTTTCTTGCAACATGCGCACGTGGTCGATGATGAAGGCCATGCTGAAGTGGAATGGATGACATGGTATCTTTGCGCCCATACTCGTCGCTCTAGTGAGGAATCCCGCCGTATCCAATTTGACACTGAGCAACATATGTGGCTGCAAGATATACAGCAGCTCTGGCGTGATCAATGGATGCCCCACCTTGACACGCATATCTTCGTGATTGAGCCCATGCCACCAAAAGCACCGTATGAAAGACATGTAGGAGGACTCCTTATTGTGCAGGGCGAAGTACCTCAACATGTACCAGTTCTGGTCACCACCATCTTTGCTTCTGCGATGGGACGACGCTTGTCGCACATGGCTTGTTTCTTACCTCAGCCTTGTATGCCATCCCAGCTTGCTCAGATGCTGCGCATTGGACATATTTGCCATGAACGTACCTGCCGTGTTGAAATTGCTGGTCATGAGATTCCGCCGCAAGGACTTGCCCATGCGGCAGAGGGCGACAATGTTCGTGTCCATGTCGCAGCCCGCAATCCCAATGGGGTATCGCTTTTACAATTGAAAGCGCGACGTCAATTTGCATTCAACCCTGATGCACCAGTTTTTGAGCCGATGTCTCACCATCCTTGGGAGCGCCTAACAACTGATGCGGTGGCTCATGCTCAGTGGCCCCAAGTGGTGCAGCCAATGAAGCGCTCTGACTCAGAGGTCAAGCACCTTAGCCTGCATGATCTCATTCCAGCACCGACATTTGTGCAATTGGATTTCCATCCTGTGGTTGATTTACGCAATGTGATTCTTCAACTTGACCTTGGGCACGTTTACCCTCGAGCAAGTGTTGTCCAATGGCACACATCCACACAAGCTGCGTTTGATGCCATCCCTGATTGGCAAGGGGAACTACCAACAGGTGTTTCCTTCTACACTGATGGATCCGCTGCCTGGATTCAAGATGAACGGCGTGCCTCTGCTGCCATCATTCGAATCATCCACACAGCACAAGGCGATCGTTTTGGTGGTTTTCGATGCTTCACCACTCCTGCTGATGGACATGCACCATATGCAGAGGCTGCAGCCATCTTCGCAGCAACTCTGTGGACAGTCCAGATGTGTGAGGCTTTTCCAACTTCATCGACATGGCTTGTACACTTTCATTTTGACTGCATGTTTGCAGGCATGGCCGCGAAGGGATGCTGGTCAGTACGTGCCCATGCACAGATGCAGCACTTCACGAGATCTCTTGTACACTGGTTGGAAGCCCGACATGCAATCCAGATAGGATGGTTTCATGTTCCTGCTCACACTGGCCATCCATGGAACGAAGCAGCAGATGCAGCTG